GCAGACTCCACACTGAGCAGGGAGCCCAATTCAGGGCTGGATGCCAGGACTTTGAGATCATGACCTGAGCTGAAAGAAGATGCTTAACCGACTGAGCCACCCAGGCACCCCTGAATATCACATTTTAAAAAAAGACTTATTTATTTGAGAAAGAGAGAGCATGAGCAGGGAGGAAGGGCAGAGGGTGAGGAAGAAAGACAAGCAGACTCTGTATTCAGTGTGGAACCTGACACAGGGCTTGATCTCACAACTCTGAGATCACGACCCTGAGATCATGACCTGAGCCGAAACCAAGAGTCAGATGTTTAAGTGACTGAAACACCCAGGTGTTCAGTGCATAACACATTTGTTAAACACTTTTTTTATTGAGGTAAAATATATAGTTCAGTGGCATTAAGTACATTCACATTGTTCTGCAACCATCCCCACTACCCAACCCCAGAACTTTTTTATCTTTCCAAACTGAAACTCTCTTCCCATTAATCCCTAACTCCTCATTTCCCCCTCCTCCCAGCATCTGAAATCACCATTCTACTTCCATCTCTACGAATCTGACTATTCTAGGTACCTCATATATGTGGAATCATGTAATATTTGCCTTTTTGTGTCTGGCTTATTTCGCTTGGTGTAATGTTTTCAAGGTTCATTCTTATGGTAGTAGGTGTCAGAGTTTTCTTCCTTTTTAAGGCTGAATAATATCCCATTGTGGATATAAACCACCTTTTGTTTATTCACCCATAGGTGGACATCTGGGTTGTCTCCACCTTCTATTAAGAATCATGCTGCTGTGAACATGTACAAATACCAGTTTGAGTCTTTTTCATGTTTTTTTTTTTTTAAATTTTTTTAAATGTTTATTTATTTATGATAGTCACATAGAATGAGAGAGAGAGAGGCAGAGACACAGGCAGAGGGAGAAGCAGGCTCCATGCACCGGGAGCCCGACGTGGGATTCGATCCCGGGTCTCCAGGATCGCGCCCTGGGCCAAAGGCAGGCGCTAAACCGCTGCACCACCCAGGGATCCCCTTTTTCATGTTTTAGGGGCAAATACCTAGTAGTGGGATTCCTACACAATGTAATGGAATACTATATTTTTATGTTTAGGTTTTGAAACTTCTTCTTGGGGTCACCTGTTCTCACCCAGATGAGAATGAGCCCATCATAACTAAGCTTCCCCAGGTATCCCTGATTGATGAGATCCTTCTCAGTAAGACTGGTGGCTTCTGTGCCTGACTCATCTCCCTGAGATGACTGATCACATCACCTTAGTTGTCATTATCTTTAAAAATAAACAGCTTCCCATCAGGAATCTTTCTTTTTTTAAAATATTTATTTATTCATGAGAGACGCAGAGAGAGGGGCAGAGACATAGGCAGAGGGAGAAGCAGGCTCCTCACAGGGAGCCTGATGCGGGACTCGATCCCAGATCCCAGGATCACGACTTGAGCCAAGGCAGGTGCCCCACCGCTGAGCCACCCAGGCGTCCCTCCCATCAGGAATCTTGACAGTCTTCCCTGACACTCTCTAGTCTATGCCCTCCACTATGTCCTATTAGAATATCTGACTTGAAGTCACTTGGGCAGCCGTCTGCCTCACTCATATACCTCTTTGACCAGCACATTCTTTATGGAATAGACCAGCACTTTGATGCCCATGACCTTCCAGACTTAATGTGGATTCTGATGATGCTGGAATTAAGGAGAGAAGAGAATCAGTTACTGCCCATTAATACCTTATTCCATTGTGCTTGTTCATGGCACAATTCTTGTGCAGAGTTGGTATTCAAATCACCCCAAGCCTGTGTTCTCCTATCTCTAGCCGTTGACTAACAATTCCTTGTAAATAATCTTTGTTTCCCAAAGTGTGATTTTTCTCAGGTGCCTTCCTTCTAAACTGACCAATATCCATCCAACCCACCTGTCTCTCCTACAGGCACTGATGGGACTGTGGTGTCCATCACTAACTTTTCCACATATGAAAATTCCTCACGGCTGAACAGTGATCCTTCAACACCTGTGACAGTGGTGGACTCTGCAGGTATGATAGCCGCTGCTTAGCTTTGTCTCTCTAGGAACCATGCTTTCTGATCCCTGGTAAATTGTGCTTTTGCTAGAACTAGTCTGAGAAATTGGCACTACCTGGATTTCTCCTAAGAATGTAGGTCTCTTTGCTGTTTCTTCAATATGGAAGATAAGTATCTCCAAGAACACAAGAGATCATTCTGTGTTTAGGACATATTCATTAGTATATGGCTCTTACTGAAAGAAGTCCCAAACTATCATGATAAGAATTGATCACGGACAGTTGATGGTTCCTGGAATGATCCTTATGTGAGAAAAAGCCACCATCTTGGAAGATGTGATGCCACGAGAAAGTCAACTCTGTGTCCTAGAGGTTTTTCTGAAAAGGAAATGGTTCTCTCTTGTCAGGAAGAAGTGATAAGAGTTTGGAGACTGACCTATCATTTTATAATCTAATATTCCCTGCACTTAGTTTCTCTTTAAGGGCCAAACAGGAATTTCCAAAATGGGAAATAATAATAATAATAACAACAACAATAATAAAATAGATATTAAATTATGCCCTAATTCCTTGGAAATAATATTCAGTGGTCAAGAGTTTCAGATGGGTTAGTAGGGACCAACTAAAACTAATACCTCCTAACATCATGAGTACACTTTTTAGCAATAGAGGGCTGGGGGGAGCCAACTATACTGTCCAAGTCACAACTTCTCCTGATGGCCAGCAGATGACCGCTGCATTTGTTGAGGCTTCCGGAGTAGATCAGACATGGGAGGTCAATCAATGATGAATTCACATATCATAGGTAACGAAGACAGAGTATCACCAAATGCTTTTGCTTGAGACCAATCAATACAACAATCCCACCATCAACACGAAGCTCTTCTATTATTATGATGCAGGCCATCTTGTGGGTTTGACTTCATGCCAACAAGAGAATTCTTCCTTGCAATGTGCCTTCTCAGAGATAAATGAGGACATGGCCGAGCCAGCGTCTAGTGAGAGCATTTCTTGTCTATGCACATCTTGAGGGAATGCTAGGCTGACACCTCAATCCTCTTATCCTTCAGGGACTCAGGAATCCCTGACAACCACCAGCAGGGAGCTCAGTGAGGGAGCACATGGAGACACCACATGGTCAACAAGTGACCCTGCATCTCTGATGACTACCATCAGCCTGGGTACGTATGATTATCTGTGTACACTATGTTTTTTTTTTTTTTTTAATTTTTATTTATTTTATGATAGTCACACACACACAGAGAGAGAGAGAGAGAGAGACAGAGACACAGGCAGAGGGAGAAGCAGGCTCCATGCACCGGGAGCCCGACGTGGGATTCGATCCGGAGTCTCCAGATCGCGCCCTGGGCCAAAGGCAGGCGCCAAACCGCTGCGCCACCCAGGGATCCCTGTGTACACTATGTTTAACACTGGTCTCTGGGGTAAAATAATTGATTGCCTGGGTCCCATGTGCTGATACATAATCAAAATTTTCTGCTGTTGTATCCAGAGGCTTTTGATAATATATATTTATTTTTTAGCTTTTAACTTACCTTATTTAAATTCAATTAGTTAACATATAGTGTGTGTTCAGTTTTAGACATAAAGTACAACTACTCATCTGTTGTTTATAACACTCATTGTTCATCACATCACATGCTCTCTTAATGCCCATCACCTATTTACCCCATCCCCTCACCCACCTCCCCTCCAGCAGCCAATCTTTTTTATGGAGAATTTATTTATTTATTTATTTATTTATTTATTTATTTATTTATTTATTTATTTATTTTAAAGGTTTATTTATTTATTTTAGATACAGAGAGAGTAGGGAGGGTCAGAGGGAGAGGGAAGGAGAGAGTCCTCAAGCAGACTCCTCGCTGAGCACAGAGCTCAGTGTGAGGCTTCATCCCAGGATCCTGAGATCGTGACCTGAGCAGAAATCAAGAATTGGATGCTTAACTGACTGGGCCACACAGGCACTCCTGTTTCTAATATGAATTGCTTCTTAGTAATTTATATGTTCAAGAACCAATCACTTCAACCTTAGGAACAGATATAGTATCTCTACAAATCAGCTGACCAATTGTGAAGAGCCTTCCTAACTCAGACACTAGGTCACTAAGGTCAGGGATTCCCATGAACAGAGAAAGGAACACTTGTCATAAGTTTATTCTATGGGTCACTTCATAATTATAAGATGATTGTAACACTGTCCATTGCTACAATGTTCAGTACATGGCCTGCAGGTGAGAGGTGTCAACGTATGGTGCTTAAGTAGATGGATACAGTTGTCCTGAGTCCTGAAAGCAATCATTTGACATGTATTTTGTGCTAGACATTAAAATGTTCCACCTTTTCCTGATGAGAGGTGAAAGAACATGAAAATATATAGGAAGTAAGGTGCCTTGGTTGACCTCTTTCTTTAACCTGTTAAAACCAAGCCATAGAACTTTTAATTGGAATCACAATTTTGAAGTCTAGGGGATAAAGGCAGATATCAGACTAAAATTGATTGATTGAAGGTTGGACCAAGGAGGAAAAACAGAGCAAAAGGTGGGAGAGTTTTCCCCTGTTCCCAGGTAGAATCTTTACCCTCCATTAAGACATGAGATGTGGTACATAGGTCCACATGGAGGCCACACTGATATAGAAAGCTGCAGGATACCCTGCAGGCAGTAGACCAAGCTCATATACCCAACATCAGACACAAGGATGGATGATAGGATTCCTACCATCCAAAGGAGCAGAATATGTACAGATTTATAAGGAGAATCAAAACCAAAAGAACCCCCTTTTTTTTAAATCTCCTTGCAAACTTCCTAACTGAAGAGCTGTTTTAGTCACAGGCTTGTCCACCAGAAGCCCAGGAACATCTGAAGATATCATAAATCCAACCTCCAAGGGGTCCAGCAGTAGCTACAAGACCAGGACCACTGTGGAAACTTCTTTTAGAGAGACTTCAACAGAGACTGCTATGACCACAGGGAGTGACAGCACCAGACTCCTTCACTTGCCCACAGGAACCACGGTGCCAGCAGAATCATCTACAGAGATGGCAGTAGTTACAAATAACACCTCCCACTCCCCATATCCAGTTACAGCTCGGGCCACTGCATACACTGAAACGCCAGAAAGGACAAGCCAGTCAAGAGGAACAATGTCCTTCCTCCACCCAGAGGCAACTTCCACAGGGAATGTCCAGCAAGTCAGCTCAGTCCTGACTTCCAAAACAACTGAAGTGGACTTGTCCACACGGCTTGGCTCCACTGAGGGAATTGCAATGGACACACATTTCCCCTCCAGCACATCTTCCACTGGCCTTCAGGACTTTGAAACAAGTTTAGTTATAACCCCCAAGATAGCCACAAGCTCAGTGACAGAGAAATCTGGACTTGAAGCCAGGACATGGGTCAGCACTATGGTCACTCCTTTCACTGCCTTCAGTAAAAAGGCAATGACAGCTGAATGGCCTTCAGGTGGATCTGTGGATGGGACTTATTCGTCTGCCAGCCCATGGTCAAAGCAGACAGCTAGGAATGGCCCAACACTGAGTGCCTCCCCTGTGGATCCAGACACAGCTTTTACCACCCTCCCTTCTGATGGGTCAGAAGGCTCAACCACTATCAGCCTCATCAGAATGACAAGAGAGAAAACTGTCTCCTCTATATCTGCTACCTCCCCTTCAGTGGGGCCTAAGTCTGAGTCCATCACAGGACTGGACACTACCAAAACTGCATCTCCACCTGAGGCCCTTTCTGTGACATCATCTCCTACAGAACTAACAAGCAAGGGTGGGACCCCCACTGTGAGGGTCATCACCTCTAGCCCCAAGGGAGCAAGGTCAGTTTCAACTGTAATGCCTAGCCCACAGAGGAAGTCCAGAACCACAGACAGCACCGAAGCACCAGAGACCTCTCCATGGACTGTCACAGACACAGCTGCCCACTTCCATGCCACTGGCTTGCCCAAAGACACTTCTACAGGCAGGACACTTGCTTCCTCAGCTGTGGCTGTTGCAACAGCTGAACAACAGTCAAGTATATCTGTGGGTGAGGCTTATTCATCTGCTATCACATGGTCAGAGAAGACAACTGGAAGTGATCTGCATGATGCGTCTCCAGAGACCACAGACACATTGCATCTAACCTCCATAGAACAAACCACATCACCATTTCTGACCTTTAAAAGTCAAGCCATTACCAGCCCCCCCAGTGCCTCAGGAGGAAAAATGAGCTCTTTACCATCTATCATACTTCCTTCAATGGGATCTAAGACGCTGGTGGCCATCACAAATGTAGTGACAAGTGATGCTCCCTCTAGGACTGGACTACTGTCACAGACTTCATCTCCTGCAGAAATGAGCACCGTGGGTGTAACCACACCTCCCACTCCAGATGTTACCACCACCATCACCACCATGGGAACCAACCCAGTCCTGACTACCATGTCTGACTCAGAGAGGACAGTGAGCACTCTGGCCACAGAGACCAGAACATCTGCCCTAGAGCATCCTTCCACATGGTCACCTACAACTGCTTCTGCCCCAACATCAGGCCTTCGGAGTTTTAAAAAAATAACTTCAGTTTTGGAAGTCACAGGTTCCCCTGAAACAAATTCTGCAATGGGTACAACTTCATCCTTAGCATCGAGCACTGAATCAGGCTCTACATCTACTCCCCATGACACTGAGACTGTCACTGGAACCAGCCTACCCATTCCATCTTCTCATGCTTCAGCTGAAGAGATGAAGTCCACAGGTATGAGAACATTCAGTCATTCAGACATGACGGCATCTATGCCCATCTCAACTACTTCTGGTATCGAAAGAATGAGACCCTCATCTCCTCCTATTTTAAGCACAAGTTGGACTACTAGTAGAAGAGAAACATTTCTACCTGTTTCAGTGGATTCTACTGACCATTCAAATGCAAAGTCTGATTCTCTGCCCACTCTTGACTGGGCTACTGGATTATTTGTGTCATCAGCCACAACCACTACCTCAGTTCCTCAAGGGGACACAACTCAAACATTCCCTGTGGAGAACATAATCAGCTCAACTACCTCACAACAGCCACTATTTACAACAGAAATGACAAGTGGGGTCACACCTGCATATGTGGAAAGTAGTTCTGGAGTCACGATCTCATGGAAGCTAGACAATGTCAGCAAAGAAGCAGAGCAGAATTCTACCCAGGTTTCTGCAACAATATCTGAAAGCACATCCCAGAAAACTGGCATTACCATGAGGAAAAACACTGTAACGTCTGAAGTGCCCACTGAGACTACTAAGGAAGACTCCTCTGAAAGGATGTTAACCAATGGCCCTGCATTGACCACAATATCACCAAACATCCCAAAAGAAATGAACACCAGGCTCTCTACCTCCCCCAGCATGGCAACTCTAACCATGGCTGGCAAAACTATCATACCTGGGCCCTCATCAGAGGGCACACAAACCACAGATGCATCATTCATAGTCTCCAGGACAGAGAGTCACATGGCTGAGACTCAGGGATCAGGACAGACAGACATGACCATTAACATGGACACAGGATCTGAGAGGGTGCCACAGACAAGCCCTTCCTATGAACGTCACACCAGATCCCAATCTTCCCTGGTGCCTTCACATGCCATGAGCTTGACTTCTCTAACACCCCCCACATCACGGACCAGTGGCCTTTCTGCACCTGTTCCTGCCACCTTACCTGGAACCTATGACCCACTGATGACCACTGGCAGTTGGACAACAAGCATGGCACCTGTGACAAGTTCACCTTCAGATTTGATCAGCACCTCAGAAGGGATACAGGCCACTTGGGAAACCTCTACTGCTACAGCGGACTTCCAAGATTCCATTAACACAAAGCTAACCAGTGTGGGGACCATCACTTCCACACAGGAGTCCCACTCCTCTGCACCCCCTGGCTCAGAGAACCATAAAGAAACCACTCCAATCATCACCTCATACCTAAATGAGGACTCCATGGCCTCCACAACATTGCCTGGCCTTTCTGACACCAGCAAGCTTGAGACACAGTCAAAGTCACCCCTGTCTCTGAAGCCAACGGGGACCAGCACCGTGCAGCACACCAGCATGGCCAGGGAAAACACAATTGTACCTTTGGGGCTGTCCCCTGCTAGTTCTACTATGGCCTCCTTGACAGATGTCATCTCCTCTAGCGGGATGTCTGTCTCTGGCCCTACTCAGTCTACAATATCACCAGACATTCCCAAGAGTATCAACACCAGGCTCTCGACCTTCCCTGTCACGACAGTGTCTGCAGAGATAGCCATGGCCACAAAAACAGTCCTCTCTGGGGTCTCATCTCAGGGCACAGGAACCACAGATGTATCAGCTACAGCCTCCTGGGTAACGAGTCACATGGTTGGGACTGAGGGCTCAACACAGTCACACATGACCATTAGCATGGACACAGAGTCTGAGGGGGTGCCACAGACAAGCCCTTCCTCTGAAGTCGACAGCAGAGCCCCATCGTCCCTGGAGCCCTCGCATGCCGTGAGCTTGACTTCGCTAGCATCCCCCACATCACAGACCAGTGACCGTTCTTCACCTGTACCTGCAACCTCACTTGGAGTCTCTGACCTGCTGAAGACCACCAGCGAATGGACAACAAGCATGGCACCTGTGACAAGTTCACCTTCCGATTTGATCAGCACCTCAGAAGGGATACAGGCCACTTGGGAAGCCTCTACTGCCACAGTGGACATCCAGCATTCTGGCCACACAGCAGTGACCACTGTGGGGAACATCACTTCCACACAGGAGTTCCAATCCTCTGCCCTCCCTGGCTCAGAGACCCCCAAGAGCACCACTCCAATTGTCACCTCTTCCTTCAGTCAAGACGGAATGATATCCACACCATTGCCTGGACTTTCTGAAACCCGACAGTTTGAGACACCGTCAAAGTCATCCCAGTCTCCAGAGCCAAGGGTCACCAGCACCGTGGGCCACACCAGAATTGCCCCCGGGAACACAACTGTCCCTCATGAGCAGTCAACTGCTAGTCCTACTGTGGCCTCCATGACACATGTCATCTCCTCGAGCCAGGTGTCTGACTCTGGCCCTGCTCAGTCTACAATGTCACAAGACGTTTCCATGGGTGTCAACACCATGGTCTCTACCTCCCCTGTCCTGACAGTGTCTGCAGATAATGCCAAAACAGTCTTTCCTGGGGCTTCATCACAGGATGCAAGAACCACATCTGCTTCAGCCCTGGCCTCCCAGGCAGAGAGTCAAACGACTAGGACTGAGGGCTCAACACAGTCACACATGACCATTAGCATGGACACAGAGTCTGAGGGGGTGCCACAGACAAGCCCTCCCTCTGAAGTCGACAGCAGATCCCCATCGTCCCTGGAGCCCTCGCATGCCGTGAGCTTGACTTCGCTAGCATCCCCCACATCACAGACCAGTGACCGTTCTTCATCTGTACCTGCCACCTCACCTGGAACCCATGACCCGCTGATGACCACCGGCAGTTGGGCAACAAGCATGGCACCTGTGACAAGTTTACCTTCATATTTGATTAGCACCTCAGAGGGGATGCAGGCCACTTGGGAAACCTCTACTGCCACAGCAGACATCCAAGATTCCATTAACACAGAGGTAACCAGTGTGGAGAGCATCACTTCCTCACTGGGGTCACACTCCTCTGCTCCACCTGGCTCAGAGACCGCCAAAGGCGCCACTCCAATTGTGATCTCTTCCCTCAGTCAGTCCTCCACAGTCTCCACACCATTGCCTGGCCTTTCTGAAGCCACAGAGCTTGAGCCACAGTCAAAGTCATCTCTGTCTCTGGAGCCAACGGACACCAGCACCATGCCTCACAACAGCATGGCCAGGGAAAACATCACTGTCCCTTCTGGGCCGCCCACTGCTAGTCCTACTATGGCCTCCATGACAGATGTCATCTCCTCTAGAAGGACGTCAGTCCCTGGTCCTGCTCAGTCCACAGTGTCACCAGACATTCCCAAGAGTATCAACACCAGGCTCTCGACCTTCCCTGTCACGACAGTGTCTGCAGAGATAGCCATGGCCACAAAAACAGTCCTCTCTGGGGTCTCATCTCAGGGCACAGGAACCACAGATGTATCAGCTACAGCCTCCTGGGCAACGAGTCACATGGTTGGGACTGAGGGCTCAACACAGTCACACATGACCATTAGCATGGACACAGAGTCTGAGGGGGTGCCACAGACAAGCCCTTCCTCTGAAGTCGACAGCAGAGCCCCATCGTCCCTGGAGCCCTCGCATGCCGTGAGCTTGACTTCGCTAGCATCCCCCACATCACAGACCAGTGACCGTTCTTCACCTGTACCTGCAACCTCACTTGGAGTCTCTGACCTGCTGAAGACCACCAGCGAATGGACAACAAGCATGGCACCTGTGACAAGTTCACCTTCCGATTTGATCAGCACCTCAGAAGGGATACAGGCCACTTGGGAAGCCTCTACTGCCACAGTGGACATCCAGCATTCTGGCCACACAGCAGTGACCACTGTGGGGAACATCACTTCCACACAGGAGTCCCAATCCTCTGCCCTCCCCGGCTCAGAGACCCCCAAGAGCACCACTCCAATTGTCACCTCTTCCTTCAGTCAAGACGGAATGATATCCACACCATTGCCTGGCCTTTCTGAAACCCGACAGTTTGAGACACCGTCAAAGTCATCCCAGTCTCCAGAGCCAAGGGTCACCAGCACCGTGGGCCACACCAGAATTGCCCCCGGGAACACAACTGTCCCTCATGAGCAGTCAACTGCTAGTCCTACTGTGGCCTCCATGACCCATGTCATCTCCTCGAGCCAGGTGTCTGACTCTGGCCCTGCTCAGTCTACAATGTCACAAGACGTTTCCATGGGTGTCAACACCATGGTCTCTACCTCCCCTGTCCTGACAGTGTCTGCAGATAATGCCAAAACAGTCTTTCCTGGGGCTTCATCACAGGATGCAAGAACCACATCTGCTTCAGCCCTGGCCTCCCAGGCAGAGAGTCAAACGACTAGGACTGAGGGCTCAACACAGTCACACATGACCATTAGCATGGACACAGAGTCTGAGGGGGTGCCACAGACAAGCCCTCCCTCTGAAGTCGACAGCAGATCCCCATCGTCCCTGGAGCCCTCGCATGCCGTGAGCTTGACTTCGCTAGCATCCCCCACATCACAGACCAGTGACCGTTCTTCATCTGTACCTGCCACCTCACCTGGAACCCATGACCCGCTGATGACCACCGGCAGTTGGGCAACAAGCATGGCACCTGTGACAAGTTTACCTTCATATTTGATTAGCACCTCAGAGGGGATGCAGGCCACTTGGGAAACCTCTACTGCCACAGCAGACATCCAAGATTCCATTAACACAGAGGTAACCAGTGTGGAGAGCATCACTTCCTCACTGGGGTCACACTCCTCTGCTCCACCTGGCTCAGAGACCGCCAAAGGCGCCACTCCAATTGTGATCTCTTCCCTCAGTCAGTCCTCCACAGTCTCCACACCATTGCCTGGCCTTTCTGAAGCCACAGAGCTTGAGCCACAGTCAAAGTCATCTCTGTCTCTGGAGCCAACGGACACCAGCACCATGCCTCACAACAGCATGGCCAGGGAAAACATCACTGTCCCTTCTGGGCCGCCCACTGCTAGTCCTACTATGGCCTCCATGACAGATGTCATCTCCTCTAGAAGGACGTCAGTCCCTGGTCCTGCTCAGTCCACAGTGTCACCAGACATTCCCAAGAGTATCAACACCAGGCTCTCGACCTTCCCTGTCACGACAGTGTCTGCAGAGATAGCCATGGCCACAAAAACAGTCCTCTCTGGGGTCTCATCTCAGGGCACAGGAACCACAGATGTATCAGCTACAGCCTCCTGGGTAACGAGTCACATGGTTGGGACTGAGGGCTCAACACAGTCACACATGACCATTAGCATGGACACAGAGTCTGAGGGGGTGCCACAGACAAGCCCTTCCTCTGAAGTCGACAGCAGATCCCCATCGTCCCTGGAGCCCTCACATGCCATGAGCTTGACTTCGCTAGCATCCCCCACATCACAGACCAGTGACCGTTCTTCACCTGTACCTGCAACCTCACTTGGAGTCTCTGACCTGCTGAAGACCACCAGCGAATGGACAACAAGCATGGCACCTGTGACAAGTTCACCTTCCGATTTGATCAGCACCTCAGAAGGGATACAGGCCACTTGGGAAGCCTCTACTGCCACAGTGGACATCCAGCATTCTGGCCACACAGCAGTGACCACTGTGGGGAACATCACTTCCACACAGGAGTTCCAATCCTCTGCCCTCCCTGGCTCAGAGACCCCCAAGAGCACCACTCCAATTGTCACCTCTTCCTTCAGTCAAGACGGAATGATATCCACACCATTGCCTGGACTTTCTGAAACCCGACAGTTTGAGACACCGTCAAAGTCATCCCAGTCTCCAGAGCCAAGGGTCACCAGCACCGTGGGCCACACCAGAATTGCCCCCGGGAACACAACTGTCCCTCATGAGCAGTCAACTGCTAGTCCTACTGTGGCCTCCATGACACATGTCATCTCCTCGAGCCAGGTGTCTGACTCTGGCCCTGCTCAGTCTACAATGTCACAAGACGTTTCCATGGGTGTCAACACCATGGTCTCTACCTCCCCTGTCCTGACAGTGTCTGCAGATAATGCCAAAACAGTCTTTCCTGGGGCTTCATCACAGGATGCAAGAACCACATCTGCTTCAGCCCTGGCCTCCCAGGCAGAGAGTCAAACGACTAGGACTGAGGGCTCAACACAGTCACACATGACCATTAGCATGGACACAGAGTCTGAGGGGGTGCCACAGACAAGCCCTCCCTCTGAAGTCGACAGCAGATCCCCATCGTCCCTGGAGCCCTCGCATGCCGTGAGCTTGACTTCGCTAGCATCCCCCACATCACAGACCAGTGACCGTTCTTCATCTGTACCTGCCACCTCACCTGGAACCCATGACCCGCTGATGACCACCGGCAGTTGGGCAACAAGCATGGCACCTGTGACAAGTTTACCTTCATATTTGATTAGCACCTCAGAAGGGATGCAGGCCACTTGGGAAACCTCTACTGCCACAGCAGACATCCAAGATTCCATTAACACAGAGGTAACCAGTGTGGAGAGCATCACTTCCTCACTGGGGTCACACTCCTCTGCTCCACCTGGCTCAGAGACCGCCAAAGGCGCCACTCCAATTGTGATCTCTTCCCTCAGTCAGTCCTCCACATGTCTCCACACCATTGCCTGGCCTTTCTGAAGCCACAGAGCTTGAGCCACAGTCAAAGTCATCTCTGTCTCTGGAGCCAACGGACACCAGCACCATGCCTCACAACAGAATGGCCCAGGGAAAACATCACTGTCCCTTCATGAGCCGCCCACTGCTAGTCCTACTATGGCCTCCATGACAGATGTCATCTCCTCTAGAAGGACGTCAGTCTCTGGTCCTGCTCAGTCCACAGTGTCACCAGACATTCCCAAGAGTATCAACACCAGGCTCTCGACCTCCCTGTCACTGACAGTGTCTGCAGAGATAGCCATGGCCACAAAACAGTCCTCTCTGGGGTCTCATCACAGGGCACAGGAACCACAGATGTATCAGCTACAGGCCTCCTGGGCAACGAGTCACATGGTTGGGACTGAGGGCTCAACACAGTCACACATGACCATTAGCATGGACACAGAGTCTGAGGGGGTGCCACAGACAAGCCCTTCCTCTGAAGTCGACAGCAGAGCCCCATCGTCCCTGGAGCCCTCGCATGCCGTGAGCTTGACTTCGCTAGCATCCCCCACATCACAGACCAGTGACCGTTCTTCACCTGTACCTGCAACCTCACTTGGAGTCTCTGACCTGCTGAAGACCACCAGCGAATGGACAACAAGCATGGCACCTGTGACAAGTTCACCTTCCGATTTGATCAGCACCTCAGAAGGGATACAGGCCACTTGGGAAGCCTCTACTGCCACAGTGGACATCCAGCATTCTGGCCACACAGCAGTGACCACTGTGGGGAACATCACTTCCACACAGGAGTCCCAATCCTCTGCCCTCCCCGGCTCAGAGACCCCCAAGAGCACCACTCCAATTGTCACCTCTTCCTTCAGTCAAGACGGAATGATATCCACACCATTGCCTGGCCTTTCTGAAACCCGACAGTTTGAGACACCGTCAAAGTCATCCCAGTCTCCAGAGCCAAGGGTCACCAGCACCGTGGGCCACACCAGAATTGCCCCCGGGAACACAACTGTCCCTCATGAGCAGTCAACTGCTAGTCCTACTGTGGCCTCCATGACACATGTCATCTCCTCGAGCCAGGTGTCTGACTCTGGCCCTGCTCAGTCTACAATGTCACAAGACGTTTCCATGGGTGTCAACACCATGGTCTCTACCTCCCCTGTCCTGACAGTGTCTGCAGATAATGCCAAAACAGTCTTTCCTGGGGCTTCATCACAGGATGCAAGAACCACATCTGCTTCAGCCCTGGCCTCCCAGGCAGAGAGTCAAACGACTAGGACTGAGGGCTCAACACAGTCACACATGACCATTAGCATGGACACAGAGTCTGAGGGGGTGCCACAGACAAGCCCTCCCTCTGAAGTCGACAGCAGATCCCCATCGTCCCTGGAGCCCTCGCATGCCGTGAGCTTGACTTCGCTAGCATCCCCCACATCACAGACCAGTGACCGTTCTTCATCTGTACCTGCCACCTCACCTGGAACCCATGACCCGCTGATGACCACCGGCAGTTGGGCAACAAGCATGGCACCTGTGACAAGTTTACCTTCATATTTGATTAGCACCTCAGAGGGGATGCAGGCCACTTGGGAAACCTCTACTGCCACAGCAGACATCCAAGATTCCATTAACACAGAGGTAACCAGTGTGGAGAGCATCACTTCCTCACTGGGGTCACACTCCTCTGCTCCACCTGGCTCAGAGACCGCCAAAGGCGCCACTCCAATTGTGATCTCTTCCCTCAGTCAGTCCTCCACAGTCTCCACACCATTGCCTGGCCTTTCTGAAGCCACAGAGCTTGAGCCACAGTCAAAGTCATCTCTGTCTCTGGAGCCAACGGACACCAGCACCATGCCTCACAACAGCATGGCCAGGGAAAACATCACTGTCCCTTCTGGGCCGCCCACTGCTAGTCCTACTATGGCCTCCATGACAGATGTCATCTCCTCTAGAAGGACGTCAGTCCCTGGTCCTGCTCAGTCCACAGTGTCACCAGACATTCCCAAGAGTATCAACACCAGGCTCTCGACCTTCCCTGTCACGACAGTGTCTGCAGAGATAGCCATGGCCACAAAAACAGTCCTCTCTGGGGTCTCATCTCAGGGCACAGGAACCACAGATGTATCAGCTACAGCCTCCTGGGCAACGAGTCACATGGTTGGGACTGAGGGCTCAACACAGTCACACATGACCATTAGCATGGACACAGAGTCTGAGGGGGTGCCACAGACAAGCCCTTCCTCTGAAGTCGACAGCAGAGCCCCATCGTCCCTGGAGCCCTCGCATGCCGTGAGCTTGACTTCGCTAGCATCCCCCACATCACAGACCAGTGACCGTTCTTCACCTGTACCTGCAACCTCACTTGGAGTCTCTGACCTGCTGAAGACCACCAGCGAATGGACAACAAGCATGGCACCTGTGACAAGTTCACCTTCCGATTTGATCAGCACCTCAGAAGGGATACAGGCCACTTGGGAAGCCTCTACTGCCACAGTGGACATCCAGCATTCTGGCCACACAGCAGTGACCACTGTGGGGAACATCACTTCCACACAGGAGTCCCAATCCTCTGCCCTCCCCGGCTCAGAGACCCCCAAGAGCACCACTCCAATTGTCACCTCTTCCTTCAGTCAAGACGGAATGATATCCACACCATTGCCTGGCCTTTCTGAAACCCGACAGTTTGAGACACCGTCAAAGTCATCCCAGTCTCCAGAGCCAAGGGTCACCAGCACCGTGGGCCACACCAGAATTGCCCCCGGGAACACAACTGTCCCTCATGAGCAGTCAACTGCTAGTCCTACTGTGGCCTCCATGACCCATGTCATCTCCTCGAGCCAGGTGTCTGACTCTGGCCCTGCTCAGTCTACAATGTCACAAGACGTTTCCATGGGTGTCAACACCATGGTCTCTACCTCCCCTGTCCTGACAGTGTCTGCAGATAATGCCAAAACAGTCTTTCCTGGGGCTTCATCACAGGATGCAAGAACCACATCTGCTTCAGCCCTGGCCTCCCAGGCAGAGAGTCAAACGACTAGGACTGAGGGCTCAACACAGTCACACATGACCATTAGCATGGACACAGAGTCTGAGGGGGTGCCACAGACAAGCCCTCCCTCTGAAGTCGACAGCAGATCCCCATCGTCCCTGGAGCCCTCGCATGCCGTGAGCTTGACTTCGCTAGCATCCCCCACATCACAGACCAGTGACCGTTCTTCATCTGTACCTGCCACCTCACCTGGAACCCATGACCCGCTGATGACCACCGGCAGTTGGGCAACAAGCATGGCACCTGTGACAAGTTTACCTTCATATTTGATTAGCACCTCAGAGGGGATGCAGGCCACTTGGGAAACCTCTACTGCCACAGCAGACATCCAAGATTCCATTAACACAGAGGTAACCAGTGTGGAGAGCATCACTTCCTCACTGGGGTCACACTCCTCTGCTCCACCTGGCTCAGAGACCGCCAAAGGCGCCACTCCAATTGTGATCTCTTCCCTCAGTCAGTCCTCCACAGTCTCCACACCATTGCCTGGCCTTTCTGAAGCCACAGAGCTTGAGCCACAGTCAAAGTCATCTCTGTCTCTGGAGCCAACGGACACCAGCACCATGCCTCACAACAGCATGGCCAGGGAAAACATCACTGTCCCTTCTGGGCCGCCCACTGCTAGTCCTACTATGGCCTCCATGACAGATGTCATCTCCTCTAGAAGGACGTCAGTCCCTGGTCCTGCTCAGTCCACAGTGTCACCAGACATTCCCAAGAGTATCAACACCAGGCTCTCGACCTTCCCTGTCACGACAGTGTCTGCAGAGATAGCCATGGCCACAAAAACAGTCCTCTCTGGGGTCTCATCTCAGGGCACAGGAACCACAGATGTATCAGCTACAGCCTCCTGGGCAACGAGTCACATGGTTGGGACTGAGGGCTCAACACAGTCACACATGACCATTAGCATGGACACAGAGTCTGAGGGGGTGCCACAGACAAGCCCTTCCTCTGAAGTCGACAGCAGAGCCCCATCGTCCCTGGAGCCCTCGCATGCCGTGAGCTTGACTTCGCTAGCATCCCCCACATCACAGACCAGTGACCGTTCTTCACCTGTACCTGCAACCTCACTTGGAGTCTCTGACCTGCTGAAGACCACCAGCGAATGGACAACAAGCATGGCACCTGTGACAAGTTCACCTTCCGATTTGATCAGCACCTCAGAAGGGATACAGGCCACTTGGGAAGCCTCTACTGCCACAGTGGACATCCAGCATTCTGGCCACACAGCAGTGACCACTGTGGGGAACATCACTTCCACACAGGAGTCCCAATCCTCTGCCCTCCCCGGCTCAGAGACCCCCAAGAGCACCACTCCAATTGTCACCTCTTCCTTCAGTCAAGACGGAATGATATCCACACCATTGCCTGGCCTTTCTGAAACCCGACAGTTTGAGACACCGTCAAAGTCATCCCAGTCTCCAGAGCCAAGGGTCACCAGCACCGTGGGCCACACCAGAATTGCCCCCGGGAACACAACTGTCCCTCATGAGCAGTCAACTGCTAGTCCTACTGTGGCCTCCATGACCCATGTCATCTCCTCGAGCCAGGTGTCTGACTCTGGCCCTGCTCAGTCTACAATGTCACAAGACGTTTCCATGGGTGTCAACACCATGGTCTCTACCTTCCCTGTCCTGACAGTGTCTGCAGATAATGCAACAGTCACCAACACAGTCCTCCCTGGGGCCTCATCACAGCGCACACATTCCTTGGCTGTATCAACCACGGCCTCCTGGGCAGAGAGTCACAAGGTTGGAATTCAGGACTCATCACAGTCACATATGACCATTAACATGGACACAGGGTCTGAGGGGGTGCCACAGACAAGCCCTTCTGAACTCAACAGATCACCATCTTCCCTAGTACCTTCACATTCCCTGAGCTTGACTTCTCCAGCAACCCATACATCGCAGACCAGTGGCTTTTCTACACCTGTCCCTGACACCTCACCTGGAGCCCCTGATTTGCTGACGACCACTGGTGGATGGACCACAAGCTTGGTAACCGTGACAAGTTCACCTTCAGATTTGATAAGCACCTCAAATAGGATACAGTCCACATGGGAATCCTCTACTGCCACAGCAGAAATCCAGGGTTCTGACAACACAGTGGTAACCAGTGTGGGGACCATCATTTCCACACAGGAGTCCCACTCGTCCACCCCAATTGGCTCAGAGACCCCCAATGTCACCACCCCAATCATCACCTCTTTCCTCAGTGAGGACTCCACAGTCTCCACACCTTTGGCTGGCCTTTCTGAAACCACGGAGTTGGCAACACTGTTAATGTCATCCCTGTCTCTGGAGCCAGGGGACACCAGCACCAGGCAGCACACCAGCATGGTCAGAGAAAACATCACAGTCCACACTGAGATCTCCACTGCTAGTCCTACTGTTGCCTCTACGACATATGTCATCTCCTCTAGCAAGATTTCTGTCCCTGGTCCTACTCAGTCCACCATGTCACCAGACATTCCCACGAGTATCAACACCAGGCTCTCCAGCTTACCTGTCATGACAGTGTCTGCAGGGATAACCATGGCCGCCAAAACAGTCCTCCCAGGAGCCTCATCACAGCGCACACGAAGCACAGATGCATCAGCCACGTCCTCCTGGGCAATGAGTCACACAGTTGGGACCAAGGACTCAACACAGTCACACATGACCATTAGCAAGGACGCAAAGTCTGAGGGGGTACCACAGACAAGCCCTTCCTCTGAACACCACATCAGATCCCCATCTTCCCTGCTCCCTTCACATGCCATGAGTTTGACTCCTCTAGCATCCCCCACATCACAGACCCTTGGCCTTTCTGCACCTGTCCCTGCAACCTCTCCTGGAGCCCGTGGCCCGCTGACCACCACTGGGGGATGGACCACAAGCTTGGCACCTTTGGCAAGTTCACCTTCAATTGGGAACAGCACCTCAGAAGGGATACAGGCCACTTGGGAAGCCTCTACTGCCACAGCGGACATCCAGCCTTCTGACAACACAATGGTGACCAGCGTGGGGATCATCACTTCCGCACAGGAGTCCCACTCCTCTGCCCCAGTTGGCTCAGAGACTCCCAAAGGCACCACTCCAATCACCACCTCTTCCCCCAGTGAAGACTCCATGGTTTCCACACCATTGCCTAGCCTTTCTGAACACACAGAGTTGGAGACCCAAACAGTGTCATCCTTGTCTCCAGAGCCAGGGGACACCAGCACCATGCAGCACAGCAGCATGGCGACAGAAATCATGACTGTCCCTTCTGAGCTGTTCACTGCTAGTCCTACAGTGGCCTCCACATCTGAGGTTAACTCGTCTAGTAGGATGTCTGTTCCTGGCTCTGCTCATTCTACAATGTCACCAGATGTTTCCACAAGTATTGACACCTTGGTCTCTACCCTCCCAGTCCTGACAGTGTCTACAGATATAGCCATGGCCACCAAAAGTATCCTACCTGGGGCCTCATCACAGGAAACACGACCTACGGATGCATCAGCCATGGTCTCCCTGTCAGAGAGTCACACAGCTGGGACTCAGGGCTCAGCACAGTCAGACGTGACCATTAGTATGGACACTGCATCTGAGAGGGAACCACCGACAAGCCCTCCCTCTGAACACCACATCAGATCTCCATCTTCCCTGGTCCCTTCACATACCATGAGCTTGACTTCCCTAGCATTCCCCACACCACAGACCCTTGGCCTTTCTATACCTGTCCCTGCCACCTCACCTGGAGCCCCCAATCTGCTGACAACCGCCGGTGGATGGACCACAAGCTTGGCACCTTTGGTAAGTGCACCTTCAGATTGGAGCAGCACCTCAGAAGGGATACAGGCCACTTGGGAAGCCTCTACTGCCATAGTAGACATCCAGCCTTCTGACAACACAGCAGCAACCAGTGTGGGGACCATCACTTCTGCACAGGAGTCCCACTCCTCTGCCCCACTTGGCTCAGAGACCCCCAAAGGCAGCACTCCAATCATCACCTCTTCCCTCAGTCAAGACTCCACGGTCTCCACACCATTGCCGGGCCTTTCTGAAACCACAGAGTTGGAGACACAGTCAAAGTCATCCTTGTCTCCAGAACCAGGGGATAGCAGCACCATGCAGCACAGCAGCATGGCCATGGAAACCACGACTGTCCCTTTTGAGCTGTCCACTGCTAGTCCTACTGTGGCCTCCATGATAGAGGTCATCTCATCTAATAGGATGTCGGTCCCTGGCTCTGCTCCATCTACGATGTCACCAGATGTTTCCACGGGTATCGACAGCATGGTCTCTGCCTTCCCAGTCCTGACAGTGTCTACAGATATAGAAATGGCCACCAAAAGTGTCCTCCCTGGGGTCTCATCACAGGGCACACAACCCACAGATGCATCAGCTATGGTCTCCCTGGCAGAGAGTCACGTGGTTGGGACTCAGGGCTCCAGACAGTCAGACAGGACCATTAGTATGGACACAGCATCTGAGGGCCTGCCCCAGACAAGCCCTTCCTATGAACAGGACATGAAATCCCCATCTTCCCTGGTGCCTTCACATGCCATGAGCTCGACTTCTCTAGCATCCCCCACATCTCAGACCAGTGGCTTTTCTGCACCTGTCCCTGCCACCTCACCTGGAGCCCCTAGCCTGCTTACAACTACCGGAGGAAGGACCACAACCTTGGCACCTGTGACAAGTTTATCTTCAGATTTGATCAGCACCTCAGAAGGGATAAAGGCTACTTCGGAACCCTCTACTGCCACAGCAGACATCCAAAGTTCCATCAACACAGTGGTGAGCAGCATGGAGACCATCACTTCCATCCAGGGGTCACACTCCTCTGCCACACCTGGCTCAGAGACCCCCAAAGGCACCACTCCAATTGTCACTTCTTCCCTTAGTCAGGACTCCACAGTTTCCACACCATTTACTGGCCTTTCTGACACCACCGAGTATGCGACACAGTCAAAATCATCCCTGTCTCCAGAGCCAAGGGTCACCAGCACCGTGTGGCACACCAGCATAGCCACAGAATACACGACTGTCCCTTTTGAGCTGTCCACTGCTAGTCCTACTGTGGCCTCCATAACAGAGGTCACCTCGTCTAGCAGGATGTCTGTCCCTGGCTCTGCTCAGTCTACAATGTCACCAGACATTTCCTCGAGTATTGACACCAGGCTCTCTACCTTCCCAGTCCCGACAGTGTCTGCAGATACAGCCATGGCCACCAAAACAGTTCCCCCCGGGGCCTCATCACAGGGCACACAAACCACAGATGCATCAGCCATGGTCTTCCTGTCAGAGAGTCACACAGCTTGGACTCAGGGCTCAGTACAGTCAGACATGACCATTAGCATGGACACAGCATCTGAGGGCCTGCCCCAGACAAGCCCTTCCTCTGAACAGGACATGAAATCCCCATCTTCCCTGGTGCCTTCACATGCCATGAGCTTGACTTCTCTAGCATCCCCCATATCACAGACCAGTGGCTTTTCTGCACCTGTCCTTGCCACCTCACCTGGAGTCCCTGAACCGCTGATGACCACTGGAGGATGGACCACAAGCTTGGCACCTGTGACAAGTTCACCTTCAGATTGGAGCAGAACCCCAGAAGGGATACAGGCCACTACTGAACCCTCTACTGCCACAGTGGAAATCCTGCGTTCTGACAACACAGCAGTGACCAGTGTGGGAATGAACCTTTCTGCACAGGAGTCCCACTCCTCTGCCCCACCTGGGTCAGAGACCCCCAAAGGCACCACTCCAGTTGTCACTTCTTCCCTCAGGGAGAAATTCATGGGCTCCACACAATTGCCTGGCCTTTCTGAAGCCACAGAGTCTAAATCACCCCTTAGTATGGAACCATGGGAAAGCAGCACCTCTAGGCCCACCTACCAGGCCATAGAGAAAACTACTCTCTCTTCTGATGTGTTCACCAGTAATGCTGTCGAATCCTTCAAAACAGGTATCTTGTCCTCTAGTAGGAACACTGTCCCTGGCCCTGCTCCATCCATGTTACCTGATATTCCTGCAGGAATCAACACCAGGCTTTCTACTTCTTCCCTTTTTTGATCATAGGAAAATCACCCTCTTAACTGATACATCCTTTGGGGATGTATCAAAGATCACTCTTGGATGCATCAACCACAATCCTGGGTAGAGTGGTTGGTTTTAGCACAGGCTACATGACCACTAGTATTGTGAATGTTTGTAAGGGGTTATGTGAATTTTTTTTCTTTTTTCAAACTTTGTGCTTCGTTTTTCTGGCAGTGATCCCTTCCACGATGTTACTTTTAAATTTTTTTCACAGTATCTTTAGTAAACGTCATTTCCTATTCCTGTGACCTCACTTCTCATTTTTGTCCCTGTAAAGCTTAGTTTCTTCTTATAGTCTTGGAAACTAAAATCATTTTACCTCTAGTTTTTAAGAACAACTTCATTGAAACATTGGCCACCATTGATGTTACTACAGATTTTGAAAGTATGAATATTTTTTATAAATATAACTTTAATTAATGTGCTGACTAGCCTTTGTAGATATCATACACCTTCCTCTGTCCCCTTCTCTGTGACCTATGCAGAGCCTCTTTCCAGTTGATAGTATCTGTTCTATGGAGGAGACCACTATGTTTACTTCAGTACCTGTCTTTTTTTGACCCCAGAACATTGAGACAGGTCTACTTTCCCATGTCTTTTCTGGACTGCAGGAGATACTCATATCCCTGGACTCTAGTTCCACCACTCCCACATATACACCTTTATCTCCTCGTCCACCATGTTTTGGAGTGTTCCAAGTCTGATATTACCTTTTCGGTTTTGGTTTCAGACCAGCCTTCATCTGGCCAGTGTGCTAAAATTTCAGTGGAAATCTCTCTCTCACTCTTATGCTTCTCTCTTGTGCAGGGTCTGCTGGTATAACCTCCTCTCCAGAACCCAAGCTTTCCATGTCTGTGTCAGAAATTACTTATCACCTGAGCACAGTAAGGCTGTCTTCAGGTGAGACCATTTCAACTGACACATCGGTCCCTTCTCTGTCTGCAGCTACAGTCACATCTGGAGTTTCAGGTGCCAGCCCAGCTGCCTTCTCAGCCAGTCCATTTTTGAGAACAGAACCAGGCCCTGGAGATGCCATGTCCACCATTGCAGAGAGTCTACCTTCATCAGCTTCAATACCATTCCCCTCTTCGACCTTCACTATTGCTTATTCTTCAATCAGCCCAGCCCCTCAGGGAATTACTTCCTCACTGGTTACCCAGCGTACAGTGGGTACCAACATCGGGACAGAAAAGAGCACTGCTGAACAACCCTTGACTGTGGTCAGTACTTTGGAGACATGGACTGAACCAGTCAGGACATCTTTGTCGTCCAATGTGGATACCAGAATAACAGAACAAATTCACTTGGAAACAGTGACAAGCCCTTCTCAACTTCCTCTAAATTCAACACAGTTGACAAGTAAGGTCCCACAGCTCCTATACTCCTACTTTTAGTGGCTTATATGAAATGACTCTTTTCCTGAGAGGCATAAGGGAGTTAATAAGGAACTTATAACTGCACAGAAATTCTTTTAGGAAACATTTGTTGATCTATCCTCAGTCCTAGGCTAGAAACTAGGAAACAAAGTATAAGTAAGCAAGTAGATGATTCTAGTACCATGATAGATGTTTTAACATCACTATGATTATGATGATAATGCTAACAACAGCAGATTTTTTTATAGGGCACTTATTCTGTGTCAGGCACTGTTGTATTAAGTTATTTAATCCTTATGGGAACACAATTTGAAGAAAGGATGATTATAAGCTCATTTTTACATATTAGTAAAATGAGGCACAGACGGTTATGTAATCCACTCAAAATCGATCACAAAGCTAGTAAGTGGTAAGAATTCAGATTGTGTGGCCCTAGGAGTCTATGTTTTTAGTTATTAGGCTAAGTAGGAGTGGTCAGAGAGGGGGGTGAAAAAGCAGGAGATTCTGACATTGCAGAAGCTGTAGGATGGGAGAGTTTTAGGAAGGAAAATGGTCAGTTCTGTCAAATGCTACTAATAGTCAAATTGAAATGAGGTGAGTCCTTCTATAACATTTGGGCACTCAGGGACTTTAATGAAGGGAGTATGAGTAAGTTGCAAAAAACTATAACTAGAACTACACATAGATGCCGGGGAGATATCCCCCCTTTTAATTACATTTTCTAGTTTAAATTCAATTTGCCAACATAGAGTATAGCACCCAGGGCTCATCCCATCAAGTGCCCTCCTCAGTACTCGTCACTCAGTTACCCCATCATCCCCCCACTGACCTCCCCTTCCACAACCCTTTGTTTGTTTCCCAGAATTAGGATATCCCCCTTTGAATTGAGTGTGTTTTTATGTTAAGAACAGAGTCAAAAGTAAGGGAAAAGTGAAAGGAAAAGGTGAGCAAAGGAAATGATGGAACAAAGTAACTATGCAATGTGGGAAGGATTCGGGGTCAAGGAGGTACACCATCTCCAAGAGATCCTTAGATGAAGAAGGGAACCTCTTAGGGATTCCATTCCTCTGAAAAGTTGAATTTTCCCCCAACTTTTGTTTGGTAGACAAGTATAAAGAAGTCCTCTAACTACTTTAGCACCTGCGTTGCTAGACAATATCTATAGGAAGATGAATTGACTACCTCTCAATTCACAGTAAAATTAGACACATTGAACGGTGTTGATGCATGTCTTAAAAGGTGGCTCAGTAGTTGAGTCATGGGTGTTCAGTAAGCAAGTGATGAGTGGGATGATAAGAATGTAGATGAGTGGTTGGATGGATGGATAGAAGGATAAAAGGAAGAACAGAAAGACATAAATGAAAGAAGAGAGATCCGATATATAGAAGGGAGGCTTGATGTAGAGAAGGGAGAAAAGAAGGAAGGATGGATGGGTAGATATAGGGATAGATGGAAGGAAAGATGGACAAATCTACAAGTGGATGAATGGGTCAATGGACAGAGGTGGCCATTCATAGCACATAGCCTGGCTCAAGTCCATACAGGTGGACTTGAGAAGAATTGAATTGTATAGTCATCTAAGTGGATCCAGTTAGACAGTGCTCTCCTTCTGGATAAAATGAATTAACTCAGGTTTCTTCTCCAACCTCACTTTCAGGGACTGATGGCATCGTGGAACGCATCACAAAGATACCCAACGAAGCAGTCCATGGAGGTGCCACAGGACCAGACCATGTCCATGTGTCACCCACATCATCTGCTAGTCCTAGAGGTAGGTTCAACTTTGCTTACTTACCAGTAATCCCACATGTGGCCTTATTTCCTTTTCCAGAGAGATGGCATGTTTGTTTCTTTAGAGGAAGAACAATGGTGGGGTGGCCATGGGATTCCCTGTCTTAGCTGGATTTTTGTCTAATAGCTACCAGGGGATGTTGCCACTTTTCTTTTACTCATAACATGCATAGTGAGTTGAGTTCAAGATTGGATATGTCAGTTCCACAAATATGACCCAGTTTAACTGAATTCTGAAAATGCTTATTAATCACTTTCATTGTATTAGAGACTGTGCTGAAATGGAGAATGCACAGATGAAAATCCTGTATTCATGGAGCTCTCAGACCCGCAGGGAAGAAACAAAGGAACAGAATTACTATGATGCAACTTTAAACATATGCAATGAAGATGTATTTGAACTATAGAAGGAAAGCTTAATGAGGAAGATAATATTTGAATTGGGTTTGAAAGAATGACTAGGGATTTAACAGAAAGACGAAGGGGGTTGATGAAGACATTCTGGATAGAGGGAACAGGCACGTGCAAAGGCATAGAGAGGGATAAGACTGGAAATATTTGGGAGGTACAAAAAAATTGCTAAAATGTGAGATAGAAGGATAGAGTGGTGGAAAATGATACTGGAGACAGAGGCAGAAAACAACATTCAGAAAACCTTCTAAGGCTTGGTAATGCTTGGTTGGATATTATTTAACAAAAGGACAAAGAATTTTGAGGCAAAAAAAGGTTTGACAAACATGTTGTTCCTTCCTAAAGAACCATAACATGTATAAACATATTGAAGGCTCTGAGAAATCCTACTGTAAAGAAATTGTTTAGCTTTATTCAACATAGAGTTTTACACAATTACTTGACTATATAATCTTTCTCTCTAAAAGGCACCTGCTAATGTTTCTCAGTGTGATTATTCTGCCTGAGAGTTTAAGAAGTTCAGGTGTATACAGCAAGGGGTTCTCACTGTGTGGTTAAAAGGTAAAGCTCCCCATACCCATTGATTTATTCCCAAGATTTTTGGAGCCCAGACTATTTTACATTTTGGAAGCTTTCTGCAAGATACAGGCTTTAGACAGAGTTACCCCACAATCAGATGATTAGTCTCATCCTGTGACCCAGGCGTCTTTGGTTGGATTTCCTTAAAAGCAGAGTTGAGTTAAGGATATGGGGCAAGTGGCTTGTCTCAGGTGGGGGATGGTCCCAGGAAGCACTGGAGAAGACAAGGAAAGGAAGTGAATGCAAGTTGCATTCATGAGCAGGCCACAGCTGTGAACAACAGTGTCAATCCCACTAGGAAGCTCTGGGAGACAGCAGAGAGTACCTCAATGTTGTTCTATCTGAGGAACGAAGTGGATGTGGGGCATTTGTTGTCCGACTCTCTTCTATTATTGGCTCTAGAATGCTTGATCCTTGGGTAATAACTCTCAATACTTCCAGCCTACCCCCTGCCCCCGCCACAGGCTAAGTGAGAGCCCTTAGGTGTGGAGTCACAGGGGCTGCATCAGGACCCCATTGGGGTCACTATATGGAATATAGTTGGGCATTGACAGGATTGGTTACATCAGTTCACCAGGAAATGAATCACTGGGTTTCAGGTGGTGACCAGTATTTAGATAGCAAAGCATATGAGGAATAGCTAACAGTTTTCATTGACTCCTTTCAATATAGAGCAGGGTTTCTCAACCTCAGCCCTATTAGGCAAATAATTACTTGTGAGCTGTCCTGTGCACTGTAGGATGTTTAGCAGCATCCTTGGCTTCTACTCATTAGATGCCAGTAGCATCCTACACATACACACAGTTGTGCCAACCAAGACTGTCTCCCAACAATGCCAAGTATCCCCTGGGAACAAAATCACCCCGGATTGAGAACCTGAACCAAAAAACTTCTGTTTAACATTCTCTCCAGATGTGCATTTCCTCCTTACGTTCTTCTCTTTTCATCAGAACCACCACAAAATCCTGAAATTCAGTTAGAGAATGATATACTACAGTGCCAGAGAGCATTGGTTTAGCATGAGGCAGAATACTGTTCGAATTTCCACATTAGCAGTCAGTAGCTGTGTGACCTTGGCAGATGATGATCTCTGAGTTTCTGTCTTTCTCTTCTATGAAACCACAAGAATAATATGATGTATATTCAGTGCTCTGGTGAGGATCAAAGAGATAAAATATGCTAGGTGCTTGCAAATGTCCCTCTTCCTCCTTTTCCCCTCCTCCTCGTCTTTCTCCTTCTCCTCCTCCTCATCACCAAATACATACTAAGCACTTCAGTAGTCCACTCTCAGAAATTTAGGGGTTTGGGATAGTCTTAGCAAAAGAGGGACATCGCTTTTCCATCAGAGTCTAAATCCCCTTTATTTTGTCCCTGGATCAAGCGCCGGATAGTCTTGTGGTCCTTATAGAGAAGTCTGCTGGTTGTTCTCCTGCCTTCCTGGGGACCATTTTTTGAAGCTCCAGTCAGCAGCTGCTGTCTCAACCAATATGACTTTCTGCATCTTCAGGGTCTGAATTCCAGTCACCCTGGCCAGCTTCAGTACTGGTCTAGCATGATTCCTGGCAAATCTGACTCAACAAATAGTTATTTTGTAGTGGAAATACAAAAAGTAGCCATAGTAGAAACAGTAGTAATAACCAGTAATAGTTGGTAAGAGTAGCGGTAACAACAATAATAGTAACAATGGTAATAGAGGTAACAGCAATGATGGTAGATATTAGCAGTGGTAGTAGTCACAGCATTAGTAATAGTAGCAATAAGAGCAGTCATGGTAGATAGTAGCAGTGACAGTAGTAATGGCAGTAACAGCAGGTAGTTGTAGAAGTAGCAGTGGTAGTACTGTGAGCCAGGAGGCACCAGGCTTGGTGCACTTTTAAAAAAGATTTATTCATTTATTTGAACGAGAGAGCATGCATAAGAGTGAGAGAGCAAGAGCAGGGAAGGGGGAGACAGAAATCTGAACAGACTTTAGGCTGAGCACAGAGCCCAACATGGGGCTCGATCCTACAACCCTGAGATCACCACCTGAGCCGAAACCAAGAGTTGGCTGCCCAACCGATTGAGCCAGCCAAGCGCCCCAGCTTGGTACATTTTTATCAGCATTCTGAGATGGCCACTCTACTTATACCTACTTTTCAAATGAGAAGATGAAAGTCTAGCAAGGTTCGATAATACATCCAATTCGTGGAGAAGCCAGAATGTAAGTGCAGGACTGCCTTCTTCCAGAACCCAAGTTCTTAAGTACAATGACACATAATTTCTCTCAAGCCAAAGGAGACCTGTCTCTGCATACATCCATCTACATATCCGTTCATTCACTCATTCATTCATTTATTCAACAAATGTTTGTGGACGCTTCCTATATGCCAAGCAGTCTTCTAGCTATTAATAGCTATTATCAAGCAGACTGTGAGGAGTGCCAGGGTGCAGACTCAGGCGGTAGAATAGTGAAATATTGAGAAGGAAGAAATTAATTCTGACATGGATTGACATGTAAAGGTCAATTTGAGAGTCTGGAAGCTGATGAAAGATGGGCAAGGCAGACAGAGAAAACAGCTTGAACAAAGGGTTAGGGACTGGAGAGTACAGACAACATTTGGGAACAGGGAGTGGTTAAGAATTCACGGAGTTACAGCACAAGGTGAGAAGGGGAAGGTGCAGGAATGTCAATGACAATTCCTTTTCCCATTCCAGAAGCACTGCAGGCATATCCCAGGCAGACACATTTCTCTCCCTTTCCTCATGTGGAGAAAAAATAAGCTATTGCCAGTCCGGTAAGCAACAATCATTTTGTCCAAACTGTGTGTCCATCCCCCAATTCACAGGACTACCAACAGAGTGGACAGAAAGAGCAGAGATCACAGCTCTGAAGCACACCTCTACAGCAACTTTGACCACTACAGTCTCTACTCCCACTTCCGGAATGCTGACTCTCCTCGGGACATCAGGTAAAACGGCCAGCACAAGCACAAGAAGAACAATTATTACAGCCCCAGATGTTTCCCCTGATGTTCTAGAAATGACAGCCTCATTGGCCACCAGACCTGAAGCAGAGACCAGCACAGAGGTTCCCAGGACAACCTCGTCTGTCTTCAACAGAGGGTCAGAAACCACACCGTTACTGGTCCTGAGTTCCGAAGCAAAGAACAGTTCACCTGTTCCAACTCTGACTGTTTTCTTTGGTGAGCCAGAGACCACAACCTCATGGGTCACTCATCCTGCAGAAACCAGCTCAACTCTTTCCAGGGAAACCCTGAATGCTTCCCACAGTGAATCATATAGCACACCCCCAACCAGTTCTGGGGAAGACGTCAGTTCAGCTGTTCCAACTCTGACTGTCTTCCCTGGTGTATCAGAAATCGTGACCTCACTGGTGACCAGTCCTGGAGCAGAGACGAGTATGGCTATTTCAACTCTGGCTGATTCCCAAGATGAATCAGAGACCACTGCCTCATGGGTCACTCATCCGGGGGTACAGAGCAGTTCAGCCATTCCAACTTCACATGTCTTCCCTGGTGAGCCAGGGCTGGTGACCTCACTAGATACTAGTTCTGGAGTAGAGATCAGCCCAGCTGATCACACCCTGACTATTTCTCCTGGTGAGCCAGATACAATAGTCTCATTGGTTACCCATTCTGGGGCACAGACTGGTTCAGCCATTCCACCTCCAGCTGTCTCTCCTGGGACAGAAACTATTTCCACTATTACAACTTTGACTGTTTCCCCTGGTGAACCAAATACAACAGCCTCATGGCCTCATTCCAAAGAGAACAGCACATCTGTTTCCAGGATAACTCCAAATTTTTCCCAAAGTGAATTAGACACTGTACTTTCTATGGCCACCACTCCTGGAGCAAAAGCCAGCTCAACCACTCCAGCAATTACTGTCTCACCTGGTGTACCAGCTATGGTGACCTCACAGGCCACTAGTTCCAGGACAGATGCCAGTACAACCTCTTTGACTCTGACTGAATCCCTGCATGAATCAGATACAACAGTTTCCTTGGTCACCCATCCTGCAATGTCCAGCCCAGTGGTTCCTAGGACCACAACCCCCAATGTTTCCCATAGTGAATCAGAAAGTGCACCCTCAACAGCCACCAGCCTTGAGACAGAAGCCAGTTCAGCTGTTCCAACTACATCTGTCTCCCCTGGTGTACCAGATATAGTGACTTCACAGGCCACTAGTTCTGGGACAGATGCCAGTATGGTTATTTCACCTCGAACTCTTTCTTCTGGTGAACCAACAAACACAGTCCCATGGGTCAATCATTCTGGATCACAGACCAGTTCTGTTCCAACTCTGACTGTCTCCCCTGGTGTATCAGGGGTGGCAACCTCACTGGTCACCAGTTCTGGGGCAGAGACCAGTACAACTTTTCTAACTCTTACTGATTCCTCACATGATTCAGATACAACAGCCTTACAGGTCACCCATTCCACAAAGACCAGCACACTTGTTTCCACAATAACTCCAAATTTCTCCTACAGTGAATCAGATACCTCACTCTCAACAGCCACAACTCCAGGGGTAGAAGTCAGTTCACTTCCAGCTATAACTATCTCACCCAGTGTGCCAGGGTTAGTGACCTTACTGGTTACCAGTTCTGAAGCAGAAACCAATACAACTTTTTCAAGTCTAACTAATTCTCTGCATGAACTAGAGACCACAGCCTCATGGGTCACCCATCCTGAGAAAGAAGCCAGTTCAGCTGTTGCAGCTCTGCCTTCTTCCCCTGGGGAGCCAGATACAGCAGTCTCATTGGTCAACCATCCTACCGAGACCAGCCCAACAGTTCCCAGGACAACCCCCAATATTTCCCATAGTGAACCATATACCACACACTTGATGGCCACCAGCCATGGGGCAGAAGCCAGTTCAATTGCTCCAGCTCCAACAGTCTCTCCTGGTGTAACAGATATGGTGACCTCCTGGTTCCCTAGTTCTAAGACAGATGCCAATATGACTATTCCAAGTGTGACACTTTCTCCTGGTGAACCAGCAACCACAACTTTATCAGTCACCCAGTCCAGTGCAAAGACAAGCACAACTGCTTTTCCTCATTTACCAGAGACCATAGCCTCATCATCTATCCAACCCGAGTTGGAGATCAGTGCAGCTCTTCCAACTCAGACTGTTTCCTTCAGTTCAGCAGAAACAACATCCTTCGCCACATCTGTGACCAAGACCAGCAGAGTTGATCTAGGTCCAACTGTCTCACCTGGTGTTTCTGCAGAAACAGCCTCACTCTCCACAGGTCCTGGCACAGACATCAGCACAACTAGTTCAACTTCAACTCTTTCCCCTACTTTTTTGGCAACCACAGGCTTACTGGCCACCAGCCCTGCATCAGATGCTGGCACAGGTATCTCAACGTTGACTGCTGGTGTTCTTGGGTTTGTCAGTACCCCTGAAACCACCGGCGAGCCTTATACCTTAACTTCCTGGGGCACAGAACCATCACCACCTGTGACATCAGTTGGACTCCCTGAATTGTCCAAGACTGTGACCTTGAGAGCATCAGAGACCCCAACACCGCCTAAAACAAGCCACAGGGAAGGATTGAGTGCAACTACTGTCCTGAAAACCACAATTCTTGAAACCACTAATTTAGCTACTACCGGTTCAGGCCCCACCATGGCAGAGACCACAACCACCTTCAGTACAATGGCAGGAAGTTCCTTTGTCGCTGAGACCTCACCTGAGATGTCCACCTTGGCCTCTCTGAGTGTTACTTCAGAAACAAGTAAGAATGACTTTTTTTTTCTGCAGTAAGAATGTATATATACTATAAAACTAGCTTTAAATGTATAATTCAGTGGCATTAATTATATTCACAGTGTTTTACAAATATCATCCTTTGTCCAAAACATTTTATTACCCCAAACAGAATCTGTGTACCCATTAGACGTTAGCTTTCCTTTGGACTCCTTTCAGCCCCTCTAATCCACTTCTGTCTTCTTGAATTTGCCTATTTTAGAGATCTCATGTATGTGGAATCAGTATATTTGTTTTTTTGTGTGTGTCTGGCTTATTTCACTGAGTGCAATGTCATGGTGGTTCATCATGTCATAGCGTGTATCAGAATTTCATTCCTGTTTATGGATGAATGACATTCGATTGTATGGATGGGCCACATTTTATCTGTCTGTTCATCTGTTGATGGACACTCAGGCTGTTTCCACCTTTTGGCTACTGTGGACAATGCTGCGATGAATGTGGGTATGCACGGATCTGTTTGAGTCTCTGTTTCCAATTCTTTGGGATAATATCTCGAGAAAGAATTGCTGAGTCATGTGGTGTACTAGTTTGTTAGGGCAGCGGTGAACACCAAACACTGGGTGCTTTGAACAATAGAAATTTATCAGTTCTAGAGGCTGAAGGGGATCCTGGGAGAATGTATAGAACATGAATTTTGGAGTCATCCTCTCTGCAGGGGCAGTTAGGGAGCTGAGATATTTATCCATCAGCTCCCATCAATCATTGCTCCCTGGGCCTGTTTATTCCCCTGAGACAAGGAGATGCAAGCATTGCTGTGTGCTGAAATGGTAAGAGACAAGGGGAAGTGAGAGGACAGTGACCAACTCAACCTGGTTTTCCCAAGACTGTCTCACTTTTCCAACTGGACGTCTGATCCCAGGAACTCACATAGTCCTGGGAACACTGGGATGGTTGGTCACCCTGTATGGGAGGGTCTTTAACAGCAGACCATTCTAGGCCAAACCCCAGTTCAGTGCTGGAGTTAAGGTATGTCCTCAGAGCCTTCCCTCCCATCCCTAACCCAGGACTGACTCAGGACTGGGTCATTTTACTCTCCCCACCACCACAGCTGCAGTTCCTTTCTTGACACCTTTTACCATCAACTTCACCATCACCAACCTGTACTACACAGAGGACATGGAAAACTCAGGCTCTGAGATATTCAATGCCACTGAGAAAGACCTGCAGCGCCTGGTGAGAGCCCCCCACCAAAGCTCACCTTCTTCCAAGCCTGCCAAACCATGAAGTCTTGGCCTCTCCAGCTCATCACCCTCTCATTTGTTCCCAGCTCAGGATTTTGTTCGAAAACAGCAGTGTTGGTTCCCTCTACGCTGGCTGCAGGCTGACCTTGCACAGGTGAGGCTTCTTCCAAAGGACTTACAGAACCCCAGTTCTCTCCTTTCTTGGTCCCCCACATCCTAGTCAACCACAGCCTCGGGCCTTTGCCGAGAGGCAGCATATCATATTGGATCCAAAGTACCTGGGTTTGAACCTTTGCCCTCCCATTTGCTAGCTGTGTGACCTTGGGAACGTTGTATAACCTCTCTGTTCTTCAATCACATTATCTACAGAGTGGTGATAATACTAGTACCTTACTCTTGGGGTTCTTAATCACTCATCACCATGCCTAGCCCATTGTGAACACTCAATGGGATCTCATAGTATTAGCCAGTGTAGTATCTTTGCCAACCATGTCCCCAGAATCCCCAACACTCTGCCTGCCCCAGCTCTTATCTATCCTATTGGGGACAAACTCTGGACACTGAAATTCTGCAGTATATTCCTTGAAAAGAGATAGGGACTTTCCCAAAGGATGTTATATAGAACCAAAGGGGGCAAAAAACCCAAATGTTGAATACTGGCAGGATACATTGCAATTTAAAAATTCCCAAATGGACCTGAACTCTGCAGAAATAGTCCATCTTCTCCTCTCTGCCTATGCCCATTTGGTATCTTCTGAGGTCAGTGGGGGCTCAGAATTCTTTCCGTACATTTCACGACCTTATGACTTCTCCTTGGGGTCCTGCATCCAGCCAATGCAAGTCATCCGCCAGAGAGGGGTGTCTTCTACTCAAATGGCTCCGTGAGAAGAGGTTCCTGGAGTGTTGTAGACCCACCACACCTGCCCCCACCACCCCATGAGATGGGGGAATCAATAAGATAATATTGCCCATATGATATGCCACCTAAAAATCTAAGTGATATACATGTTTTCATTCATTTCATCTTTACAACAACATGATTATTATCCTACACTGCAGAAGAGAACACTGAGACTCAGAGTAATCAACTTACTTGAGGGGAGCCAGGATTTGAACCCAAAAGTTCTAGATCTTGAGTTCCTCCTTTTAACCACTGCTGGCTCAAAGTCACGGGGATTAACAACTTACATCCTTAAGAGCACTCAGAACTCCAAAGAGCCTGTGGATTTGGAGGTTATTTCTGCTAATATTTACTGGATTAAAAATTAAAACAAATGTTATAAATATTTATTCATTAATTTATTAAAAGTAATAACTATATTGCATGTTAACATAAATAACATAATTTAATGAATAATAGCCATATTTCCCCTGCCTCCCCCAAAAGCATAACAAGAAGAGAGCCTTTATGCAGATCTTTTTAATGTCTGGCTTAGGAGAAGACACTGGGATATCTGCTTCTGCATTCAGTCTTTTACAATATTTCACTTTGTGGCCTCTGGAAAAAAATTCACAGTGACACTCCTGAGAGAATAAAAGTGAAAATAATGTCTTGGTATGAATATGAAAATATTTTACTTGATGGACTCCCTGTAAGAGTTTGGGAATACCAGGAGTCCCTGGGCCACACTTTGACAACTATGCTTTGAGTATCATGGATAATAGAAAGAATTCCCAGGCAAGGGAAGAAGGGGATCTTTCTCATTGTAAAGCCCCCAGTGTGGGCCAAGCACAGTAGGTTCAGCTTAAATTCAGGACAAAAGTCCTCTTATCACCTCTTAATTCATTTTCTCTGTTTTTCTCCAAACTTGGTTGCCTGCTCCTAAGGTGTTCCCAATGGGTTGGGATTCCCAATGGGTTAGTCTGGCTTGGGATTCACCAACTTGAAACAAAGTCTTCCTTTCAGGCTCCATGACGGCTGTTACACAGTGTCACAGTCAGCCACAGGGGTGACTCACTCACCTCCTCCAAGGTCTTCAGTCCTTTGCTATTCCTTTCCATACATGGCCTGGGCTCAGGATTCTCGTTTCCTCCCCGGGAACTCCACACCCCCTATTCCATGACCCAAGCAGGATTCAGCTGTTACTGGAGGGGACACCACCTATACTTACCTTCTTGAGTGGACAGGGACTGTACTAGGTGCTGGTAGTTGACACAATGAACATAAACCAATTAATAAAATGATTGAGGAGCAAAAGAGGGAAATTAGGTATGGAGCAGCCCTGGAGAATACTGCATTTAAGGTGGGGTGGTCTGGATCCCCATATGAGACAGAAAAAGATGTGTTTGAGAAAGCAGATGAAACCCAGAGAAGAGTGCTAATACACACCAAGGGGTACAACGAAGGAAGGCTTTGTCAAGAGTGGCCAACTCTCAGGTGTCTCTGCATGTCCCTATTCCTTTTTTTTTTTTTTTTTGCATGTCCCTATTCCTGTGTCTCTCTTTCCCCAGGGCTGAAGAGGATGGAACAAGCACCAGAATGGACGCAGTCTGTGCCTACCATCCAGATCCCACAGGCTTTAGGCTGGATAGAAAGCGGCTGTACTGGGAGCTAAGCCAGCAGACCCATGGTGTCACTCGGCTGGGCTCTTACACCCTGGACAGGGACAGTCTCTGTGTCAATGGTGAGCACCTCCATTGCTGTTGGGGTCTCCTCTTGAGTCCCAGATGGGCGCTCCTTGGTACAGTTTCTCAGTACCCATGTTCATAGTTTTAGGCCAACCTAGAATTTCCAAGGGGAAATTCTCTTCCATCAGAACACCTAGAAAGCAACTTTTCTTCCCTCCCTCCCTCCCTCCTTCCTTCCTTCCTTCCTTCCTTCCTTCCTTCCTTTCTTCTTCTTCTCCTTCTTCTTTTCTTTCTTTCTTTCTTTCTTTCTTTCTTTCTTTCTTTCTTTCTCTTTCTCTCTTTCTTCCTTTCTTTCTTGTAAATCTAATATTTATTTTGTACATTGTCATTTTAAATATTAGAAACTTTGAGAATGAAAGGGGTATTTTAGGGAAAATTCTTAGGAACCTTCTTATCACATGATTTACAACACAGAGCCTGCCTTTTTCTCTGCCAAGGTGAATTGTTATATTACTTTCTAATTTTTTATCAGATTCCAGCATTTTACCCTGTGTGCTTTCCAGTATGGTAAACTACTCTGAAAATTTCATTAATGTGAAGTTTTGTTTGCTGATGTCACTTCCTTGGGCCATCACTTTTTTGTTACATCTCTTCTCATGAATACTGATGTTTGTCTTCACTACATTCCTCTAGTTGCACAAATGTAGCCTCTCAAATATAAGCAGTGTGGACATTCCATGGTCAGTTAGTCTCTAAGTCCTACTATTTTTTTTGTTAACGTTTTAATTTTAATTCCACTTGGTTAACATATAGTGTTACATTAGCTTCAGATGTACAGGATAGTGATTTGGCACTTCGTGCATTACCTGGTACTCACAGAACAACTTCCAAGGTATGGAAATAAGGACTCCCTCCATAGTCTTCTTTATTGCAGTAACCTTTCACAGAAACCCAAATCTGGAGCATGCAGCTGTCAGGGACGGAAGAAGGTAAAGCAAGCCCACAGTGGCTGTAGGCATTAACTCCTCCCCAACAGGCAACAAGTTCCCAAGGTGGTAACTGATCTGCCTCTTTCTCTTTGTCATGACAGCCTGTGGCCCTTACGCATTTTCCAGGGGCCAGCCAGATTACACCTCACCTGAGTATAAAACAACAAGGCTGTTAGCAATGTTTTTAGCAATAAATCCCTCTGCACCAATGCTCTTAGAAACAAAACCCACAGTAACGCCTATACTAAAGGCTAATATTTATTGAGGGATGCCTATGATCTGGAACATTCTGTGTATCACCTTTTACTAATCCTGTCCAATACCCTGTGACATATTATGTATGTTTTACAGAGGAGCAACCAAGGCTCAAGGAGGGAAATCTACTTTCCCAAGTTCAGACAGCTAATATAAGTGGTAGCAATAGGACTCAAACCCTAAATTGGCTCCAAGGCCTCCCAAGAGGCCCCCTAACCACTAGGCTACCTACAGACTAACTAGAACAAGCCTCAAATCTCAGGATGGGAAGGCATATCAAGAAACCTCTAATATGACAATTTAAACTAATGGTCGATTAATTAATTACATTCCCACTGTATTGACTTTGACATTGGCTTTCTATCTGGATTAAAACCTGTGTTGTATTTCAATAGTCCTCAAGAATTCCTTAAAGCTGTAGTTGAGTGTGGGTTTGGATGATTTACAAGTCTTTCCTTAAGCCCTCATCCTGGTTTTTTGCTCATTCTGTGACCCTGGGCAAACCATGCAACCTCTCTAGGCCTCAGTGTCTATTTTTAGAATGGAATTTTTAAAAACATCATCTAAGATTATTGTAAAGGTCAAATGAGATAAAACCTGAATAATCTAAGTACACTACAGGGCTCCCTCCACAAGATCCAGTCTCAAAGAAGAATTCCATTTCAAGGAGCCCAGTCAGACCATCAAATATAAAATAAATCTAAGTTTTACTTGTATTACTTATTACAGGTCATCAGAGAGGATCCAATCTATGATCCAGAACCATACTTATTCAAATCCCTTTCCCTCTTACTCTCCAACTTTATACTTTGACTCCCCCCTTTGTCTGCCTGTCTCATTCTCTCACCGTCATGATCTCAGTTCCACATTACAGAAGTATAGGAACCATGTCAAAGATCACACTGTCCCTGAAGAGTGAGGTAGTGGGAAAAATTCAGATCAAGGACAAAGGTATATTTAATTGGCAGAGAAAACACAAATAAGGCTGAAAATACTCTCATAAAGTTGCTGTTCCTAATACTCATTTAATGAGGTTAATACTGTCCCAGGCACCTAGTAAACTCCTACACGATGAGGGAGATTTTGATCATTATTGTCTTTGTGGTGGGTGACCATGAGGATGACATGGTCATGAGCACTGGAGTATGAGGCAGTTAATTTATAAAGAGTTGATGAGTCTCAGAGAAACCACTCAAGGAGATTTGTGTTGTGTGTTTCAAGTCCTACCCCTTACTCTTTTCTTAACCTCCTCCCATCAGTTTACTCTTCCTCTCTGGCTCTCTCTGCAGGTTATAACCATCAGTACAGGATCCCCACCACCAGCAGTAAGTCACGAGGGCCCAGATGTCCTTGCACCCCTGGGATGCTTCCTCCCTACACCTGCTCCCTGAGGGGGGGAAGTATCCACCGACCCCCAGTTCTCAGCCCCAGAGCAGCTCCAGACCACCCATTAGAGATGCAAGCTCCTGTCAACAGCCCTGTCCTCTCATTGCTTCATGATAGAACCCAACAATTTGCATTCATGTTGTATTCTTTCATTCCTTCAGCTCTGCTGACTTCCACATTCTCTCCAGGACTCCCTACATCTCTGCCTCCCACTCCCAGCTCTACAGGTAGGAGTTTAATCTCTGAGTCCCATGAAACTGCAACTCCTGTTCTGACTGGTGAATCCCTGCATGATCTGGACCCTGCTATCCACCCAACCCCAGGTTGTCCCACTGTCTCCCTTGCTCCCTCATCTCTGGCTATACCAGCCCCATTTCTGTTCCACCAGAGACCAAACATCTTTCCATACTCAGGGCTTTTGCTCTCACTGTAATGGGAACTCAGCTCTGTTCCTGGTTTTTCTTTGTCCTCCAGATTCAGGTCAGCTGGCTCTTGCTTAAACCTCCTCCTAGAAAGTAGCTTTTCCCCATATCTCACACATAGATGTGTTCTAATCTCTATTCTATCTCTATGATCATTTCCTTCATGGAAATTACTATTGTTTGGATTTCTTGACTGTCCAAGCATTTGTGACACCAAAAGTCTTGGCCCCTCCTCTTCCCACCAAGATGTTGTGACAGGTCAGCCTTTGAACACTCTGGGATAAGAAGATTGAAGTTTCCTTTTGAGCTGCTATGACACATCTACCATGGAGGTCCCCTCTCCTCCCTTGACTGGCTAAGGAGGGAGGGTACCCTGGAAGGGATAACTCAGGCTTCACCTACTGGGCACTGAACAGAGAGATGGCACTAGTGTCTTCCCTCTGATGTACAGGGGGAGGTCTCAGGCCTAAGACTGTGATAGGTCTCTTCCCTCTCTCCCTCCTGCTGCAGGTGTGGGTCCAGCCCTGGTGCCATTTACCCTCAACTTCACCATTACCAACCTGCTCTGCACCCCAGACATGAAGCACCCAGGTTCTATGAAGTTCAACTCCACTGAAAGGGCCCTGAATCGCCTGGTAAGAGCCCAACAATGCTTTCTCTGGCCTGCCTTGTCCTTTCCTCACCCAGTCACCTCAGCCTCTCCTGCTTAACTCTTTCTCCTTCCTCCCAGCTTGGCCTCTTGTTCAGGAATACCAGTGTTGGCCCGCTGTACTCTGGCTGCAGACTGACCTTGCTCAGGTGAGACTTCCTTCTCTTATAACATGAAGGCTTGCACTGTTACAGGCAAGTTCACCTGGTAGTGCAGACCTGAACGTAGCAACCAGAAGAATCATGAATGGCTGAGGTCTTCCAGGAATTCAGATGAAAGACATCCCCTCTGGGTATTTCAGAGAGGGCTTCCTGAAAGAGGTGGCTGTCAAATAAAGGTCTTAAATTACTTGTATAAGCAGAGCCATGGAGCATTCATGCTCACTGGTCAGAAAGGGCAGCATTGACTCTTTAGGCAGACATAAAATGACACACCTCAGGCCATGGCCTGTGACAGGTGCTAAGAGCACTGAGAGAGTCAGTCATGGGCCCTTCCCTTAAGGTACCCACAGTATTGAGAGGACAGCAACCATATGGACTTAAAACCATAATAGGAACAGTATTACTACAATGATAAAGCACTAAATGGAGGCCATAGAGGCCCGGAGGATGGACTTTTAGCTCATTGTGAGGAAGTGGAGTGGAGACAGTCTGGAGAAGGTGATGCCTGAGCTGAATAGGTATGAATAGGTATTAGCTAGAAGAAATTTTGGCAAAGATATTTCAAGGGGTGGCATGTCTCAGATCCATGAGGAACCATGGAGTTGTATGCAGAATTTTGATGTGATATCATTTATTTTAAGTAGTGCACTGGTAGATGTGAGGAAGGAGCAGGAGGTGGGGAAACCAGTGAGATGCTGGGCTAGACCTGGATGTTGCTTGGATGGGGGGTACCAAGGACAGGGGAAGGTCCAGAATGCTTCCACATATTTGGCTCCATATATTTGGCTCATCTTAGTTGAGAAGGCCCCAGAAAGAATGTGCATGAGAAACCAGACAAGACCCAGGAACGTGAAACGTCATAAAACAAGGCTGGGGGCAAGGGGCAGCAAGCTGAAGGCTAGAGTTGAACAAAGTATATAATTCTCCTACATCTCAGGATACCCCTATTCCCATGTCCCTACTACCCTAGGACTGAAAAAGATGGAGCAGCAACTGGAGTGGATGCCATCTGCACCTATCATCCAGACCCCACGGGCCCTGGGCTGAATAGAGAAGAATTGTACCAGCAACTCAGTCAGCTGACCCATGGTGTCACCTTGCTGGGTACCTACACCCTGGACAAAGACAGTCTGTATGTCAATGGTGAGTGTTTGTGCTGCAGTTAGGGTCTCCAGTCCCATACTTCTTTATACTAGTAGTTCTCAACCAGGATGATTCTGCTCCCCAGGGGACATTGGCAATGTCTGGAGATATTTCATGTTATGACCGGAGTGGTACTAGTGACATCTAGTGGGTAGAAGCCAGGGGTGCTGCTGAACATCCCGCAACACACAATGCAGCCCTCCACCATGAAGAATTATCTAGACCAAATTGTCGATAATGCTGAGTGTGAGAAATTGCTATGTACAGATTTATAGTTCTCATGCAAACCTAGCGTTTCCTTGGGGACTCATTTTTGACTGCTTAACACATCATGGGAGGCTGATCTCCTTTCCCTTTTCACCTCTTAGATGACATTTTTCTTCCTCCTTATTTCCACTGCTCCCCACAAGAGCCCAACTGGAGCATGCAGACTCTAGGGGGATAAGTGGGTGATGCAGAACTCTGTGGCTAAGGTTTCCAAATGGGCAGTGGGTAACCATGTCAACCCTCACCCCATGTCACTCTCTCCATCACGACAACCAATGTTTAAGTTCCCAGAGGCCAGTCAGAGCTACACAGACTTCATGAAATAACATCATACTTAGCACATGCTCCATAAGTAATGACTCTGTGCACAAAACCATTGGCAACAATGCCCTTAAGACCAATGCAAACACTGAGAACAGTAACTATAATCATGGTTAATTCTCATCAAATGGTTCTTATGTGCCAGGAATTGTGATAACATCTTTATTTGTATTATCTCATCTCAAACCCCTGTGAGTTGTTATAGTTATTTTTACAGAGAGAGCCATTATATATTCGAACAGGAAGTCATTTGCCTGAGATAATCCAGCCATCATGCATGACAGAACAAGACTCAAACCCAGAACTGAATCTAAACCCCAAGTTCCTAACCACAAGGCAACGCCACAGACCATCCAGATAGAGAAAGCCTCAAATTTCAGGACAGAAAGGGGCACGAGGGACATCTAGCCTAACAATCTAATCTATATCTTGATTAGTTATTTCCGCTCTATATCAACATGGAGATTTCCTTAAAGCAGTGGTTAACTTTGAGGATTTTGAGGATTGGTGAATGACAGATCTCTGTTTTATGTGATGCTGAACAAGCTGTGCAACCTCTCTAGGCTTTAATATCCCATTTGCAGAATGGAATAAGCATACATGTCATGTAGGATTGTCCTGATTGTCAAATGGAAGAGGTCCAGTCTTGACGCCCACCCCTCACAGAGCATCCAAGGAGATGACCATGACTCAGAGAAACACTCATAAAAAATTCTCAATTCCCAATTCCTTTCAGACTCCAATTTTTATGCCGTCCATCTGACCTCCAGTTCTCTTCTTATCTTCATTATCCTAGCCCATTTCCAAAGTTACCCTGATATTCCAAACCACATGGAATCTTGTTCACTTCCACAGACCCCTCTCTCAACCTGCCACAATTCTATCATTTTTACATCACTCCCAAAAAATCAGAAACTAAGTTATAAAGATAAAATCACATTATCATAAAATTTGTGAATGGAGAGAAGCTGAGAGAGCAAGGATAAGTTATCTTTCTGGATTGAGAAGACATGGATAAGGCTTGGAACACACTTGTTTGTAAATTTATCCCCAGTTCCTTGTCATGTGGTGTTTAGCATTATTTCTGGTGCTTAGTGTATTTCCCAATAAATAGGGACAGCTCTTACTATTGTATTTTTCTTTTGGCAATAATAACAGTGAAGAAGTTCACCATTATTTGCAAAGGACAAGGCACATAAGGGCACTGAATAAAATGTGGCTGTTATTGTTCATTTATGAATCTCACCAAGCATGTTAATGAATTTCATCTCTATGTCTACCATCTTACCTTTTCTTTAACTTTTGCCCATTATAACCGTCCTTTATTCCTTTCCGCAGGTTATAACCATCGGTACCAGACCACTACCACCAGCAGTGAGTATTCACGACTGTGAAATTTCAATGCCCACTCGACCCTATTCCCCAAGCACATTCTTCTGGAGAGAAGCTGACAATGCTTCCTCCCTAAGTGTCCAGCCACAGACTCAGAAGAACCCCCAACTCACCCAGGGTCTTGCTCAGAGTCAAGACAGAAGACCAAATTCTAATGAACAGCTTTGGTCCCACATTCCTTCAGGATGGGACTTAATAATTTTTTCCGTGTTCTTTTTTTCTCAGCTCCAGTGACTTCTACCTTCACTCCAGAATCTTCCACAACTCTGTCCTCCATCCTCAACTCTACAGGTAGGAGTCTGCTCTCTGGGACCTGTGAAACTTCAACTCTACGCGGTCTGGTTGCTATCGACCACCTATCCTTAGCCTATCCTACTCACTGTCTCCCTCGCTCTCTAAACTTTGGCCACATCAGACACTTGTCTGTTCCTCTGGTGTCTTAACCTCTGTCTGGCCTTTATACTAGCTCTTTCTGGAGATCAGCTGCACCTGGGGCCTTATTGCCTTTCAAATCTCAGCTCAACCATCGCCTTTGAAAAACCCTCCTATGAGGATCCCTGGGTGGCTCAGCAGTTTAGCACCTGCCTTTGGTCCAGGGCGTGATCCTGGAATCCTGGGATCAAGTCCTACATCAGGCTTCCTGCATGGAGCCTGCTTCTCCCTCTGCCTGTGTCTCTGCCTCTCTCTCTCTCTCTCTCTCTCTTTCTGTGTGTGTCTCATGAATAAATAAATAAAATCTTTAAAAAAAAATGCTCCTAGACCACCTTATAGGAAGTAGCACATCTGAATGCCACACTTGGCACTTGGGCCACAGGTTTTCTCTATCCACCAACATGAGTATTTTCTCATGGAATTTACTACTATTGGCCCTATTTAGACTATTCATGTATTTGTCACCTTGGAGCTGAGGGCCTAGTCTGCACTTGCTTTATATTTATTGACTGGATGAATGGATGAATGTAGCAATCATGTATATGTCCACATTTGTGGATTCTATTTGAACATCCAGAAAATCATTCAGGATCTGAACTTGCTTCTTGCTCTGTCTCCTCATCTTGTCCAGATGTGGATCTGAGGGCTCTTGAGTTTCCAGGAACCTGACACAAGGGCTTGGTTTATGTCAGGAAACCATCTTACTTCAACTCTTAAGATTTATTTTAAAAATTGAGTCTATGGGTATTTTTCATGCTTACATCATGACCCAGGCTGGGTGTCCCTGACCTTTAATCCTGCCATGGGAGTCTGGAGTTGTGGGATCCAAGCTGGTGTCCTATAATTTGATTTCTGTCTTCTGGCATTCTTTGTTTCATGGGTCAAAGCATTGCAAACTTTTTATAAGCTTTAGACAGAATGCACACTTTCCATGTCCTTACTCTACCCTGATCAATTCAACCATTTCTATAATAGGCCTAACTGCTACAAGCTTGTAAATTTGTGACATACACCATAGACCAAGTCATTCCATGTTTGATGGCATCATTTCTGTAGATGCATTCAAGATTTCTTCTTCATCTTTGGGTATGATGGGTATGATGTATCTCAGCATGATTTTCTTTCGGTAAATACTGTTTGGGATTTTTGAAGCTTCCTGAATTGAAAATATGTGTTTTTAAGAAATTTGGGGAGGTTTTAGCCACTCTTTCTTTTTTTTCTAGTTATACCATTACCATTTATTTAGAAAATTTCTTTTGCCCTTAAATTGTACAGGTTCCCTTGTTGAAAATCAATTCATCACAAATATGAGGATTTGTTTCTAGACTTGTGTCTATCCTCATCCACTACCTTGCTATCTTGATAACTATAGCTTTGTCTGCTGTAGTTTTCTTTTTCTGTGTGTTTTTATTTAAATTCCAGTTACTTAACATAAGTCTTGTATTAGTTTCAGGTGTACGATATAGTGATTCAACACTTCCATACATCACTTCACACAAGTGCACTCCTTAAATCCCTATCACCTATTTCACTCATCTCCCCACCCATCCCTCCTCTGGTGACCATCAGTTCTCTATAATTGAGAGTCCTGTTTCTTTTTTTTTTTTTTTAAGATTTTATTTATTTATTCATGAGAGACACAGAGAGAGAAAGAGGCAGAGACACAGGCAGAGGGAGAACATGGAGGCAGGCTCCATGTAGGAAGCCCGATGTGGGACTTGAGCCCAGGTCTCCAGGATCAGGCCCTGGGCCAAAGGCAGCTCTAAACTGCTGAGCCACCTGGGCTGCCCGAGAATCTGTTTCTTGATTTGACTCTCTCTCTCTCTTTTTTTTCCCTATGCTTGTTTGTTTTGTTTTTTAGATTCCACATATGAGTGAAATCATATGGTATTTGTCTTTCTCTGATTGACTTATTTCACAAGTGCAATACTCTCTAGCTCCACCCATATTGTTGGAAATGGCAAGATTTCTTTTTTATGACTAATATTCATACATATATGTATACATTACATCTTCTTTATCCATTCGTCCGTCAATGGACATTTGAGTTGTTCTTATAGCTTGGCTATTGTAGATAATGCTGCTATAAACATTGGGGTGCATGTATCCCTTTGAATTAATATTTTTGTATTTTCTGAGTAAATACCCAGTAGTACGATTACTGGATCATAGGGTAGTTCTACTTTTAACTTTTTGAGGAACCTCCATACCTTTTTTCAGTGTCGCTGCACCAGTTTGCATTCACACCAACAGTTCAGGAAGGTTCCCCTTTCTCCACATCTTCACTAACACCTATGGTTTCTTATTTTTAAATTATTTTAGCCATTCTGACAGGTGTGAGGTGATTTCTCATTGTAGTTTTGATTTATAACACACCTTATTTATCCACTCATTTGTCAATGGACATTTGGGTTACTTCCACCCTTTGACTATTGTGAATAATATTGCTATAAACATGGTTGTACAAACAGAAAAATATCTATTTTTGAATTAAAAAAACCATTGCAGCTGTGCTGTTTATTTGCATGTGGGCCTTGGGTAAAATTTACTTTCTGAGTCTCAGTTTCCCCAACTGTAAAATGGAACTGGTAATACTTCACTCTCAGGATTGGGATGAGGGTAAGTTGAGATGCTGTAGATGAAGTGCCCAGTACAAAGGCTAGCACAAAACTGGTGTTTCTCATATGAAATTTTTTTTAATTTTTTTAATTTTTATTTTTTAAATAATAAATTTATTTTTTATTGGTGTTCAATTTGCCAACATACAGAATAACACCCAGTGCTCATCTCGTAAAGTGCCCCCCTCAGTGCCCGTCACCCATTCACCCCCACCCCCCATCCCCCTCCCCTTCCACCACCCCTAGTTCATTTCCCAGAGTTAGGAGTCTCATGTTCTGTCTCCCTTTCTGATATTTCCTACCCATTTCTTCTCCCTTCCCCTCTATTCCCTTTCACTATTGTTTATATTCCCCAAATGAATGAGACCATATAATGTTTGTCCTTCTCCGATTGACTTATTTCACTCAGCAAAATACCCTCCAGTTCCATCCATGTCGAAGCAAGTGGTGGGTATTTGTTGTTTCTAATGGCTGAGGAATATTCCATTGTATACATAAACCACATCTTCTTTATCCATTCATCTTTCGATGGACACCGAGGCTCCTTCCACAGTTTGGCTATTGTGGACATTGCTGCTATAAACATTGGCGTGCAGGTGTCCCGGCGTTTCATTGCATCTGAATCTTTGGGGTAAATCCCCATCAGTGCAGTTGCTGGGTCAGGGCAGCTCTATTTTTAACTCTTTGAGGAACCTCCACACAGTTTTCCAGAGTAGCTGCACCAGTTCACATTCTCACCAACAATGCAAGAGGGTTCCCCTTTCTCCACATCCTCTCCAACATTTGTGGTTTCCTGCCTTGTTAATTTTCCCCATTCTCACTGGTGTGAGGTGGGATCTCATTGTGGTTTTGATTGCACATGGATTGGCAGAATTAATATTGTGAAAATGTCAATGTTACCCAGGGCAATTTACACATTTAATGCAATCCCTATCAGAATACCATGGACTTTCTTCAGAGAGTTAGAACAAATTATTTTAAGATTTGTGTGGAATCAGAAAAGACCCCGAATAGCCAGGGGAATTTTAAAAAAGAAAACCATAGCTGGGGGCATCACAACGCCAGATTTCAGGTTATACTCAGATGAAATTTGTAAAGGGTATAGTCACCCAGTTCAGACCTCTGGCCTTTTGATTCTTCATACCCTAACCCCAGGATGACCATACAGTTGTTTTTTGTTTGTTTGTTTGTTTGTTTGTTTGTTTGTTTTTATGGGGCACTTTTGACAAAGAAAGGGACGGTTGAAATTAACATTTACATGAGACCCACATGACTGTCCAGGGAAAACCAGGAGATGTGGTCAGTTCATGCATAATTCACTTTTCAAATATGGCTTAATGAAGCTGAGGCAGGAGTCACTGTACAGGGAACAGACTTGACCACTCAGCAGTTGCACATTCTCCCATGGCAAAGTCAGAAGACTATGCGAGATCTCTATCCCAGGGGCCAGCGGAGTGACTGCTTCTTTTCCTCCCACCAAAATATCTACCAATTGTTTGCCTGTAGACACACTGAACTGAAGGGTTGAGGTTCTTTTTGCAGCTGAAATCATCCATCCAGTATAGAGGCCTCTCCCCATCTGTAAGTCTGGCTGGATGCAAGGGTAACACTGAGGGAGTGGCAACCCTTGGATCTGCCTCTTACAGCATCCTAGCCAGAGATCATCATGAAACCCCCTCCCCTTTTCTGGCTGCAGGTGTAAGCCTATCTCTGGTGCCATTCACCCTCAACTTCACCATCACCAGCCTGCGCTACACAGAGGACATGGGGCCCCCAGGATCTGAGCTATTCAGCACCATAGAGAGGACCTTGAATCGTCTGGTAAGAGCCCCTCTAATGCCTACCCTCCAGTGCCTACTTTTGTCCTGCCCAGCCCCTTGGCCTATCTACTTACCTCCATGTCTTTCATCCCCAGCTCAAACCCTTATTCCAGAACAGCAGTATTGGGCCCCTCTATAATGGCTGCGGACTGACCTTGCTCAGGTGAGAACTCCAGGGTGCACACGCAGGCAATGGGCAGGGGGTGAGGGGACCACTGTTCCAGGGACTGCTGACCAATCTGTCACATTGTGTTCCTAACCAGAAAAATGCAGAATCCTCTCAGACTCTCCTTCCCAGGTAACAACTGCCCAGGTTGAACTCTTCAGAAAGATCATTCTTCTGGAACCCATTGAGAAAACAACTAGTAAATCATGCTAGCTTCATCACAATAGAGCCCTAGTTTTCAACCAAGAGCGATTTTCCTCCCAGAGGATATTTGGCAATGTCTGAAGACATTATTTGTTGTCACAGCTCAAAAGTGGGAATTGCTAATGGCATCTAGCAAGTGAGGTCAGGGATGCAGCTAAATATCCTACAGTATGGAGGACTGTCTCCCAGGACCAAGAGTTCCTGACTTGAAATATGCATAGTGCCAAGGTTGAGAAACCTTGCTCTAGGGATGCATAATTCTCTCTCCTGCTTGTGTCACATTTTGGCTCATGGTTGGCCTGCCTGGACCACCTAGCCAGCCCTCCCTTCTTCTGTCCTCTATCAATGACCTCCTGCTTTCTAACCTCTCAGAGGTGGACTTGGGATCTCTGAGTAGTAAACTACAGGGGTTATAAAGAGTCCAACAGGCCTAGCTTCCCTACTTCAAGGCTGCATGACCCTAGCAAGTTACTTAACATCTCTGTGCTTCAGCCTCCTCACCTGTCAGTTGGAGTGTCTCAATTTGCTTTCTTGCACAATGAATTTAACCTATGATTCTGTTGGATGGTGATTTGGTCTCGATTCTGCTGGTAGATTCTCCTGCCTGACCTGGCTCACCTGATCTTAAATGAGGGTCATTCATATGTCTGCAGTCAGCTCCTGGCTGGGATACTTTGGTTCTCCTCCATAGTTTCTCATCATCCAGCAGGCTAGCTTGGGCTCATTCACATGCTCAGAGTTCCAAGAGCAGCAGAAATGGCAAGCCCTATTGCACACATGCTTTCCAATCCTCTGCTTACATCACATTTGTGAAGGTCCATTGGCCAATGCTAGTCTTGTGGCCAAACCCCAATTCAAGAGACAGAGAAACAGACTCCACTAGTGATTGAAGGGAAGAATTTGTGGCCATTTGTGTGAGCATAATAAGGATTAAGATGAGAGGTGCTTAGGACAGGAACTAGCATATTGAGAACATGCAGTAAATTATTCATGACCTTTCCTAAACCCAGGTGCTGAGAATTAACTCCAGCACGTGGGAGCCCCCATCTGTACACTTGGGTCACCTTACCCCTTGTGTGAGATCTCCCAATCACTGACCTTTCATCTGAGGATGGAATGCCCTCAGCTTCAAAGATACATTGTCCTCCATCCATGATGCTACGTCATCCCTTTCCACTGGCCTTGAGATTTCTCTGGCTCTGGGATACCACATAGCCTCATGCCCATCTCCATCCTAGGATGGCTACTTGGCCTCACTCTTTCTTTCAAAAGGCTTAGGCTCTCTCTCACTGCAAGGTCCATTCCACACCAAGAACTTTGGGCCTATTAATGCCTAATAAAAATAGTTGTCTTTTCTTGAGCACTTACTAGGGCTATGAAGTCTGTCCTGTTCATCTGATGGATGAAATAAAAATAAGCCACAGAGAGGTTGAGAGACTTACTCAGAGTCTTGCAGAAATGGAGCAGCAGAACTGGAATTTAAGCCATTTGACACTGCCTTTTTTCCCACCTTGTCCAAGTCCCCTCCATCATGCTTCTGTTGTTAGCATGTATGTTGCCTTGTTATGATTGTCATTTTAAAGCTCAGCACAAATGTTAGCATTTGGAGATGCTGCATCCTCTATGCTCAGGGACCGTGGTCATCCCATCCATTTCCAATCCTCCACCAGCACCAAGACCATTCCAGGTTGCCTACCATTCCTCCTGCTTTCTCTGTCCACTCCCTCAGTGAACCTTTTCAGGGGCCCTGCCTGGAGTCCCCACCTCCCCATTCCTGTGTCCTCCCCTGCCCAGGCCAGAGAAAAAGGGAACAGCCACTGGAGTTGATGCTGTCTGTACTTACCACCCTGACCCTGTGGGCCCTAAGCTAGACAGAGAGAAGCTGTACTGGGAACTGATCCATCAGACCCATGGTGTCACTCAGCTGGGCTCCTTCACCCTGGACAAGAACAGCCTCTATGTCAATGGTGAGCAACCTTTTTGTAACCACAAGTTGAAGCTGAGAATCTGCCCCCAGGAAGGGATATAGAGTATCCACTTTGCCACAGGACTCATTGTATGTATTGTTTTCCACCTAAGCGATATCCCATGATGAGTCAAAGGCCCTCATAGGCCCTTCGGTTTGCAAACCCTTTTCTTCCCTTTGCATCTCTGCATTTCAGGGCTGTGATTTATATACTTGTCTGAACCACAAAGTCTTTATCCAGACTGATGAAAGGGGATATCCCTCTGGCTGAAGTCAATGATTCAAGCATCTGGCTATCTTTCTCCCTGTTGATATTTCAAAAATCCCCTTTGGACCCTGAAAAGCACAGTTTGCAAGCCCATTTCTAGAAATGTTGGTGTATTTATCTTCCCAAATAAATTATAAGCTCATGAAGACAGGAAACTGGGTCTTAGATTTCTCAGCCATTTAGGAACAAGAAATAGTTACCCCTGAATCACAATTGTTGAACTGTGTAGACTTGCAGTCTTTGTTGGGGGTAGAGGCAGGTGGCTTTGGGCTACACCTTGGACCTCCCTCCCGTGCTTGCATTCTAGTTCTGTCTCCTTTTCTCATTTCAGGTTACACTCACCAGATCTCAGCTCCCACATCCAGTGGTGAGTCCTGAAAACCCAGTCCCACAGTCCTGATAACCATATGCTCTGGGCCCTGGTGGATAGCAACTGACGACCTACTCCAGGGCCTGGGGAGAGAAGAAGCCAGGAGACCTGATAGTCTTACCCAGTTCCTCCTACATTCAGTGGCTGTAGCCGGATAGGAAAGACACCCCACTCAGAATCCCCATTCTTACTCCAGACTGTTTATCCTCAGCTACTGTGACCTCCGTGCTCTTTCCAAGGACCTCAGCGGTGCCAACCCACTTCTCTAGCTACACAGGTAGGCGACTTCTCTCTCCAGCTCCTTGTAAGGAGGCTCAAAGATATATCTGGAAGTTGTAGAGAGAAGCTGCAGTGAGGGATCACGGAGCTACCATGGGCTCCCCTGCTCTGTTCTGAACTCCACAAGAGCAGAGACTGTGTCCTCCTTAACTTTCCAGCTGTGTTGATCTTGGACAATTGACTGACCCTCTTCTCAGTGTCTTCACCTGCCAAGTAGTTGTTAAAATCCACAGACTTCAGATTTCAGATGTTACTAGTTTTTCACGGACTCGCGTGTGCACATGCACACGTGTGTGTGTGTGTGTGTGTGTACACTCCCATGTACATGTGTGATTCTATACCATTTTATCACGTAGGCAGAATTTTTTTTAAGCATCACTGCAGTCAAAGTACAGAACAGTTCTATCACTGCAAGGATCTTTTACAGTTATACCCACCCAGACTCACCCTGGCAACCACTCATGTGTTTACCATCTCTGTAATGTTGCTATTTTGGGAACGTTGTACCAATGGCATCATTATAGCATGTCGCCTTTGGGGACTGACTTTTTTCACTCAGCATAAAGCCCTTAAAATATGCTAACTCTTTTAGCAAACAGTCACTTAGCCTTTATAATTCCTCTACAAAGTAGTATTTTTTAGTGAAGAAATGAAGGTAGAGTACTGCTCTGTTATCTATGGGGGATTTTTTCCAAAACCCCCAATGGATGCCCAAAACCACAGATAGTACTGACCCCTATATATACGTGTTTTGAGCACTGGGTGTTATTCTGTATGTTGGCAAATTGAACACTAATAAAAAATAAATTTATTATTAAAAAAATACATATGTACCTAGGATAAAGTTTAATTTATCAATTGGGTACAGGAAGGGATTAATAACAATAACTAATAATAAAATAGAAAAATTATAACAGTAAAAGTTATGTGAATGTGCTCTCTCTCAAAATGTCTAATTGTACCATACTCACCCTTTTGTGATGATGTGAGATGATAAAATTCCTACACAATGAGATGAGGTGAGGTGAGTGACGTAGTGTTAGGCTGCTATTGACCTCCTGATGATACCTCAGAAAGAGGACCACGTGTGTTGAGACTGCAGCTGACCTCCGGTAAGTGACACCACAGAAAACAAAGCTGCAGATAAAGGGAACAACTGTAGAGACAGGTTTAGTGATGTCTCCATGGTCACACAGCTGGGGAGAGGACAGAGGGCACTTGAAGCCAAGTCTGACTTATTAGTGTGGTGGTGATCATAGTAACCACAGCTCTGCACATGGTCTCTATTAAAGGTCAAGTCCTGAGAGTTACGGGGCAGGTAGAGTGGGGTGAGTTGAGTAGGTGACAGGAAGGTTCCTTTAAAATTCGATATTTGGCTTATATTTAAAAAAGAATCTTTCTTCTGTGTTGGATGGGATTGAATTGATTTTTTTTTCTTTCTTTTCCCCTTAATCCATGAGATTGCTCCAATCCTATTACTTTTAACCTCTCAAGTAAAGACTATCAAGCCAATCTGGAGTCTCACCAGAGCCCAAAACCTCAACACCTGACACCTACCCTGGCCCATATGCAGACTCAAGAGCCCCATAACCTACATTTTGATCCAACTGCTGCATTAAACAATTTTTATGGAACACGTAGAATTTACCATTTTAACCAACTGTTAAGTGTGCAATTTAGTGGCATGAAATACATTCCCAGTGTCATGCCACTATCACCACTATCCATTCTCAGGACTTCTTTATCATTCCAAATGGAAACTATGTTCCCATATGAACACTAACTCCCTATAATCCCAATCCTAGCCCCTAGTTACCTCTATTCTACCTCCTGTTTCCACGAATTTGCCTATTTTAGGTACCCCATGTGATTGGAACCATATAACATTTGTCCTTTCGTGTTTGTTTCATTTCACTTAGTATAATATTTTCACAGTTCATCTGTGTCGTAGCAGGTGTCAGAGCTCCCCTCATGTTTATGGCCGAATATTATTCCACTGTATGTATACGCCACATTTTGTTTATCTACTCATCTGCTGATGGACTCAGGCTGTTTCCACCTTTTGGCTATTGTGAATGATGCTGCTATGAATATTTTGTATTCAAGGATCCGAGTCCCTGTTTTCAGTTCTTTTGGGTCTATACCTAGCATTCGGCAAAATTGCTGAATCATATGGTAATCCTATATTTAACTTTTTGAGGAATCTAAACTGTTTTCCATTGCAGCTCCACCAGCATTCCCACAAACAATGCACGAGGATTCCAATTTCTGCACATCTTTGACAAAACTAATTCTTTTTCTTCCCTTTCTTTTCTTTCTTCCTTTTTTAATGATGTAGAAATAGATTTATTGATAAAAAATATTCTTTTTTTATAAATTTATTTTTTATTGGTGTTCAATTTGCCAACATATAGAATAACACCCAGTGCTCATCCCGTCAAGTGCCCCCCTCAGTGCCTGTCACCCAGTCACCCCCACCCATCACCCACCTCCCCTTCCACCACCCCTAGTTCGTTTCCCAGAGTTAGGAGTCTCTCATGTTCTGTATCCCTTTCTGATATTTCCACTCATTTTTTTCTCCTTTCCCCTTTATTCCCTTTCACTATTTTTTATATTCCCCAAATGAATGAGACCATATAATGTTTGTCCTTCTCCGATTGACTTTTTCTTTCTTTCTTTCTTTCTTTCTTTCTTTCTTTCTTTCTTTCTTTCTATAATAGCCTAATAGCCATCCTAAAGGATGTGTATGTTACTGCATTTAATAACATCTAGCTTTGCTCTTTATCTGGCCTCTGTCATTGGTCCTAAGGTAGCTAGCCTAGGTGGCCTACTCGGAACCCCTGCTACCTCAGATCTGGACCCTCCATCTCCATCCCCAGAAGTTGTCTTAGGATCCAGACCAGGTGTGACTCATGCATGGCCTCCTTTTTCCTCCCCCTGCTTCAGCAGCGGTTCCTTTCCTGGTGCCATTTACCCTCAACTTCACCATAACCAACCTGCGCTACGAAGAAGACATGCAGCTTCCAAGCTCTTGGAAATTCAACTCCACAGAGAGGATCCTGCAGGGTCTGGTGAGAGCCTCACCCACCGGTACCAGCCTAACCCTACAACACCCCCTGCCCTGCCCATCAGTGTCAGCCCTGTCCACCTGACTTCTGCCCCTACCCATATCACCTCTGCCCCATTCACATCACCAATACCCCTGCTCCCCCTGGCCTCCCTCAAAGGTTCCTTCTCACCTTCAATCTCTTTTCTCATAGCTCAAACCCCTGTTCAAGAATAGCAGTCTGAGTTTCCTCTATTCAGGCTGCAGACTGGCCTCACTCAGGTAAGACTCTCCCCAAGAACACAGCCCAACAGGTGTATGGGACCCTCACCTACAGGCTCCCTGACTTTGTCCATACTTGGGACGACTACCACCATGGATACTACACATCATCATTGACAATGACAATCCAGCAGTTAGTAATTCCTAAGATCCGAGGCACTGTGCTAGTACTTCATATTTCAACCCATCAGCCCTCATGACAGCCTCATGAAGCAGGAACCAGAGGTGCAGCAGGCTCAGAGGAATTGAGTAGATTGTGCAGGTCACACAGAGCAACCCCACATTGTGGGTTCTAGAGCCAAACTCCTAGCTCTTAAGCAGCACCGCTTCCTCTGCCTCATTATGACCTTGCAGCTTGGGGAGATTACCGACCTGGCAACCTCTAAAAGGAAAGAATCTAAGAGGGAAGGAAAGCAAGCACACTGTTATAGAGAGAGCGTGTGCTCCTGAATGGGTCCGACTCACAGAAGGAGGACTGCCCTGCCCTAGGATGGCTCAAGGTTGGGGACGACACCATTCCATGGGTGCAGCTGGGGAGGCAGTTGGTTGACCTACTTCACACCTGGCATTCTTGCCTCCTACATCTCTCTCAGAATCTCTAGGTCTGGTTCTCCTCACATTCCTGTTTTATCACAGGCATTTACCTCCAGCTCCCCTGCCTTCCTGGGGCAAGACCAGGCATAGGAGCCTAGTGGCTAAGAGCCTCGGTGAAGCCAGAGCAGAGTTCAAATGTGAGCTCTGCCATTTAATGAGATCCCAAACCTTGCTGTGCCTCGTTACTCCGCATGTTATATATGACATATTAGGCCTATACATAATATGTGTATACTAACATATATATGTATACAGAGAGAGAGTTGACCCTTGGACACTGAGTTTGAACTGCAGGGTTCACTTATAAACTGATTTTGTTTTTGATAAATACAGTACAGTGCTATAAATGTATTTTCTGTTATGATTTTCTTAACGTTTTTTTCTCTAGCTTACTTTATTGTAAGAATAGAGTATATAATACCAATACCATAAAAATATCTGTTGACTGTATTATCAGTAAGGCTTCTGGTCAACAGCACTCTTTTAGTAGCTAAGTTTTAGGGGTATCAAAAGGTCTATGAAAATTTACAACTGGGTTAGGTGTCCGTACCCCTAACCTCCATGTTGTTCAAAAGTCAGTTGTATAGGGACACCCAGGGTCCTGGGATCAAGTCCCACACTGGGCTCTCCCGGGGAGCCTGCTTCTCCCTCTGCCTGTTTCTGCTTCTCCCTCTGTGTCTCTCATGAATAGATAAATGAAATCTTTAAAAAAAAAAGTCAGCTGTATACATACATATATGTATGCACATATATAGAGAGAGAAAGGGAGAGAAAGAATAGGTATAATTTTATAGTATATCTGTTATATCTATACCTAATATATATGTTATACCTATATATATGTTATATATATTATTATACATAATATATATAACTATAACTATAATATAGGTGTATGTTATACCTACATATAATATATAACTATAATTATTATAATATAACTATAATATACATAATCTATATATAATACAGAACTATAATATATAACTATAATAAAGTTATATATAATATATATCATATATAAGTATAATATATAATTATACCTATACTTTATACAGGGGTATATATTACATATATGTCATATATACACATAATAGGTATAATATGTCATATATAGATATAATATCTAACATAGATGATATATAAGTATATTCCTAATATATTTGTATATTATATAATACACGTATTACCTAAGTATAGACAATATGAGAATAATATATAATTATGCCCAAACCTTATTTTTTTATAAATTTATTTTTTATTGGTGTTCAGTTTGCCAACATACAGAATAACACCCAGTGCTCATCCCATCAAGTGCCCACCTCAGTGCCCGTCACCCAATCACCCCCACCCCCCGCCCACCTCCCCTTCCACCACCCCTAGATAGTTTCCCAGAGTTAGGAGTTTCATGTTCTGTCTCCCTTTCTGATATTTCCCCCTCATTTTTTCTCCTTTCCCCTTTATTCCCTTTCACTATTTTTTATATTCCCCAAATGAATGAGACCATATAATGTTTGTCCTTCTGATTGACTTATTTCACTCAGCATAATACCCTCCAGTTCCATCCACGTCGCAGCAAATGGTGGGTATTTGTCATTTCTAATGGCTGAGGAATATTCCATTGTATACATAGACCACAGCTTCTTTATCCATTCATCTTTCAATGGACACCGAGGCTCCTTCCACAGTTTGGCTATTGTGGACATTGCTGCTAGAAACATCAATACCCAAACCTTATATATATATATATATATACAATATGTAAGCTATGTATACTGTATATAGGTAAAATATTATGTATATTATGTATGGGTATAATATCTTTTATATATAACAATATAGATATAATCTCTAATATATATTATGTATTATATATGTTAGGTATAACAGGTATAATATATAATGTAATAATAATAAAAATAAAAATGTAACAAACATATACCATTTACTTATGTGTTAAATCATTATATTATATATTCTATTTACCTTATGTATAATTACATTGCATATACTATGTAGTGTGATGGATAGAATAACAACTCTGGGAGTTCAGCAATACAGCCCACAGGGACGCTCTGAGGGTTAAGCGATGTGTTCCTGAGTACAAAGTGCTGGGCCTGCTGCATGCTAATTCAACAAGGGGTGGTTGTTGTTGTTGTTGTTTTTAATAATAAATTTATTTTTTATTGGTGTTCAATTTGCCAACATACAGAATAACACTCAGTGCTCATCCCGTCAAGTGCCCACCTCAGTGCCCGTCACCCATTCACCCCCACCCCCCGCCCTCCTCCCCTTCCACCAACCCTAGTTCGTTTCCCAGAGTTAGGAGTCTTCATGTTCTGTCTCCCTTTCTAATATTTCCTACCCATTTCTTCTCCCTTCCCTTCTATTCCCTTTCACTATTATCTATATTCCCCAAATGAATGAGAACATATAATGTTTGTCCTTCTCTGTTTGACTTATTTTATCAGCATAATACCCTCCAGTTCCATCCACGTTGTCAAGGGGTGGTTGTTTTTACAAGAGACATTGCATCCATGGTTCTGGGGTGTGGGAGCGCCTTTCTCTCCACATCACTCAGTAGTGTATGGCTGCGTGGGCAGGTGGGTAGGTAGTGTCCTGTGGCCAGAGGTGATGCTGAGACATGGACAGGTCATGCTTTCAGACTCACCAAAAGGGCATGTGTGTCTCTGACCATTTAGTCTCTTGAGTTTTTAGAAATGCCCCAGTCCTGCTTCCAGACTGAGTGACTTTAGCTTTTTGGTCTCACTCTTTGGAAACCTCAACTCTCTGCAGGAAAATGTCACCAAACCATGCTGCAGTCACTTTTCCTGGGGCCACTGCCCCTCCCCCCCCCATTGCAGCATGATCTTAGACATCTTTTTTTGTGCTCATCAAGACCTGTAACAGGATGTGGCGGTTGGAGCTTCATCTGGCATCTTCCGGCTCACTCCATCAACAGCATCCTCGTGTATCTGCCACTCCCAGGGGTTTCGGAGTCTTCTCTCCTAGGCATGCAGGAGGCTTCAGACCTGTGGTGTGCTAATTGTTTATGGAGGGCATCTCCCTGATGGCCACAGCTTTTGTTAACTAGGGTTTCCCAAGTTTCTGCCTTAGGGGCTAGAAGGAGAGAGAGAAAAGGATCCATACATAGATGGTTAGACCAACTATGTGGTGATTTTTACCCAGGCCTGAGAAGGATGGTGCTGCCACCAGAGTGGATGCCATCTGCATGTATCGCCCTGACCCTGAAGGCCCTGGACTGGACAGGGAGCAGCTGTACTGGGAGCTGAGCCAGCTGACCTATGGAATTGCCCTGCTGGGCCACTATACCCTGGACAGGAACAGTCTCTGTGTCAATGGTGAGCAACCGTGATGTGGTCAGTCTCTTCCCCCTCACCGGGCAACCTCTGCCCTCTAGTTGAGAATGCGCTCCCTGTCTGGCCCTTAGGGCCTTAGCCCTATGCACTAAATGTGCTGATTCTGGTCTGCACTTCATGGTTTCCTCTTCATCTTGGACTAACTTCACCCTTAGAGCCTTCTTTCCTGATGGGTATTGATGGAGAATCCCCAACAGCACCCCCTGCTAGAGACCCCTCCACTGCACCAGGATAGCCCTGCCTCCTGTTTGGTCCTCTGCCTCTCTCTTAACCCTTACCCATAATCTTCCCTCCCTCTCCCTACAGGTTTCACCCATCAAAGCTCTGCACCCATCACCAACAGTGAGTATTCATCTATGACCCAGGGCCCCCTCACCCAGGGCAGGCAAAGCACTGATGCCTCCTCATGCCAAGAGGAAGAAAGATCCTGGGAGGCCACAAGTTATTTACTCTCCTCTCTGCCCCAGATCCAGAGGGAATCTCAGCCCCACATGCAGCCTAATAAATAGTCTCTCTTGTTGGCATTTCTGCTATGTGATTGCTTTTCTGCTTTCGCTGATGAGGGCTTTTTCTCAGCTCCAGGGACCTCCACAGTGGACCTAGGAACCTCTGGAACTCCATCCTCCATCCCCAGCCCCAGCCCCACGGGTAAGTACCAGTCAGTGGCACATCTACGGGGGGCACCTGATGAGTAAAAACATACTTAGTATTGCTCACTCAAATAATTATAGAAATTCATAGTAAATCTAGTGATAATGAGCCAGTCAACAGCCTTATTGAGCACCTACTCTGTGTCAGGACCTGGGGAAGACAGCAGGGAACACAAACAGACAAAAATTATTGCCTTCATAAAGCTCATATTCTTATGATAATGATAATGATGATGATATTGATAATGGTGGTGGTGATGGAGCTGGTGATGATGGGGATGGTGATAGTGATGATGGTGGTAGATGGTGGTGGTGATGGTGAGGATGGTGGTGATGGTGGTGGTGGTGATGATGGTGATGGTGAGGATGGTGGTGATGGTGGTGGTGGTGGTGATGATGGTGATGGTGAGGATGGTGGTGATGGTGGTGGTGGTGGTGATGATGATGATGGTGGTGGTGATGGTGGTGATGATGGTGGTGGTGGTGATGATGATGATGATGATGATGGTGGTGGTGATGGTGATGATGATGATGGTGGTGATGGTGATGATGATGGTGATCTTAGATCATTTGTGTATTGTAAGTCCACAGGAAGTGTGTAGATTTTTTCTCAGGATAAGAAGGAATGAAATACACTTTTTTGTAATATGTGGAAATACTTCCTTCTTGTCCTTGTTCAAATCTTTAATGACTGTCAGATTCTGTCCAGGACAAATACATGCCATCTGTGCCATCACTCCCTATTCCCTCATCCATGGCAGACATCACTAAGTGGTAACAGCCTCCCTGCTTTCTGAATTCAAAACAGCTCCAGAATCCTTACCAACAAAATACCCTAGGCAGTCACTACCAGTTCAGTTGAAGTTGCCACAGGATTGTGGGATAGAGCTCAAGGAAATTAAGTTCCTTGATGTGTGGAAGGCTCTTGTGAGTTGAAAACTGCTCAACCTGGGGCAGCCCGGGTGGCTCAGTGGTTTAGCGCCGCCTTCAGCCCAGGTCATGATCCTGGAATCCCGAGATCAAGTCCCACGTCGGGCTTCCCGCATGGAGCCTGCTTCTCCCTCTGCCTATGTCTCTGCCTCTCTCTGTGTGTCTCTCATGAATAAATAGATAAAAATCTAAAAAAAAAAAAAAGAGAGAGAGGGAAAGAAATAAAAGAAAGAAAACTGCTTTGGCTTGCACCTTTGTTTTTTCTTGTATGAGGCAATAAACATTCACAGCTTTTCTGGGGATTCATGGAGGGATCAGACACATGGAGAGAATTGGGGCACAGATGGCAGAAGGATAGTTTGTAGGTGACCTGATAGAGAAATGCCTCCCTGGGTTTCAGTTGCATTCTCTGGAGTTTGTCTATTGGGTCTGCACTTTGAGGGGGCTCTCTAAATGCTACTTACATAAATAGATTCATAGACACCCAAAGAACCCCAGATTCTTGACACTTCCTTTCTTCTCCCATCCTTACAACTCTCCACACTTTCTCTTCCTATCTTTCTACATGTTACACCCATCAGGTCCTGACCTCCAATCCCAACAGTGTGTAGTAATTCAGGCCCTCGCATTTCTCTGCATTGGGACCCATCTCTCCTCCTCGCTATCCCTACCCCACCTCCCCAGGGACAGAAGGGTCCTGGAAAGCTCTAGTCTTTCCCCAACTTCACTACCCAGATCAGAAAAGACAAGCCTGACACAGGCTTGAGGAGCATTCCATGGACCCCTGATGGGCCTTGTTTAGCTGGGGAGGCCCTCCCTTCTCCCATATTTGCCTCACTGTGTTTTTTTTTTTTTTTCAGTTGGAATAGCCTCTACCATCTCCTCAGCAACTTCAGCAACCCCCACCTCCATATCCACAGGTACGAGCTTCCTCTCTGCCATTCCTCCCCTACAAAGGTCTCATGCACTTGGCCAGTGGCTGGTATCATATGGAGCACCATGCCCATTCATTCATTCATTCATTCAAGAAGCATTCATTTAGCCCTTACTGGACAAAAGGCCCTGGTAATGCAGCAGTGAATAGAATAGAAAGGGCCTTAGTCTTTGATGGGCTTCCAGCAAGAAAGAGAATAGAATAAGGACTTGAGTGTACGAATAAGTATTGACTTACAATCAGCATGGTTGTGGGGTGAGATCCGCAAATGTGTATGTGGGCTTCTCTCTTGAATACTTGGTCTTCATTTCCAACAAAGAAGGGAACAACAGTGTGAGCTACGTATGTACCTGAAAATGCCCTCCTACAGGTTCTGGTTAGGGATTTGGGCAGACTCTGGTTTGGCCAACAGCTAACTTCCCATTCTTGGCTTCTCACTGGCCCAAGGTAGATTTTGATACCACCCACTGACACTGCTGAGGGTCCTGGATGACCCATCATTACTAACACTGTCTTACTTGAGTCTCTACTTACTCATCAGCTAGGGCCTCCTGAGGGTGTTCTGACCACTGACCATTCAGGCCAGAGTGAGGTTATTGCATGGACCTGCCCTTGGTACTAGAGTAGATGGGTTAGAAGCACAGGCTCTGCAACCACAATGCTCAAGTTTGAACTGTGCTCTGCCATTTACAGATTGTGTGACTGGGGGCAAATTATTTAATCACCCTTGGGCTCAGTTCTTACATCTGTAAAATGAGATAAGAATACTATCTCCCTCTGAATGATTTGCCTCAAGGCTTAAATGGATTAAAATTTAAGTGAAGCATTTAAAACAGGGCCTGACCTATACAAATGAAGTGTATTTCTTCAAATAAATCTTTAAAAATCAGTAAATAGTGAGAAATAATTTGAGTTAAAAAAAAAAAACCCTCAGAAAAAGAGGATGTCTGTCTGGAATTTTAGCCAACTGGAGGGTCAGAATGTTTGTTGCATTTACCTCCATAGTGTTTTTCCACACTTATCCCCAGAGCCCCTCACTTAATGCTAATGTCTGGGATCTCCTTCTTGTGGAAACTGCGCATCATGGAGGAAGCCCCTCTCCAGTACTTAAAGAGATAAATGTGGGATGACCCATGTTTAGGCTCCCTGACATTGCCCTCTTGCCCCCATTGCAGCCACTGGTCCGACCCTGGTGCTGTTCACTCTCAACTTCACCATCACCAACCTGTCCCACAAAGAGGATATGAGTCACCCTGGTTCCTGGAGGTTCAACGCCACCCAGAGAAAGCTGCAGGGCCTGGTGAGAGCTCCGCCAGCAGTATTCCTGCCCCACCCACTGATGCAGGCACCGCCTACCTGATCTCTGTCACGCCCACGGAGACCCACCTACCTTACCTGTGCAGCCCCCATGCAGGCCTGGCTCATTGGTGCTGGCCCGACCTCTCTCATTTCTGCCCTGCTCTCCACCCCTGAGACTTTCTACTCACTTGCCTCTCCTCTACAGCTCGGACCTTTGTTCAAGAACACCAGTCTGGGCCCCCTGTACTCAGGCTGCAGACTGACCTTGCTCAGGTGAGACCTTGCAATCCCCGGCCAGGGCTGCGTCAAGGGCTCCCTGAGGACCCCAAGAGTTCCCTCTGCTTCCTACCTGCCCTCTCTGTCCATGTCCTCAGCAGAGGTGGAATTCAGGAGGCACTGGCTCCAGAACCAAGGCCTCTTCTGGTTGTAACCACCCCTGCCCTGCCTCCCACACACTGTCCCCAGCTTCTGCAGAGCCCCTAGTCTGGGTCATCCTTCCCAATTCCCTCCTGCCTCCCTTTGACCAAAGAAGGCATTTCCTTTGGGTTTTCAGTTCCATCTCCAGGATTCCTCTCAAGGCAAGCTTGCCTTTTCCACTTGTTTTAATCCGAATTCCAGCTTTTCACCTGTCTCAAGCGGGAGCTCTCCTGTCCCCATGCTCTGAGGTTGCAGGTTTCAGATTTGCAATTTAAGAAATCCTGCCACCACCACCACCACCACCACCACCACCACCACCACCCCACCCCCCGCCATGACTGTTTGCACATTCCCGGGCTGGCCAGAAGTGGGTGCCAGGCTTCTCACTTGCCCTGGCCCCCTCCTGGCCTGCCCCCAAGGTCCCAGGAGCCCTGCCCTGGGACTCCATCTAGTGATACCCCTATCCACCCTCCCCAGGCCCGAGAAGGATGGGGCAGCCACTGGAGTGGATGCCATCTGCACCCACCACCCTGACCCCATGGGCTCTGGGCTGGACAGAGAGCGGCTGTACCAGGAGCTGAGCCAGCTGACCAGAGGCGTCACTATGCTGGGTATCTACACCCTGGACCCAGACAGTCTCTACATCAATGGTGAGGGATTGCCATCTTGGTCCACATTTCAACAGGCTCACAACCTCCTCTCCATTCCTCCCTTTCTGTGATTACTCACCCTCATCACCCTTCCTCCCTCTCCCTGTGCAGGTTACACCCGCAAGACCCAGGCCACCACCCCCAGCAGTGAGTATTCAGAGGGTTCAGGAGTCTCTACAACCCTGTGAGTCCCTGCCCTTAAAATGGAAGTGTCCAGAAGCCCATGGCCTGCCCTGTGCACCCCTGCTCCACCCCCAGCTCTATGTGAACAGGGACCTACACCTAAGAAATTCCCAGGCATGGCCACCCCCTCGCTGGTAATCCCTGAAGTGAGGGATCCTCACCCCCAAATTCTTGGGTTTTTTTCTCTCCAGCTTCTATGGTGGCCACAGTTTCTGCAGGGATGCCAGCCTCCTTCTCCAGTCCCACAGGTAGGCATTCTCTCCTCTGAAGAGGCTCCCAGCTACTCTTGATGGATACTAATCACAGGACATGGGAGGAGGAGTAGAGTGGGTGGTATCTCCCAGGGGAGCCCAAGGGTGACTTCTGAGGATCTGCTAGGCCCTACCCAGGTTCTAGGGACTTCTTGAACACCAATCCCACTCCCAGCACTGGGAGTCTTCAACCATTCTCTTTAGCCTGTGTCTGAAACCTGTAGGTGACCCCTGACATCCAAATCACCCTGCATCCCTTGGAAAGTAGAGAGCAGATCTATTCACTGATAATAGATTTGTCCAGTGGCCAGTTTGCCAAAGCCAAGTCAGTGAAGAATCAATTCTTCAGTTTCCCCAGCTAACCAATTTACCAACAGCTTATTTTAAGGAATATTCTCTGTGAACATATTCAATAGATATGACTTTTTCTTCTTATCATGTCTTTATGAATATGTTCCTTGTGAATATGTATAGTCTCTCCCTGACCATAGTCAATGCATATAATCATTTCATTTAAGGAATGTTGGATCTGTCAAAGTCTAGGGACCATGGGGTCATTTCCACTTTTCATGAATATCTAAATCCTTTTATCCTTTTTATTATGAAAATTGCCAAAAGTAGTAGAAACATTGAAAGAATAGCACAAGGAAATCCAGCTGTCCACCACAGTTGTTGACCTTTTGTCTTTGTACATGATTCTGTTATATGACATAGGTGTCCCTAAACTATGCTATGCAAAATCACACGACAGAAGGCGCAGGGCTGAGGATGGGGTCAACACTTGAAAACCTTGTCAGTGACAAAATAAAAAAATAGGCATCTAATAAGACAGCACAGTTTTACAAATGTTAAATGGCTAAGAAATATAAATTAGTGCAATAAATGCAGCACTCTACTCTGAAAGAGGCCTGACGTTGTTGGCTTGTGGAAGTAGTTAGCAAATGGATTAAAGAAGGAGGGTTACCTGAAATCCTACAGAAAGCAGAAACCCAGGATGAGTAGGGCCATCCCTCCTAATACCTCAGGGGTGTGACTGAGCCAGTAGATGCTTGAGTTGTGTCCATGCATTTTGTGTACGCCTACAGAGGGGGGTTTAGCTGCATTCAGGGTTCAGCTTTTGTGTGTCTTGCAGACAAAATTGCACACACACACACACAAACATGAAATCTACATTGTGTTCACAGTTACCTAATGTATCAATGACCCTGAAAAAATTGTGTTTTCAAAACAAGCATTATGGTAGAACTGACTAGACAAAGATGTAGACGTAATTTTTTTCCCTGATCCACTTGAAACTTGCAAATATCGTGAGGCCTCACCATTAAAGATTTCAGCAAGAATCCCCACAAAATCAGGACATTGCCTTATGTAACCATAATAGCATTACTGTGCTTCAAAAAATAAGAATATTATGGTGTCATCTAGCATTGCAGTTTGTATTCACATTTTCCCCAAATATCTCCCTTTCATAGGTGGCTTTTTTCTTTTTTAAAAGATTATTTATTTATTTATTCATAAGAGACACAGAGAGAGAGGCAGAGACATTGGCCGAGGGAGAGGTAGGCTCCCTGCGGGGAGCCCGATGCAGGACTTGATCCCAGGACTGGTCCATCCCAGGATCCCCGGATCCCGACCTGAGCCAAAGGCAGACACTCAACCGCTGAGCCATCCAGATGCCCCTAGGGCTTTGATTTTTAAAGACAACAGAACAGAAGCTGGTTTTGCCTGCTTGTTTTAAATATACTTCTGAGTAAGAATATTCTGAGCAAGAGACAAGAAGTCCCTGACTTTCATGGGGAGGAATATTAGGGTAACAGCAGACCTCTCCACAGAGACGTGGCAGGCCAGAAAGGGCTGGCAGGATATATTCAGGGTCCTAAATGAGAAGAACATGCAACCAAGAATACTTTATCCAGCAAGGCTCTCATTCAAAATGGAAGGAGAGATAAAGAGCTTCCAAGACAGGCAGGAACTGAAAGAATATGTGACCTCCAAACCAGCTCTGCAAGAAATTTTAAGGGGGACTCTTAAAACTCCCCTTTAAGAAGAAGTTCAGTGGAACAATCCACAAAAACAAGGACTAAATAGATATCATGATGACACTAAACTCATATCTGTCAATAGTAACTCTGAACGTGAATGGGCTTAATGACCCCATCAAAAGGCGCAGGGTTTCAGACTGGATAAAAAAGCAGGACCCATCTATTTGCTGTCTACAAGAGACTCATTTTAGACAGAAGGACACCTACAACCTGAAAATAAAAGGTTGGAGAACCATTTGCCATTCAAATGGGTCTCAAAATATACCCTAAAAACTATAGAACACTTCTGAAAGAAATTGAGGAAGACACAAAGAGATGGAAAAATATTCCATGCTCATGGATTGGCAGAATTAATATTGTGAAAATGTCAGTGTTACCCAGGGCAATTTACACGTATAATGCAATCCCTATCAAAATACCATGGACTTTCTTTAGAGACTTAGAACAAATTATTTTAAGATTTGTGTGGAATCAGAAAAGACCCCGAACAGCCAGGGGAATTTTAAAAAAGAAAACCATATCTGGGGGCATCACAATGCCAGATTTCAGGTTGTACTACAAAGCTGTGGTCATCAAGACAGTGTGGTACTGGCACAAAAACAGACACATAGATCAATGGAACAGAACAGAGAACCCAGAAGTGGACCCTGAACTTTATGGTCAACTAATATACGATAAAGGAGGAAAGACGATCCACTGGAAGAAAGACAGTCTCTTCAATAAATGGTGCGGGGGAGAGGAATTATTCACACAATACATCTTATTAAATGGGAAAGAAATTGTTAGTTGGCAAATTGCTCCTGAGGTCAATTTTCAAACGCAGCATTGAAAGCTGAACCTGTCTGGGTGGGTCTTCAAAGGTGCCCTGGGAGGAGGAAGAAACTGGCTCAAGCCAAGACAGTCTCATGGTCTTCAGCTATGGGTTTCTCCCCTATTTTCTTTTTCTTTCTTTCTTTCTTTCTTTTCTTTCTTTCTTTCTTTCTTTCTTTCTTCTTTCTTTCTTTCTTTCACCTATTTTCTTTTTCTTTTTTTATAAATTTATTTTTTATTGGTGTTCAATTTGTCAACATACAGAATAACACCCAGTGCTCATCCCGTCAAGTGCCCCCCTCAGTGCCTGTCACCCAGTCACCCCCACCCCCCGCCCACCTCCCCTTCCACCACCCCTAGCTCGTTTCCCAGAGTTAGGAGTCTCTCATGTTCTGTCTCCCTTTCTGATATTTCCCACACATTTTTTCTCCTTTCCCCTTTATTCCCTGTCACTATTTTTTATATTCCCCAAATGAATGAGACCATATAATGTTTGTCCTTCTCCAATTGACTTATTTCAATCAGCATAATACCCTCCAGTTCCATCCACGTTGAAGCAAATGGTGGGTATTTGTCATTTCTAATGGCTGAGGAATATTCCATCGTATACATAGACCACATCTTCTTTATCCATTCATCTTCCGATGGACACCGAGGCTCCTTCCACAGTTTGGCTATTGGGATTTTGAGGTATTTCTAGGTTGAGCAAAGAAAAAACATGACCAGTAGATGACAGTAGCAAGCACAAATGTTTGTGAGTAGCGCAGGTTTGCCTTCCCAGCAGGTGTCAGCCTGTGACGTCTTCAGGAGGTTCTGGGTGGGCATCCCTTCTCAAAAGGGGGAAGGGCAAGAGGACTCCCAGGGGAGGGGAGTGGTCGGAGAAGACATTCTCCTGTCTAGGTGATGTCACCCGGCAGCCTGGCAAGGAGTCTCTGGGTTGCACAGCTCTGCCCAGCAGCAGTGGCTCAGGCTCTCCAAAGCCACGGGGTCCATCTATTTTATAGCTCCCAGCTATTGGGTACAGTTTCAGGGGTATGCAAAGCAGGCAGGCTCAAAGTGACTGAAATCTGCCTGTTTGGGCTATATTTAAAAGAACTGGATATAAAATTTTGAGTTTGGTCCTGGCAGGCTTTTGAGCTCATGGATCCCAGCCTGCTGTGAAGAATTAAGTACCCCATGAGCTCATATGCAGGCACCATCTCTGGCTCATTATGTAACACCCAGACACCAGCATCTTCCATTTCCATATGTGGCCAAAGCTGCCTCCATTCCCAACCCCCACCCCATCTCCAGCCTCAGATGAACAGAGAATGATACTCAGGAGAGTCCCAGGGGAGGGCAGCCTCTCCCAAGTATCTCCAAGATACTTGGTCCTCTGAGCAGGCTGGAGCTGTGTTCCAATGGCCCTTTGCCCCACATCTGATCCAGGCCTGACTCAGGGCATGGCCTCCTCTTCTCCTGTCCCTCTGCAGCTGCTGGCCATGCCCCGGTGCCCTTTACCCTCAACTTCACCATCATCAACTTGCACTACACGAAGGACATGCGGCCGGGCTCTGCGAAGTTCAACTCCACCAAGTCAGTTCTACAAGGCCTGGTGAGAGCCCCCTGCTGCCCATCCCTCTTTTCCATCCTCTCCATCCTCTTTGAGTCTCCTTACTGTGCTTTTGGAGAATACAGAGGGCCCCAGGGTGGACAGTTTCTGGGTTCAAAACTCGGAACTGCCACAGGCAGGTGATGTGCCTTCGGAGTAGTGATCTTGCCTTTTGGTATCATTGGCTCATCTGTAAAAGTAAGATAATAAAAGCCTTTATCCCAGAGGGTTCTTTTGAGAATTCAGTGTTGTATTGAGACAATTGGGGAGTTGCTGTTTCCTTGTAAAATATTGTGTTTTGAAATGATGATTGGTTTTACATTTCTTTTTCATTCACTCACTTCATTCTTTTCAGCTCAAGCCGTTGTTTGCCAACAGCAGCATTGGTTCACTCTACACTGGCTGCAGAGTGACAACACTCAGGTGAGACCTCCTTTTTGGCCTTAGCAGGTGTAATAAGGTGTGGGCTGGTTGGGCTAGCCAGGGTCTGGACTAGGGAGGCCAGCAAGATACCTTGAGCACAGTATCGAAGGAAGTGCTCATGCTCAGGGACTAACTCGATGTTTGCACAGCCCTGAGAGTAAGCACTCCGTTAGATGTTGTGTCCAGGCCCCTTGCTTGTCTCACACAGTCCCCAGCTCTGGTGCCAGACCCATGCACTGCCCTCTCTGGGTCATCTTAAGCCCAATCAGATAACCAGACTTGCAAGACCTGAACAAGCCATACACAGACAGGAAAGGGCATGCCAGCGGGGCAGCACTGGGCATTTCTTTTCTTGTAAGAACCTTCTTGGCAGTCCAAGGACTATTCTTTTGGCATTCAGGTGACAATTAATAAATATGACTTCAGTGGAGGTCGCTGGAGGGAAGGTGGATGGGGGGACAGGGTAACAGGGTGATGGGCATTAAAGAGAGCACTTGATGTAACGGTCACTGGGAGTTATGTGGAACTGATGAATCACTAAATTCTACCCCTGAAACGAATACTACACTATATGTTAGGTGACTTTGATTTAAATTAAAGAATTAAATTAAAATTTAAAAAGAAGAAATATAACCTCAGTAGATAGGTGATCAAGCTCCCCCGGCTTACATGTCCCATGTCCCAAAAGGTAACTAATATCTCTTGTAACAGTCCTGACAAGTTAAGAGGTTTACCATACCAAAGGAAGCCCAAAGCTCTAGCTTCCCGCCAGGTATTATTGTCCATTTTCTGCCCTCCCAGAGAAGATGCAGGTCACCCACAAGGGGTCATTTTCACCATAACCAACATCACCAGGTGACACAACTGACATTGCACCTGTAGCAAGTTCCTAGGAGACCAGAGCTAGAAGCAACTTAGCTCAAGGTCACTTCCATCTTGTTGAGGCGCAAGGGATATTCTGTTTCTCCCCAGAAATACTCTGGCAGTGCAGCCTGCTAGTTCCCCCAGGTTGTCCCGTCAGGGTTAATTTTTCCGGCTTCCTTCCCCAGATAGCTGAGAATATGGGAAGCAGGTGGCCAGTGGGTGGCGTCTTTGCTATGCAGCATCTCATGCTCAGATGCTCAGGTCCAAACATTGGGTTGTTCAGAGCCGCTATCCAGTGCTAGGGACTGTAAATATTCAGCTCTGTGGATATTTGTTTAATTAAACAATTAATTGATGAGCATTTGGCACCAGAGCTAGGTGTGATAGATCAGTCATTTCTGAACCCCATGGCATTCCAGCAAAAGGGTTAGAGCTTTATCCACACTGCAAACATGGGAGAACCGAGTCAGACACACGAGGATTATTCAACAAGTGACAGAGCTAAGGTTTGAACCACTGGTCACCTGACTCTAGAACACCCACTCTGGTCCTTTATTGGGCAAGGATGTCCCTTCTCTTATGAGCAGCTTATGTCTGGACCAAGAGGGCAGAAAAACAGGTATTCACATACAAGTGGGCCCTTGAAAGGATGTCCTGGCAGGGATGCCCCTCCGTCCTGTTCCCATACCCATGTCCTTCTCCCCTCAGGCCTGAAAAGGGTGGATCAGCCACTGGAGTTGACGCTGTTTGCACTTACCAACCTGACCCCTCGGGTCTCCAACTGGACAGGGAGCGGCTCTACTGGGAGCTGAGCCACCAGACCCGTGGTGTCACTCAGCTCGGTTCCTACTTCCTGGACAGGGATAGTCTCTATGTCAATGGTGAGCATCTGGTGGTGACAGGGGTCTCCTCCTGCACCCCAGATGGACTATTCTGTGGATGCTCTGAGCTCTGGCCAGAGGATACACCTGCATCTGCCTCTAGACTTTTTTCTCCTCCTTCTTCCTTTCCTTATGAGATCCCCCTTCCCCACCAAGGGCTATATCACACAGAGGGAGGTGGAAAGTCAGATAAAGGTTCTGGGAGGCACCATCCACAGTGTGGAAGGGACAGGGCCTCCTCATGGCAACTGTTCTTCCACCAGCGGTCCAGCCCCATCATCCCTCACTTAAGCCTTTCAAACATCCCACCTCACTCTTATCCACTTCCTGCAGGTTACACCAGACCACCACTGACCTCCAGCCCCAGTGGTAAGTGCTCAAATCCTAGATGGCTTCATGTCCCCACAGCTCATGGGAACAGCTGCTCCCTCTCCCCACCCAGGGCCTCATGGAGGAATGGAGCCGTAGGGGCATGGTCCCCCTCCTTTCCCCACCTCTGCCTTCCGTGACTCGGGCTGGGCATCAGGGGCATCAAGGGCTCCTGTCTCTGGCATCTCCAAGGTGACAGGGGCTTCATCTTTCTTATTTCTGCTGCTTCCTCCTCAGTCCCTGTGACTTCCATGCCCTCAGAAACCTCGGCGGCTCCAATCTCCTCCAGCCCTACAGGTGAGAGCCTTCTCTCCATGTCTCCTTCCCTCTCACCATACACCTGTGCTTTGCAACGAGAAGAGCAAGAGCGTATGCACACACAGCTCAAAGCAAGGGGACAGCCTGGGGAGGTGAAGAATTTGTGGTCACTTTTGCAGTCCACCCCATGTGGCATGCCAGGGTCCAACTTGTGACCATGCTGGCCTGAGGGGACCCAGGGGGTGAGTAGTGAGATTAGATGCAGTGGTACATTCTAGAACAATTCTTAAAGCTTTACCTTCTCTAGAATGGAATGGAAATAGTCAAGGTCAAATCCAGAACTAACTCCCAGAGCGCAGAGACTAAAGCAGAGGAAGCAGGCATAAGTAGCAACGAGAAAAATGACTACAAAGCCATGACAGCTGCATTCAATGATTGTTTGCCACATGATGGGGACTCTGCCTCACATGTACCATCTTCAGTCCCAGCAGATGGACACTGATCTTTCTCTGTTGAAGAGAAACAGGCTGGTTCTTGGGGATCTGGGTGTTTTACTGAGGTTGCGCAGCCAGTGGATGGGCAGGACTCATGTTCAAGTCATTCAAACTCTAGAATCTGAGCTTCTGCCCTAAAACAGCTGTGTGGCTTTGAGGAAGTGACTTAATTTCTCTGAAATTTATTTTCATCCTCTGTCAGTTGGGGGGATAAATAAAAGGATTCACTTCCAGGGTTTGCTTGAGGATGACATGAGATACTGGATGAAAAGTTCTTAGCACAGAGTGAGCTCTTACCAAACATCAGGTCTTATCATTATTATTGCTATTTAGGGCCATTGTTTATATCATTACTATATTAGTAGAATAACAAAATAAAGTTCCCCATTTGGGGAGGAGATATTCTTTTTTTTTAATAAATTAATTTTTATTGGTGTTCAGTTTACCAACATACAGAATAACACCCAGTGCTCATCCCATCAAGTGTCCCCCTCAGTGCCCATCACCCATTCACCCCCACCCCCCACCCTCCTCCCCCTCCACCACCCCTAGTTCATTTCCCAGAGTTAGAAGTCTTTATGCTCTGTCTCCCTTTCTGATATTTCCCACACATTTCTTCTGGGAGGAGATATTCTGAGCTCTCGCACCAGATGTGAATATACTGGGCACCAGGGATGTGGATCCAGACACTACCCCCACCATCCCTCCATCCCTAAATCCAGCTAAGGCAGTGACTCAGGGGATATTTCTCACCCAACCTCACAGCAGTCTCTGGACCCGACCTGGTTCCATTCACCCTCAACTTCACCATCGCCAACCTGCACTACACGGAGGACATGCAGCTAATAGGCTCAGCCAAGTTCAACAAAATAGAGAAGATCTTGCAGAACCTGGTGAGAGTCCCACCCACCTCATCCCACCACCCACTGATTCCCACTTACCCTCTGAGGCCAGCTCCACCCACCTCCCCCAAACCCTGCCCAGCTCCTCCCACCCCCCCACCCCACCCCCCCCTCCACTCATCCCCTGCCTCCCAGCAGATGCCAGCCCCACCCACCTCCCTCATGCCCCACCCAGGTCCCCCCCTGTCCAGCTCAATCCTATTCACCTCCTTCTCCTTCAACAGCTCAGACCATTATTCAAGAACACCACTGTTGGCTCCCTCTACTCTGGCTGCAGACTGACCTCGCTCAGGTGGGACGCCCTAGGAGATGGCCCAGTGAAGCACAGCGGAGATTCTTACCATGGCTAGGGCTAGGTCTTCCCTTTGGCCTCAGCCCTTTCCAACTCCCAACCTGGGGTAGCCTGTCCTTTGGGCTGCTGGCCCCCCAGGTCCTGCTCTGGCTGGCCCTTCCCATCCTCCTGAGCCTCAAATCTCCCATGGGGTATTTGATAGGAACAAAATGACGAAACATAGCAACTGCAAAGTATGCACCAAAATCCTTCATAAAGGATGCACCTCTGATCCTTCACAAAGGATGCAATCCCTGGTCTACTGTGCCTCCAGCCCCACACTGCATTAAATATTTCTGGCTAACACTCAGCCAGTACTTAGTATGTGTCAGACATTGGGGTTCTCAATGTTTGGTCACTATTGACCAGCTAGCTATTGTCGTGGGTGGTTATCCTCTGCACGATAGGATATTTAGCAGCATCTTGGCCACTAGATAGATGCTGTAAGTACCCAACCCCTGAAGTTGGGGACAACCAAATCTGTCACCAGACATTTCCAGATGTCTCCTGAGATGCAGAGCACCCCAGGTTAGAGTCACTGGGTGAAATGCTTCCTGTCCATCATCTCCCTAGACTCCCTTAATGTCACTACTGTTATCTCTATTTTACAGATGAGAAATCAGGCACAAACAGGTTAAGGAACTTTCCCAGAGCCAATGGCTGCCAAATGGCGGAGCCAGGATTCAAACCTAGCCTCTTCAGAGTCCATACCTTTTCCCACTAAGCTTGTTTTGCTTCTTTTCTTTGGGAAGAACCATAAGTTCACCCCCCCTCCCTGTAATCGCAGCCTTCACTTCCCTGCTCCCTTCCAGGGTAGAGAGGTGCAACTTGGCCTCACTTCACTGAGTGATGGGGCTTCTGAGCATTAATGAGATTCTCCACTCCAAGATCCCCTGGAGGCTTTATCCTCAGTGGACAGCTCTCCACGATATCTCCCTGCCTCCAAAAATAGAATCTAAGAAAGCATTCCCTCACTAAGGTGCTAGGATAGAGACAGATGGAATAAAGCCCTTTGTCTCAGGGCCTAGGCCACGATGCTGATGCACCCACAGCAGAAGTGACCTCTCCACTCCCCTGGCCTGGAGTTCCACAAATTTTCTTTCCATCCATAAACATTGCTTGAACACCTACTATGTCCAAGCTCTTTGCTGAGCCCTGAAATCTCCATGGAGGCCAAAGCACAGACTCTGCTATCAAGAAGCGTGTATTATATTAATTATAATGTAAACAAACACATTTATACAAATTAGTTACGTGTGATTGTTATATGTGAATTTTGTAATTATATATATAGACATATAATTAATAGCAAAAATAATACTAAATAAAATAGTGACAGACACTTCCCTGGCACTTAGGGATGCAGCAGATCCTATTAGAAGTATTATGCTTATATCAACAGACTTAATGTTCACAGGATACACCTGGGTACCATGATTCCACCCATCTTACAGATATAAAACTGAGGCCCAGAGATCCTATTGAAGTGTTGGGATACGGGAAGTGTAGTGGGTCTAGGAGGAGCTGAAGTGGCAGCTCAGTTCCTAGTGAGGAGGTCGTTGTGGCCAGGAGATGTCACAGCTCCGGGCCAGGAGGAATGATTCAGGGAGAAGGAACCACAGGTGGAGAGCCTAAGGTAGCGAGCATGCAGAGCAGAAATGCTCACCAGCAGGGGTGGGGAGGCAGGGAGATGCACAGGGCAGGTGGTGGATGACCTGTTGTACTTGATGGGGCAGGCGCAGTGGGGCTTCATACACAGGCAGTAGGGGGCCAGAGGATTTCAGCAAATTCCTAACAAGAGAAGATTCCCATCTTAAGTGGGACTTGGTGCTGTGATGAGCGTGGATCATGGAGCACCGGGAGGCCTGGACTCAGAAGGTGGCCACATTTCAGAATGTGGAGCAGATTCTCTCAGCAGTGGATGATGGGCCTCCTGGGGCCTGTCACCAGAAGCCCCACTACTTCCTAGCTGTCCCCATGGTACCCCCATAATGGTACCCCTCAAGGACTCTCCACAAATGGATCTTAATCATCTGCACTGTTGTGTCCTGCCCTCCCCAGGCCCGAGAAGGCCGGAGCAGCCACCCACGTGAATGCCATCTGCTTCCGCCGCCTGGAGCCTGCAGGCCCCGGGCTGGATAGAGAGCAGCTGTTCTGGGAGCTGAGCCGGCTGACCCATGGCGTCACGTGGCTGGGCCACTACACCCTGGAGCAGGACAGTCTCTGTGTCAATGGTGAGCAGTGGCCACCCACGCTCCACTGAGCTGTGAAGCTCATGGTCCACCCCCACCCCCCAAGGCTTCTTTATTCCTTCTCCACCTCAGCACCTCCTCTCTCTTATATCCTCTCTCTGCAGGCTACACCCACCAGACACCAGTGACCGCCCCCAGTGGTGAGTACTCAAGGGTCTTCAGGAGCTCTGCCCCCCACCCCTCAATAGGGAAGGAAGCAGCATGCCCCTGCCTACACCTCCAGCTGTCAGGGAGGGAAGGGGTCGAGGATGCAGGCTGGGAAGTCATCGCAGTAAGCTTCAGCTGTGCATCACCTCTGTGCTGTTGGCTGGACACAGAGAAAGGGCCACCATGTGGTCCAGGTCAGGTGCACGGAAGAAGGTACCTGTACGTAGCTTGAATAAATAAGAACGTTAGGTGGTAGATTGTCCCCTGCAAATCCTGCCCACCTTCACCTGCTGCTTGGATTGGTCTCCTGTGGTCCACACTGGTGGTTCTGGCATTAGGTCCCCAAGGCCCCCCAGCATTTGCTGTGCAGTCTCCAGTGAGGTAGCAGTGGGTCCCAGGCCCTGCCCATATATCCATCCCTGGCCTGACTCAAGGTAGCCTCCCGTCTCCCTCCCCTGTTGCAGCCACCGGACAACCCCTGGTGCCATTCACCCTCAACTTCACTGTCACCAACCTGCCCTACACAGAGGACATGCAGCCTCCAGGCTCCTTGAAATTCAACAGCACAGAGAAGTCCCTGCAGCGCCAGGTGAGAGCCCCGCACACCTCCCCCTGCCAGTCCCGCCCAACCAGCCTTCATGCCTCATCCTGACGCCAGGCCGCCCATGCCTGCCCCGACCTTGGGACTAACCCCTCCCACCTCATTCTTGCCCCACCCACCCATGCCCATCCTGCCCCTGCATCTCAGATGATCTATTTACTTCCCTTGCTCTCACCCACAGCTCGGACCATTGTTCAAGAACACCAGTCTGGGCCCCCTGTACTCCGGCTGCAGACTGACCTTGCTCAGGTGAGACCTTGCAATCCCCGGCCAGGGCTGCGTCAAGGGCTCCCTGAGGACCCCAAGAGTTCCCTCTGCTTCCTACCTGCCCTCTCTGTCCATGTCCTCAGCAGAGGTGGAATTCAGGAGGCACTGGCTCCAGAACCAAGGCCTCTTCTGGTTGTAACCACCCCTGCCCTGCCTCCCACACACACAGTCCCCAGCTTCTGCAGAGCCCCTAGTCTGGGTCATCCTTCCCAATTCCCTCCTGCCTCCCTTTGACCAAAGAAGGCATTTCCTTTGGGTTTTCAGTTCCTTCCCCAGGATTCCTCTCAAGGCAAGCTTGCCTTTTCCACTTGCTTTAATCCGAATTCCAGGTTTTCACCTGTCTCAAGTAGGAGCTCTCCTGTCCCCATGCTCTGAGGTTGCAGGTTTCAGATTTGCAATTTAAGAAAAATCCTGCCCCCGCCCCCCATGACTGTGTGCACAGTCCTGGGCTGGCCAGAAGTGGGTGCCAGCCTTCTCACTTGCCCTGGCCCCCTCCTGGCCTGCCCCCAAGGTCCCAGGAGCCCTGCCCTGGGACTCCATCTAGTGTTACCCTTCCCTACCCTCCCCAGGCCTGAGAAGGATGGGGCAGCCACTGGAGTGGATGCCATCTGCACCCACCGCCCTGACCCCATGAGCTCTGGGCTGGACAGAGAGCGGCTGTACCAGGAGCTGAGCCAGCTGACCAGAGGTGTCACTAGGCTGGGTATCTACACCCTGGACGCAGACAGTCTCTACATCAATGGTGAGGGATTGCCATCTTGGTCCACATTTCAACAGGCCCTACATCCTCCTCGCCATTCCTCCCTTTTTTTCATTACTCAACCTCATCACCCTTCCTCCCTCTCCCTATGCAGGTTACACCCGCAAGACCCAGGCCACCACCCCCAGCAGTGAGTATTCAGAGGGTTCAGGAGTCTCTACAACCCTGTGAGTCCCTGCCCTTAAAATGGAAGTGTCCAGGAGCCCATGGCCTGCCCTGTGCACCCCGTTCCACCCCCAGCCTCGGGTGAATGGGGACCCATACTCCTACCCACAGATGCCAACCTTGACCCACCCTCTCACTCACCTCCCACATCCATCTACCACCAAATCATCTCTTCTCCCTTTATAATATCTTGCAAGTCCTTTCTCTACATCTGTGTCATTCAGCCTTTATTCAAGCCACTGACATTTTTTTTGCTAGGACTAATGCAGTAGCCTCTACTCTGGTTTCCTCTGCACAGCAACTGCCATGGCCCTCCCAATGTACCTTTGTCCATGTAGTTCCTGTCTTGTTCACAATCTTTGGATGACTCCATCTTATCTACAAGTCATGTCCAAATCCCTGAGATGCACAGTCGCTGACCCCCCTTTCTGGGCTCAGAGGGCTCCTCCAGTCTCATGTGTATACTTTTACATGCCCATAATGAAACCATCAAGTCCCTTGGGTGCAACTGCTCTGTCCTGCTGTCGGGCTCAAGCCCAGACTGATTCTTCTGCTTAAGCACTCTTCTACTTGCTCAGCTCATGTTCACCTAACTCTTATTTATGCCTTTGGTAACACCTGAAATGATGCTTCCTCCTGGAAGCAGTCCTCAATTGTTGGTTGGGTGTCTCCCTGGAATTGTACACCCTTCTGGCTCTCCTGTAGCATAATGGTCTAGCCACAGTATTAAGAGACTATGCCCTATTCATCCTTGGACCCACGGACCCCAGCACAGAGCCGCATATACATTAGATACACACTTACACACTTGCTGAACGAGTGAGCAAAGGTTCCTGACTTCTTTAAAACCTCATAATATTCTCTCCTTCAGCTTCTGCAGTCCATGGCTGTACTTAGGTCCATTGCTGGTTCTCCACTGTTAGAACTCCAGGCAACCTTGGTGTCCTTACTATCGTGCAAACTGGACAATTTTCTATTCCTCCCCCACTGCAGCCACTGGCCCCACTCTGGTGTCCTTCACCCTGAACTTCACCATCACCAACCTGCGCTACACTGAAGACATGGGGCACTCAACTTCTTTAAAGTTCAACTCTACTGAGAGGATCCTCCAGCACCGAGTAAGAAACCGTCAATGTCTACCATCAGCCCCACCACACACCTGCCCACATAGTCCTTTAGGCCTTTTGCTCACCCTCCCTCTCTTTCCTCACCAGCTCAGGCTTTTGTTCAGTAAGACCAGTATTGGCCCCCTCTATGCTGGCTGCAGACTGGCCTCGCTCAGGTGAGACCCCCAAATGGAGGGATGTGTTGCGTCTGGTGGACTCTCATGTGCTAGCTAGCGGGGCTTAGTTCCTGGGCATGCCTTTGGCACTGCTGGCCTCCAGCACCCACCATTAACACCTTCATGTGTTCTTTATGCCCAGATGCTGGGAATGCTCAAGGCTTAGAGATGAGGCATCCTGTTTATCCTTATGGAATCCAGATGATTATTTGTTTTAGATGAAAGCATTCCTCTTAGAGGAATGCTTGTACCTTGTCTGCAAATTACAATTAGAGTGTTTTCTGTCCTTAGTTTTGAAGGGGTTGTCCCAGATGAGAGACACTAAGGAGAGCCCCTTCAGAGCCAGACCTTTCTGTACTCTCTCAGCCTCCTGCCTTCTATTCTCTTGCTTTCCACATCCAGAAGGACCCCTCCTCATGATTTCACGTCCCCATGTCCTTTCTTCCCCAGGCTTAAGAAGGGTGGAGCATCCACTGGAGTGGACATGATCTGCACTGTCCACTCTGATCCCAAAGGCCCCAAGCTGGACAGAGAGCAGCTGTACTGGGAGCTGAGCCGTGAGACACATGGCATCACCCGGCTGGGATCCTTCACCCTGGACAGGGACAGCCTCTATGTCAATGGTGAGGGGCTATGCTCCAGCCAGGGTCTCTCTCCTGGCCAGAGCTCTGTGTTTCTCTAAAAGGAACTGCTGTGGTGCATCTCCTCTGGTCTGGGATCAGTCTTCATTCTGATGATATAATCATGGGCTCCAGCCACCTACAATCTCCTTCCCTCCACTGCCTCTTCCCCTCTGCTTTTCCCACAAAGGCCCCTAAATCCTACCTTTCCCTTAATCCTTTATGCTCATCCTGACTCTTGCTCAGCTTCTCTGGCCTTCTCTCCGCAGGTTACACCTATGGAGCTATAGCCCCGACTACCACTAGTGAGTATTCCTGGGCCCTGTCCCTTCTCCTTTGCCTCCTGTCCTCGGTGAGGAATATACCTGGAAGGGTCCTTCACTCATCCCTCCTCTCCCCTGGTTCTGGTGGAGAGTTCTAGCCCAGGGCAAGTGTGTCTCTCACATACAGGTCTGTCCTCCCACTATCCTGACTCTCATGTTATCACTCAGATTCTCCTAAAAACCCTGCCCTGATACTTTGCTCTTATTCTTTTACTCACCTCTATGCTTGTTGCTCTGGATGTGTCTCAGCATCGGTGTTGCACCATTCGTTGGGTTTTCAGTAAACACATATGGAAGTTGTCCACCTTCTGGGCACCATGCTTAGTTACATACCATCTTAGTCAGCTCTGGTTGCCAAAGCAAAATACCACAGGCTGGGTGGCTCAGATGACAGAAATATATTTTCTCATAGTGCTGGAGGCTAGAAGTCCAGATCAAGGTGCCAGCAGGGTTGGTTTCTCTACAGCCTCTCCTTGATGTGCAGATGACACATTCTTGCCACCTTTTGGCACGGTCAGTCCTTTGTACACACATTCCCAGTGTCCCTCTGTGTCCTAAACTCCCTTTCTTACACCAACAGCAGCCAGAATGGATTGGGCCCCACCCCAACAGCCTCATTTTAACTTAATTACCTCTCTAAAGGTCCTGTCTCCAAATGAAATCACCTACTGAGGTACTAGGGATTATAGCTTCTTCAATTTTGGTGTGTGATGGGGAGTGGAGACACAGTTCATCCAAGAACACATACATCTTATCCTTTAGTTGTCGCTACAATCATGTGACTTAATTCCATTTTAGAGAGGAGTAAACTCAGGCTCCAAGAGGCTGCCAAGCCACACAGCAAATAAATAATAGAACCAAGAGTTCCTGTGTCTCCAAAAACTCATAATCTCACTCATCCATCAGTTCATTTCTTTAGAAAGACATGCTAATTTTTGGTGTACACCTGTTGTTCAAGTCCGTGGACCAAACTCTCTTTGCATCCCCAGCAAATCCTGAAATAAGGATCTTGTAGCTTTTTCAAGAATTAATTGCCCTTGCATTGGAAGTGTTTCTGCAACCCTCTCAAACTCTCTTCTTGGGTCCATCTCTGGTCTTTTACCACAGCATCCTCCCTTGCTCCTTTGAACATCAGTAGGGTTCCAGGATCCTCAGGTCCAATGACAACCATCTTTTCCCAAACGATAGGAGGAAAAATAAGCTAAAGTTAGTTCCATTGACTGTGTTTTGTTTATCAGTATCCAGTCCTTGGAATAGTTCAGAAGCATTGTAGGATCATGTACATGGAGGGAAGGCAAGATGGATGGATGAATGGGTGGATAGATGGAAGGAAGCAAGTAATGGTAAATGGAAATAGGGATGGTAGATGGAAGAAAGGATGAATGGAGGGGGAAAGGGATGGAGGAAAGATGTCTGGATTGATAGAAGGAACAGATATGGAAGAAAGGAAAGATGGATGGGTAGATGGAAGAAAAGAAAGAGTGGAGGAAGAAAGCAAGGGAAGCTGGATAGATGGAAGACAGTGGGGTTAGAAGGAAGGACAGAGAGAAGGATGCATAGAAAGGGGTATGAATAGGAAGAAGGAAGGAAAGGAGGAATGAGGAAGGAAGGAATGATATATGCAAGGATGGTGCATGGATGGATGTCATGAGTACATGGATGGATGCATGGATGGGTAGATGGATGGGAGGGTGGGTGGATGGATGGAAACATGGAGGATGGATGGATGGATGGAAAGATGGATGGGCAGATAGATGATAGAAGAAAGGAAAGAAAGAATGGAGGGAGATAAAAGAAAAGATGGATAGATGGAAAGAAAGGTTGAAGGAACAAAGGATAAGTGTATGGATGATTAGAAAGAAAAATGGAAGGAAAGAAGAAAGGATGGAGGAAAGGATAAAAGGGAACTTGGAAGAAGTAAAAAATAGGAGAGGGAGGATAGAGGGGAGATAAGTCTTTCTTCCAGAGGTCTATCCTGAATAGTTAACCCTGCGCTGCTCATTGCTTCTCTACTCTAGAGTCAGGCCACTGGGCCTCTGATCTCACTTCTATCATATGTTCATTTATCATACTTCTTCTGGGGTCTACACAGATCACCCCAACTACTGAACCTGACCCAGTGTCACGTGTCTAAACAAGAGCGTGTGTCTTCACAGGGAAGGTAATTAGAAAGGATTCTAGGGGCAGCCTGGGTGGCTCAGCGGTTTATCGCCGCCTTTGGCCCAGGGCCTGATCCTGGAGACCCAGGATTTAGTCCCACGTCAGGCTCCCTGCATGGAGCCTGCTTCTCCCTCTGCCTGTGTCTCTGTGTCTCTGTGTCTCTGTCTCTCTGTCTCTCTCTCTCTCTCTCTCTCTCCCCCTCTCTCTGTTTGTGTCTCATGAATAAATAAATAAAATATGAAAAAAAAAAGAAAGAAAGGACTCTGGGATTGGAGAATCTGGGTCCAAACCCAGACACTCCCTTCCAGTCATGTAACCCTGGGCAGATAACCATTTCTGTACTGTGGTTCCTCTTTTGTTCAGTGTGGATGATTCTAGTGCCCAGTTCGTATTTATCCAGGTAAAGAGCTCCATATGTAGTGAGTGATCAGAAAGTATTTTCTTATATGTTTTATATGATGAACACTTAAATGTTGTTTACTCTGTACCCAGCACTATGCTCAAGCACTGTACAGAATTTGACTTGTTCAAACCTCATTACAACTTTTGAAATAGGAATCATTATCTTGTAGATGAGTAAATCAAGACACAGAGAGGCTGGTTACAGCTGCTGGTTGGCCTTTTGTGTATGTGCAATGCATAGAAGATTGGCATACCTGGGTGAGAGAGAGAGAGAGAGAGAGAGAGAGAGAGAGAGAGAGAGAGGAAAAGGGTGACAGAGACAGAGAGATAAAGACAGCAGAGAGAATGGAGGGCAATGTCTGAGGTTATCCCCAATCCCAAATTAGTGTGGTAAGTTGGAGCCTTTCCTTCCTGGAAAGAACAAAGCCACCAGTGTTTTCACAGAGCCCTCCACTCCGGCACCTGGGTAGGAAAACCATATCCAGCCCCCAAATCATTAAGCCTGTCCTTACCTGTCGCTGGAGTAGTCTCTGTTAACAAGTGACCCTTGGGTTCATTGGGAGGAAGACAAGAGGCCCTTGGAAGCCCGACCGTGGGTTGATGTTGGGCACCTCGACCTCCCCACATCCTTGGCTCTCTCTGCACCAACCGCAGCTGGGGAGGTCAGTGAGGAGCCATTCACACTCAACTTCACCATCGACAACCTGCGCTACTCAGCGGATATGGGCCTTCCCGGCTCCCTGAAGTTCAACATCACAGACACCCTCATGCAGCACCTGGTGAGAGGCCAGCTTCCCCGTCCCCACCTCCACGACCCCTCCTCGGGGCTGTCGCCAGCTCTGACCACGCTGGCCCTCTCCTTCCTCTCCAGCTTGGCCCATTGTTCCAGAGGAGCAGCCTCGGCGCCCGATATGCAGGCTGCAAGGTCACCTCACTAAGGTGAGAACCCTTCTACCCACCATGGCCCACCACCAAAGGACAGGACTTCTGACTGTGGGAGGGGTTCACTCCCAGTCATGGCAAGCTGTCATGGAGGGTCCTTTTTGGAATCCACTTCTTCATGTTACTTTATTGTTATGATTGTGACAAAATACGTTTTGGACATACAATTAGCCATTTTCACCATTTTTAAGTATACATTTCAGTGGCATCTGTTACACGCACAATACTGTGCACCCATCACCACTACCTAGTTCTGAAACTCTTCATCACTGTGTGCCCATCAGGCAATTACTTGCACTTTTCCAGGTCAAGGTATTTCCTGTTGGTGTTTACAAAGCACTTCTCCATCTTTGTTTTCTTTTTTTAATTTTTTAATAATAAATTTATTTTTTATTGGTGTTCAATTTGCCAACATACAGAATAACACCCAGTGTTCATCCCATTAAGTGTCCCCCTCAGTGCCTGTCACCCATTCACCCCCACCCCCCACCCTCCCCCCCTTCCACCACCCCTAGTTCATTCCCCAGAGTTAGGAGTCTTGCATCTTTGTTTTCATTTCACTTTCATTGGTGATACAGCTCTTCTGAGGCAGGTGGTAGGCACCACAGTGACAGGACAGGCACTGCCCCTGCACTCATCTGGTGGAGAAGGCAGAAACTAAGTGGGAGAATAAATATCTAAAATGGTCTCAAATATGGTAAGGTGATGGGAAGCAGAAATGCTTAGAGACGGGAAAGCAGCTTTACCCAGGTCACAGGATAGCCTGTCTGCAGAGGTGATTTCTGAGCTGTGTCCCAGTTAGAAAAGGAGGACATGGCCATGAAAACTGTTCCAGGCAGAGGAAACTGCATGGGCAAAGGTCCTGAGGTAGGAATGAGTTTGGCATATGCAGTGAACAGCAAGGAGGCCGGGGTGGCTGGAGCAGAGAGAACAAGGGACAGAGAGAAAGTAGGTGTGTTTCCAGACATCAGCAGGGTCTACACAGTATAGAGTCTGGGCGTGAATTGATATTTTTTAATCGTAGTAAAATATTCATAAAAGAAAAATTGTAAGTGTCTGGTTCAGTAGTGTTAAGTATATTCACACTGTAGTGCAACCAATCTCCAGAACTTGCGACTGAAACTGTACACCCATTAAATAACAGCTCCCTGCTTCCTTCTACCCCCAGATGTTAGCAATCGCCATTCTGCTTTCCATCTCCATAATTTGACTACTCTGGGTGCCTCATACAAGTGAAATTATATGGTGTTTTTTTGTGACTGCCTTATTTCACTGATCATAAAGTCCCCAAGGTTCATCTATGCTATGGCAGGTGTCAGGATTTCCCGCACTTTTAATGCTGAATGATATTCCATTGCATGGATATATCATATTGAACTATGAAAGTCACATTTTGTTTATCTATTCCTCAGGGCTTTGGTTTTTACATGGAATAGGCAATATGTGAGGTACTGGGGGTTCAGCACAACAGTGAGCTACACTGTCCTGTTACTTGCCCTCATAGAGGTCACCATCTGGAGGGAACAGGAAAAAATAATATATGTTCACACTGAGAGCAATCAGGGCTTTGATGGGAGAAGCCTGAGGAATGTGGCAGCCAGAACCCTCCCTTGACAGCGTGGGAGGGTTCTTGGAGAAGGAGGAGGTGTCTAAGTTGAGATCTAAAGAATGACCAGGAAATTACCCAAGTAAGGACAGAAGGGGAGAGATCTCCAGAAAGAAGTCACTGCATGTGCAAAGATCCTGGGGTGAGAGAGCATGGGCAGGTAGAGAAACTGTGAATGGTTCAACAAGGCTAGGACACAGGATATGAGGTGTGGAGTGACCACAGGTGAAGAGGTGCCACATGAGCTGCACTCCCTAAACATCAATCTCTCCTTCCTCAGGTCTGTAAAGAATGGCGCCAAAACAAGGGTGGATATCCTCTGTACCTACCGGCAGCACCCCAGCAGCCCGGGTCTACCTGCCAAGCAGGTGTTCCATGAGCTGAGCCAGCAGACCCGTGGCATCACCCGGCTGGGCCCCTATTCTCTGGACAAGGACAGCCTCTACCTCAATGGTGAGTGGTTCTCAGCCCACCTCACTGCTTCCACCCCTCATTCCCAGAAAGGTCTCCACTCACCACAGGTCAGGTCTCTAGGGGAAACCTTGAGACAAACTCGGGTGTGAATCTCAACTCCACACTGACCCCCCACCCTCCAACAGTTACTCTGCAAGGCTGTCCCTCATCACACCTGATGAATAAATAGAGGTTCTGAAAGATTAAGTAATTTTCTCAAGTGGACACCCAGGTTAAAATGGGGTGGAGCCACTGGAGCCACTGCCCCAGTGGTCAGTATCCAATGCTGCACCCCACCCTATGCCTGAATTCACATCTGCTCCCTTCACCTTGGCCACTGCAGAGGCCATTTTAGGATATTTCCCCCTGTAAAATGTGCTTCATTTTGTTCACTCAGTCAGCAATCACCAGCATCTGTTATAAGCCAGGCTTGACACCAGGGACACAGACAGGTCACATGTGCAACCTGTCCTAATGTAAGCTCCAACGGGGCAGAGACATTTTGTAGAGTGCTGTATTCCCCCAAATGTAATGGAACTTAGCACACAGTAGGTTCTCATTAAATATTTGTTGGATGGAGGGATAGATTGGAGGGAAGGTGGAAGGCAGATGGTGGGATGGTTGCCTATATGGGAAAATAAATGTGTGAACATAAATGTGATGAGAGTTTCTTGGGGACATGCTGGAGAGGTGAATAGGGAAGGGTCATTTCTAACTGGAAGATCAGGAGAACCTTAATGGTGTAGATGACATTTGAATCTGATCTTAGAAGATGTATAGATGCTTACCTGGTTCACAGATGGAAAGGCATCCAGCAGGAGCCCCATATGGACAAAGGCATGGAATATCTGGGATTTTTCTGCCATCTCCCCTTATGTGTGGCATTTTTGTTTCCAGGTTATAATGAACGCGGTCCAGATGAGCCTCCTACAAGTATGTATCTTTGCATCCAGTACCCATATCAGCCTGTATGGGTCTTGAGCCAAGCTTTTCTCCTCGCTAATAAAGGGAGCTTGCCCCAAACTCAGGCTGCTCTCCTGAGTAGGGCCAGGTGTCAGTGGGAAGAAGAATGCTGAGTCCCTGGGTCCCTTCTGGGCCTGCGGGCATAGTACTGGCTTTTTAAACTTTCCATACCTTTCTGGGTTGGAGGAAGAATTTTGAACAAGCATTTCCTACAGGGATGGGGATTGAGGTCAGATGAGGAATCCATGCCTCCTGAAAGCAAGATCTCCTACAAGGGCCACAGAAGGGGCCTTAATATCAAGCTGCAAACTGTGGTGGCCATTCAGTGATTTGGCCAAATTTGCCCATTCAGTTGTCCAGTGGTTCCTTCATCTATCTTTTAACCCATCCATTCTTCCATTCTCCAAGTTAGACCTTCTCTCAGACTTTGCCATTCTTCCTTCCTTCCTTCCTTCTTTCCTACCTTCCTTCCTTTCTTCTTTCTTTCCCTTTGCCCATCCATGTATTCATCCATTCTTCCTCCATTCATCCATCCATCCTTCCTTTGCTTCTTCCCTCTATTCTTTCATCCACCCATCCATCCATTCATTCATCCATTCTTTCATGTCTCCATCCTTTCTTCCTTCTTTCCATTTGTCCATCCATGTATTCATCCATTCTTCCTTCCATTCATCCATCCATCCTTTTCTCCTCCCCTCTGTTCTTTCATCTACATATCCATCCATTCATCCATCCTTCCATCTCTCCTTCATCCCTCCATCCATCTTTCATTCCTCTCCTTTGTTCATTCTTCCATCTACCCATCTTTCATTTTTTCCTTCCATCCATTCATCCCTCCCTCCATCCTTTCTTCCTTTTCCCTTCCTCCCTCCCTTCCCCCCTCCATCCATCCATCCTGTTTACCTGTTTGTCCTTTCCTCTTTTTGTCCTTACATCCATCTGTCCAACTTTCTTCCTTGTGTTTATTCTTGCTTTCTCTCTGACCTTTCATTTGCTCATTCTTCCTCTGTCCATCCAGGTTACCCATCTGTCTGTCCACTTTTATGCCCATTGATTACTCTCTCTCTTGTTCACCTACATGTACTCTGTTGGGTTTACTTTATTCATGGGCTCACTCAACCCTCTGCTCCCACAACTCTTCCTTCCCTTACTCTCACTAATGGCATACCTGTGAATGCTTGTCCTGGGAAAAGCACTGTTAGAGCCCAGGCAAGGTTTGGGGAGTTTCTCCTGCTCTGGGGAGGGGGGCTCTGCTCTTTTCTGATGACTGCCCTTTCCACAGCTCCTGAGGTAGCCACCACATCCCTGCCTCATTCATCATCACCTGCACAACCAGAAGCCACCACAGGTATCTGGGAGATCCCTTTTCCTTCCCAAGAGAAGTTCTCCAGCCCAACACCTCTACCAGCCAGTTGTACACAAGAGCTGGGAAGCCAGGGTGTAAAATTCTGGTTTAGGACACTCATGCCAATCGGAAAGAGTATACTGACAATTTAATCTAATGCATACACTCATGGAGCTCCCAGTCTTATGGGATCAACAGACCATGATAACACAATGTGAGATATTCTGGGGAGAGGCACGTAGCATAATTTGGAGGGGAAGGGCTTTCTGGAGAAAGTTTCACACAAACTGAGTCTTTAAGAATGAGTAGGAGTCATCCAGGAAAATAGGGGATAAAGAGTTTTCCTGTTCTAGGGGATTTGATGAGCAAAGGCTCAGCATACTGTATGGAGACAACTGAGAGGGATTTGGTTTGCATAAAGCATAAACTTAACCTGGAGTAGATGGATAAGTGAAGCTGAAAGGTTGGCAAGAACTGTTTTGGAAGGACCTTGAATGCCAGGTCAAGAAGCTTTAACCTGACACTGAAGGCCAAAGGAAGCCATGGATAGCAGTGACTATACTGAGATTTTTTTCACTTAAGAAAACTTCTTCTAGTGTTCAGTGTAGAAAACATTCTTTAAATGTGGCATCCAATAAGTCTGCTGAGGTATTTGTCTAGGTGAGAGAATATAAGACTTGAACTGGGACAGGATAGAGAGAGAGGATGCATGTGAGGGCCATCCTAAAAGTGGAATTGGTGTTACTTGGTGGGGAAGCAAGAGGACCTGAGCCACATGCTAGTTTTGACTTAGGCGACCAAATGGTGGGTGGTGGTGCCAATGGAAGAGAAGACAACAGAGTACAATGAATTCAGGACTCTGATTTGGTCTCAGGCCAACTGTCCATAGTAGCCCTCTCTCCTCTCTCTTCTTGTAGCTACGGGACACAGTCTGAAGACCCTCACACTCAACTTCACCGTCTCCAACCTCCCATATTCAATGGACATGAGCAATGGCTCAGCCATGTTCAACTCCACCAAGAGGACCCTGCAGCGCCTGGTAAGACCCTGCTCCCAGCAGTTCCTAGTGGGTTAAATTCCACCCAGCCCTTCCTTTATCCTTGTCCCTCCTGTTAATCCTCCTCATTCTTCCTCCCCAGCTTGGATCCTTGATCCAGAGGAGCAGTCTGGGACCCTTCTACTCAGGTTTCAGATTAATCTCCCTCAGGTAGGACTTTTTCCTGAGTATTTGCCAGTAGTGACCATTTTGGGGACTGACCCTTCTGGTCTTCCCACTGACCTCCCATTTTGTCCCTCCCTCTTTGCGGCCCCCATAGTAAGGTTTCAGGACCTCTCTTTAGAGTCCGCACATCCCTCTCTCCCCAGACCTGATAAGGATGGGGCAGCCACCCGTGTTGATGCCATCTGCAACTACCGCCATGACTCCATGGGCCATGGGCTGGACAGAGAGCGACTTTACTGGGAGCTGAACCAGCTGACCCATGGTGTCACCCAGATGGGCCCCTACACCCTGGTCAGGGACAGCCTCTTCGTCAATGGTGAGTGATTTACAGCAATCATTTTTTGTCCCCGTTCTATTTTATTTCCTCTTTAACAAGTCAGCCCAAGTTCTGATTAGGGGAAACCTTTCCCAAAATCTCCATGGAGAGATTCTTTCCTGTTATTTCAAGTAAATAGAATGAAATTCTTTAACAAATCAATATAATGAATTTTAATTTGAACCCCAGATATCTGACTCAAGGGGTCTTTGGGTACAGGAATTCTCTATGTGAAACTCCTCTATGTCAGTGGTTTTCACCAGGGGTCAATTCTGCCTCTCAGGAGACACTTGGCAATGATGAGACATTCTGGTTGCCACAATAGGGGAAGAGTGAGATGCCAGCGATGCTGTTAATGTCCTCCAATGAACAGGAGATCCTCAACAAACACATATACATTCTATCCCAAGCCATGTGCTGGGTACAGAGATAGAACACACAGTTTCTCTCCCTGAAAAACTCATAATCAGGATAACTAAACATTACTTGGGGACACACAAAAAAGGCAGAAACACTGCTATTAACAGGGCACCATGAAAGCACAGATAAGTCAGGGAGGACTTCCTGGAAGAGGATATTATGTATGCAGCACTATACTAAGCACTGGGGCATGACAAGAACAAGACAAATGGGTCCCTATTCTCCTTGAATTCCATCTCACTGGAGTTCTGAAACATGAGTAGGAGTTTTCCAGGAAAAGCAGAAGATTGAAGAACATTCCAGGAAGTTGGACCTGCATAAGCACAAGCAGAAAAGCTCACTTCAAGAGAATCCCTGTAAAGTTTCCATTTTCCCTCTCTGTGGGGTGACTTTCAATTTGGAAGCCCCCAACATGTGGGCCCGAGTTTGGCTGATTCTGATGATAGGCACCACGCCTCTTTCTGTGCTAAAGGCTAAGAGTTTCCAACTGTCTTCTCTTCATCTCGTTGGCTGCAGGCTATGCACCCCAGAATTTATCTACCCAGAGTGAGTATCAGCTAAATTTCCGCATCATCAACTGGAACCTCAGCAACCCAGACCCCACATCCTTGGAGTACACATCCCTGCAGAGGGACATCCAGGACAAGGTGGAGTCTCTCTCACCCATCCCATCTCTCCTTGACCTGGGTGCCCCCTCATTCCTCTGTCTGATTCACATATATTAAGTGATGGCTTCAACACTTTACCTATGTGCTCTGAGTCCTCTCAGTTTCCAAAGATGGTGCCCTGCCTGCCTTCTCCATTTCCCAGATGTGAAAACTGAGTCTCAGAAAGGGGAGTGGTGTACCTAAGATCACACAGTCAGGATTTAAACTCAAACCTCCTTTGCTCCAAGGCCTGTGTCTTTTCACTGGCCCCAGTAGCTCCCTCGAGCCCCAGAAGGTCTCCATCTCACCCATTATCCCCACCCTTTATTCTAGGTCACCAAACTCTATAGAGACAGCCAGCTACAAGACATGTTCCACTCCTGCCTGGTCACGAACTTGACGTAAGTTGAGGAAGTTGGAAGCACTGGCTGAGATGGCAGTTTGTGACTCTGAGCTCCCATCCTGGCATAGTCCTTGAGCTGGAAGTCACTGACATGGTGCCCATGCTCCCCCACATCCCTTTCAGCTCCTTCCATAGGTCTAGGGGGTGGGCAGGAAAAAGATTAACCTCACTGGGCAACCTATACCAGCATCTTCCACCTTCTCCTCTTCTGGATACTTTCAACAAATAAGACACTTTCATGCATAGTCATCGTATGGGATTCTCACACAGCCCCTGTGAGACGGATATTATCTGTGGTCATCCCCATTGTTCAGATGGGGAAGCTGAGGCTCTGAGAGGCAAAGTGAACATCCCAAGAATCGCCCAAATTGGGTTGGAAGAATGGGTGGAGGAACCAAAACATCTACACCGGGGAACAGGAGGATCATGGGACACAGTGCCAACTTTGAGTGTTTCCAAACTTCAGTTCCTTTGTCTTTAAGATGGGGATAATTATAATAATAGCTTCCATCACAGTGATGTTGAGGGAACATGTATGTCACTTCCTAGAGGTGCTCAATAGATGTTCATTATTTTTATAGTTATTTGTTCTATTCCCAACTCCTGGAAACCTTGTATTTTTAGTCAGAGTCTCTTCTCTAGCTTGGGGGAAGAGGAAGCCAGATAATCTCTCACATCTTGCCTCTAGGTCTTTGGGTCTATAAAACAGGAACTCAGGAGGCATTGCTGGTGTTGAATGCTGGCTGAGTTCCATGGTCTCTGTCCCTAGGTTGGGCTCCATGTTGGTCACCATCAAGGCACTGTTCTCTTCTAATGTGGACCCCAGTGTGGTGGAGCAAGTCTTTCTGAACAAGACCCTGAATGTCTCATCCCATTGGCTAGGCACCACCTATCAGCTGGCGGACCTGCATGTGACAGGTGCAAGACTAGGGGCTGGTTTCATGGTTTGAAGAGATGGGGCTATGAGGAAGGATGGGGCTTCTCAGTAGCAGTGGAATGGGTAGAGGCTCTGGAGGGGAAAGGGGGACTTTCTGGATGCCCATGTTGATGACCCATGGCCGTGGGTCATCCAACGGGAGGTAGGAAAAAATCATGGAGCAGTTGCACCCAAGGGAATGGTTATTTTTACATGTAAGTATTTCCCACCCCAAATGTAGTGTATCCTGAGTTGCCTTCTTAGGCCTTCTGGTTATGAGTCATGCATTGATTGATGGAAGGACTCATTCATTCATTCAACAAATATGTTATGAAAGTAAATAGGCACTGATGACACACTGTGATAACTGTTATAATCAGGGAATTTCAAGAGCCTGTGGGAACCCCTAGGAGGGACACGCAGACCATCCTGGGAAGTTTTCTGGAGGAAGTGAGGAACAAACTGAGATGTGATGGTGAACATGACCCAGCCAGTGGGAAGAGATAGGGAGCTGAGCTACATGTGTTTATAACCTAGACGATAGAATACTTAGGGAGGTTATAAGGAGTTTGGTGTGGCTGGAGCAAACACTTTGACATGGAAGAAGTGGCAGGTAAGGCTATAGGTGCAGGGAGGGACTTTCTTGGGCACTGGAATAGTTTGCAGGGGAACACAACACAGAGTTCTGCCTTAGAAAGCTCATCCTCTGGTGCTGTATAGTGAGTAGATTGGAAAGGGGAGAAGACTAGAGACGGCAAGACACATTATAACTTAGGTCAGCAAAGGTATATGAGGGATGTCCCCTGAGGTGGTCAGCACCTGCACTTGCCTTCTGTGCCCCCAGAGGGGCCCAGTCTCCTCTTCCCCACATACTTGTGAGTTCTCATAATGCTTAGAGGAGAGTCAGATGGATGGACAGATGAGCAGGTTCAAAGTGACCCAGTAAATAGAAGGTCTTATGTAGCTCACTTTAAAAATCCAGCTCAGGTCACATTTCCCGGAATAAGTAGCCAAGCTAAAATGACTTCTTGGCTAAAATCTTGACCTAATTAGGACTTCTATGCCTTCTTTTTATTATAGAAGTGGAGCCATCAGCTCACCTACTGACAGACAAACCAACAAGCAGTCCCAGCACCGAGCACTTCCAGCTGAATTTCACTGTCACCAACCTACTCTATTCCGAGGACATAGCCCAGCCAGGCACCACCACACATCAGCGAAACAAGCGAAGTATTGAGAATGCGGTGAGAATGGGGTTGTATGTCCACTCTGTCCCTATGTAGAGACAGACCTATGGATACTGGGTAGTCAGAGGGTGATTTTTCATAACAATTCATGAAGACAGGTTCTTTTTAAATAAAGATTTATTTATTTATTCATAAGAGACACACACAGAGAGAGAGGCAGAGACATAGGCAGAGGGAACAGAAGCAGGCTTCACGCAGAGAGCCCAATGTGGGACTCAATCCCGGATCCTGGGATCACACCTGAGCTGAAGGCAGATGCTCAACCGCTGAGCCACCCAGGCATCCCGTGAAGACAGGTTCTAATACCCATTTACAAATTAAGAAACAGACTCAGAGAGTTTTAGTAGCTAGGCTGGGGTCATATAGCTAAGTCATACCCTGGAATGGGATGTCCTTTGGTATACATATCCAGGCTAGTGTTTGTTGAGAAAAGAAAAAAAATAGGTGGGAAAATTTGCTCAGTGGCTAAAAGTTCTCTAATGCCACTGGGCCTGGGATGGTGATCAATAGAATATCGCCCTGTCTTTCAGCTCAACCAGGTCTTCCGAAACAGCAGTATCAAGAGCTATTTCTCTAGCTGTCAAGTTTTGGCATTCAGGTGAGTTCCAATTCAAGACCTAATCACTCTGGAGATTCCCACTATCCTTTAAGTAAAAGTGTCCCTGTGTCATGGTCCCAGTTTCTAGCTCTTATGGAACATAGCCCTGGGAGCATAGAACTGTTACCTAAAAACCAACTTCTTCCTAAACCAGTGAGCCCAACTGGTTTAGAAACTCAGAGAGGCAGTGTAGACCTCAGCAGACATGGAGGTGCCTTGTGTTGGGGCCATAGAATATGGAGTGTAGCATCCACGCCTTAAACTAATTGCTGTTGAAGTCAAGATCCATAGAAGATAGTCTAGAAGACTAGAACCAGATGACTTAGAATCCAGCAGTCTAACTGTACTGCTCAGTAGTGTAGCCACTAATCACATGAGGCAATCAAAACTGTTTACACATCTATTGAGATATGATTCACATATAAAATGTACCCCATTGGGGTTTTTTTAAAGAGTTTTTAAAATTTATTTATTCATGAGAGATACAGTGAGAGAGGTAGGCAGAGGGAGAAGCAGGCTCCCTGTAGGGAGCCTGATGTGGGACTCGATCCTGGCACCCTGGGATCACGCCCTGAGCCAGAGGCAGACAATCAATCTCCAAGCCACCCAGCCATCCCTAAAATGCACCCCTTTGAAGTGTACAATTTAGTGGTATATTTATAGAGTGGTATAACCATCCCACTAATGGCGGATTTTCTTAAAATCCTGTCCCCATTAGCAATTGCTTCCTTTTCTTCCCTTATCCCCATCCCCTAGCCAACAAATAATCTCCTTTCTGTCTTCTAGATTTGCCTATTCTGAACATTCAATATAAAACGGTTTTATACAATGTGGTCTTTTGTGACTGACTCTTCCCGAGTGTAATGTTTCCCTGAGGTTCATCCATGTTGTAGCAATATAGTACTTTATTCCTTTTTTAATTACTAAATAATATTCTGTAATATAGCTAGGCCACTTAAAAGGCTTTTCCTTTGAATCCAATTTAATTAACATATACTGTATTCTTAGTTTCCGAAGTAGAATTTAGTGATTCATCAGTTGCATATAACACCCAGTGCTCATTATGCCAAGTGCCCTCCTTAATGCCCAGTACCCAATTACCACATCCCTTCTCCCATCTCCCCTCCAGGAACCCTCAATTTGTTTCCCATAGTTATGAGTCTCTTATGGAGGCAAACCATAAGGGTGGCTATACCACTTTGTGTTTATCCATCCATTCATTGATGGACCTTGGGTTGTAGCCACTTTTTGTCTATTATGAATAATAGATCTATGATCATTCTTGTGTGAATTTTTGCATCAATTTGTGTTTTCAGTTCTCTTGGGCATATACATAGGGCAGGTATTGTATGGTCATATGGTATTCTGTGTTAACTTTTGAGGAACTACTGAACTGTTTGCCATAGTGGCCCTACCATGCCCCATTCCCACAAGCAATATATGAGGGTTTCAAACTATCTAGATCCTCACCAACAATTGTTATTGTCCCTTTTTTACAATCATCCATATCATCCTAGTGGATGTGAAGTGGTATCTCACTGTGGTTTCATTTTGCCTTTTCCTAACAATTAGTGATGTTAAACATATTTGCATGGACTTATTGGCCATTTCTCTATCTTCTTTGGAGAAGAGCCTATTCTCTTTTCCCAGTTTTACATTGATTCTTTTTTTATTGTTGGAGTTATAATCATTCTCTGTATGTTCTGATACTAGACCCTTATCAAATAAGTGACTTGCAAATATGTCCTTCCATTTGTTATGCTGCCTTTTTAACCTTTTTACCTGCTTGGTACTGCCTTTTGAAACACATTTTTAATTTTTATGACTCTCAATTTATCAATTTTTTCTTTGGTTATTTGTAATTTTAGTTCGATATCTAAGAAACCATTGCCTAATCCAAATTTACAAATTTACACCAGCTTTTCTTCTGAGGTTTTTATAATCTTGTCTCTCACATTTAGTCATTTGATTTATTTTTTAATAATAAATTTATTTTTTATTGATGTTCAATTTGCCAACATATAGAATAACACCCAGTGCTCATCCCATCAAGTGCCCCCCTCAGTGCTCATCACCCAGTCACCCCCACCCCCACCCACCTCCCCTTCCACCACCCCTAGTTCGTTTCCCAGAGATAGGAGTCTCTCATGTTCTGTGTACATATCTAATTGTCTCAGTATGATTTGTTAAATAGACTATTCTTTCCCTATTATCTTGGCACCCTTGTTGAAAATCAGTTGTCCATGATTGCATGAGTCTGTTTATGGATTATAAGTTCTGCATATTTTTTAATTTTTTATTTAAACTCAATTTAGTTAACATATAGTGTATTATACATTTTAGGGGTAGTATTTAGTGATTCATCAGTTGCATATAACACCCAATGTTCATTACATCCCATGCCCTTCTTAATGCCCATCACCCAGTTACCCCATCGCCAACTCACCACCCCTCCAGCAAACCTCAGTCTGTTCCCTATAGTTAAGAGTCTCTTATGGCTTACTTTCCTCTCTGTTTTTATCTTATTTTATTTAATTTTTCCTTCCCTTCCCCTATGTTCAATTCCACTGACTATATATCTATTCTTATACTAGTGGCCACTGTTTTTATTACTATAGCTTTGTAGTAAGTTTTAAAATTGGGAAATGGAGTTCTCTAATTCTGTACTTTCTCCATATTGGCTTACCTATTTGAGGTCTCTTGCAGCTCCATATGAATTTTAGAACCAGCTTGTTAATTTCTGTAAAAGAGCTGGGATTTTAATAGGGATTACATTTAATCTGCAGACCAATTTGCGGAGTATTTTAAAAATAATAAGTCCCCAGTCCATGAAGATGGGATGCTCTTCCATGTATTTAGGCATTTCAAAATTTAGTTCAGCATATTTTGTAGTTTTCAGTCTACATATCTCACAATACTTTTCTAATTTATTCTTAAGTGTTTTGTATTTTGTTCTTTGATGCTATTATGAATGGAATCATTTTATGAATTTCACTTTAAGAACTAATTACTAGTGTATATAAATACAATTGATTTTTGAAGATTTTTTTAAATTTACTCATGGGAGACACAGAGAGAGAGAGAGAGAGACAGAGACACAGGCAGGGGAGAAGCAGGCCCCATGCAGGGAGCCCAATGTGGGACTTGATCCCAGGATCCAGGACCACGCCCTGGGCCGAAGGCAAGCACTAAACTGCTGAGCCACCCAGGGATCCCCACAATTGATTTTTGTATAGTGGCCTTCTATCCTACATTCATACTGAACTAGCAGTTTTTAGTTTTGTGTGTGTATATTAGGATTTTCTATATTCAATAGTATGTCGTCTGTGAATAGAGATAATTTTACATCTTTCCTTCAAAACTGAATGCCTGTTCTTTGTTTTTCTTGCCTGTTTTATTAGAATTTCATTTATTAAAATGTAAATAAGATATGAAATGAGGGAAGACAACACTGTCTTGTCCCTAGTCATAGGAAAAAATTTTTAGTCTTTCATCATTGAGTATGGTTTTATCTGTGGGTTTTTCATGAATGCTATTTTTCAGGTTGAGCCACTTTCCTAGTTTGTTTAACTTTTTTGTTTGTTTAATCATGAAGAATGTTGTATTTTTTCAAATTCTTTTTTTTTGGATATGTCTGACATTGTGTGGTATTTGTCCTTTATTCTATTAATATGCTCTATTCCACTGATAATTTTTTTCAGATATTAAGCCAACCTTTTAGCTAGAGGTGAGAGATTAAGACCTTTTCAAGTATTCACACAGGGGAATCCCTGGGTGGCTCAGTGGTTTGGCACCTGCCTTTGGCCTGGGGCGTGGTCCTGGAGTCCCTGCATCAGTCCCACATCGGGCTCCCTGCATGGAGCCTGCTTCTCCCACTGCCTGTGTCTCTGCCTCTCTCTGTGTGTGCCTTTCATGAATAAATAAATAAAATCTTTTAAAAAAAAAAGAAATATTCACACAGCCCCACACACTTGTGACCTTCTAGATCCCCACAGACACATTGGAGTTTTCCAAACCCCTCAGAGACATATCTTTCCCCACTTAAAAAAAATTTTTTTTTTGGCTCACCTCTTGCCTACCCTAACTGGTATGGCTCCCTCAGTCAGCTGCCATGTTAAACAACTACCACTGATTGTTTTTGGCAAGTGCCCTGGGGATAGGCTGTCCTCACTGACAAAGCTGTGAGTCAAATAAAGACAGTCCCTAGAAATGGGGCTTTTAAAGGAATCTCCAGACAAGTCAACTATTGAAAATTCCCTACCCTCATGGGGTTTATGTTGCAGTTGCAATAACAAGAATGGGCAATTGAAAATGGGAATGGATCTTTTTGGGATCTCCAAAAGATTATGGCTGCTAAGCTGCTGGTTTTCTAAGCTACCATGGTTCTCAGACTGCTGGCTTTCAAAGTTTCTGGGGATATTATGAGAGCAGGATGTGAATAACGGAAGTTCTAATGCCAGAAAGCTTGTTCCCTTTACTGAGATTAAGCCATTTTTTTCTTAACTAAATGATCCTCAGATTGTTGCAAGCCTTTGGTTAATTTCTAGACTTCTGAAAAAGTTGATTTTGATCATTCTTGCCAATGTTCTCAATGATTTTATGGATTTCTGGAAGGCCTTACTCCAAATATTTCAAAAATTTTCTCCCCATGGCTATTTATTTATAAGCTAATTAAATTAAATTAAATGACATGTTAAGCTTCTCATTCACACTAGCATATTTTAAGTGCTCAACAACAATATGGGGCTGTTAATGACTGTATTTTGATATTGTAGACACAAATGTTTGTATCATTGCAGAAAGTTCTTTTGGACAGGACCTAGAAGCAGGGAACCTGGAAGCAGGGTAGAATTCAAGATATCCTTGTTCATCCCTTTTGCCCTTCCAGGTCTGTCCCCCAAAGCAACCACACTGGGGTGGACTCTGTGTGTAACTTTTCACCGTTGGCTCGGAGACTAGACAGAGTTGCTATCTACTTGGAGTTCCTGAGGCTGACCAAAAATGGCACCCAACTGCAGAACTTTACTCTGGACAGAAACAGTGTCCTTGTGAATGGTAAGGCTTCCTAGTCATTGGGCCAGGACAGGGGACTGGGTACCAACCTCCACATGTGGGACCTTTCCTGAGAATCTATAGACCTGGGATTGAGTCAGCATTAAACCTTTTTAGGCTGGCAGGAGGTAGCATAGCTCCTCAGGCTTTACCCACCACTGAGGGAGAGGCCCTTTTCTCCCCAATAAAATATTGGAGATACTTGCCTTCTTAGAGATAGCTCTGTATCCTCCAGCTGGTCACTTTCCCTCTCTGTAATTCTGTTTCTCATCCCTGTACTGAAAGTCACTTGGCCAGTGGTCAGTGAGGGACTCTAGCTCTGAGCTATACGTGAACCAGCCTTGACCAGGCATAGGGGATGGACCTGTTTTCTCCAAGACAGACTACATAAAAACAGGCAATGGACCTGATTTGGTCCATAGGCTATATTTGCCAAGTTCTGTTCTAGATCAGCACCATGCAGCAGAACTTTCTGCAATGATGAAATGTTCTATATCTCTCCATCTGTTCTATATCTGTGCCATCCAGAGCAGTAGCCACATGCAACTATTGTGTACTTAAAGTCTGGCTATTATGACTGGCTTTTGCAGTTACTGATTTTTAATGTTACTAAGGTACCATATTTTTAAAATTTTGTTTAATTAAGATTATTTTTAATTTAAGAAACCACTTGGAGCTGCTCCATATTGGACAGCACATCTATAAAAAGTTGACTGGGGAGAAGTTGTACAGTAGGGGGACCTGAAACTCTCCCCCATGCCTGGTGAATGCTATGTGTCCTTACCCTCATGGGGTTTATGTTGCAGTTGCAATAACAAGAATGGGCAATTGAAAATTATAAATTATTTGGTATGAAATAATTCATACTTGGGAGTGGGGATCAGAGAAGCCTTCTTGGAAGAAATTACATTGTACCTGAATCCTGGAAAATGAGTATAAAATAATTTGGTGAAGGAGAAGGGGTGAGTATTTTTCTAGGCAGAGAAGAGAGTGTTTGAGTGGGAATTTACAAAGGTCGAGAGATCACTTGGGCTTGCCAACTATGATGACCCATTCTCTCAATCATCATAAGATGGCCTAGCCCAATTTCAGTCCTCCATCCTCAAAGGTATGAATTTGATTGATTTATTATACTCCTGTAGTGTGATACTAGCCTTGAATTATGTAGCAAAGTGTCCTCATTTTTCAGAGAAAAATGGATGAACGTTATGATGTTTACTTTAGGATTCCAGTGAAAATAGGAATGAAGCAAGGATGACAAGTGCTGATAATTGATACATTGGATGAAATATTGTTTTAATATTTAATTTTAAACAATATTTTAATATTGTTTTATTTTATTTATTTATTTATTTTTATTATTATTTTTTTAATTTTTTTTATTTTTTATTTTTTTAATATTGTTTTAAATCATATGTTTATGATAGTGTTCTGTTTTTCTGTATATTTGAAGAGTTTTTTTTAAAAAGCATAAAGCAAAACAAAACAAAAAAAGCATAAAACACACTCACATGCATTCTCCATTTCATTCACTTGCAGGATATTCTCCCAACAAAAATGATGTCTTGGCTGAGAATTCTGGTAAGCCTCCAAGAAGCCCCAGCCCAGGATGGGGAAGGAATGTCTTAATGCTGTCCCTAGTCAAAGAAAACCATGTACCCAGAGTCTTCATAATGATGAAAACTGGACACCCCATGTCAGGGACTATTAGGCACAGTGCAGGGACAATAGGAACCCTGGGGGGGAATGACAAGAGGTGGCTCACATCAGCACTTGTCTCCCCAGATCTCCCCTTCTGGGCCATCATCCTTATCTGCTTGGCGGGACTGCTGGTACTCATCACATGCCTGATCTGCTGCTTCCTGGTAAGTAAAGAAGGGTTGCTTGTCTTTTAACAATTGGGTTATAAGACTTCTGTCATCTAGCCCCACAATGGCATACTAATTCAGCAATAAAAATGAGTGAATTATAAATATTGCACTGTCATGCATAAATCTCAAAATAATAATGTAGAGTAAAAGAAGCTCAGACAACAATAAGTATGTAGTATATGATCCTGTTTATAAACAAATTGTAGAATGCGAGCTAATTTACAGGGATATTGGTCAGATCAGTGGTTGGAGCAGGGAAGGAGGAATTACAAAGGAGCATAGGACACTTTTGGAGAGGACGAGTATTCCTTGTCTTGATTGTGGTGATTGTTTGAGAAGTTATAATCAAAACTTATCAAATGGTTTGCTTTACTACATGTAAACAGTTCATTGTATGCCTGTTATACCTCCATTAAGCTACAGTGAGTGTGTGTGTGTGTGTGTGTGTGTGTGTGTGTGTATGTGTGTGTCTGTGTAGGGAGGGGAGGGAAGGAGGGAGGGAGAGGATATGAATGGGATATCAGAGATAGGGTCACCCAGGTGGCTCAGTGGTTGAGTGTCTGCCATTGGCTCAGGTCGGGATCATGGGGTCTTGGGATTGAGTCCTGCTTTGGGTTCCCCACAGGGAGCCTGCTTCTCCCTCTGTCTATGTCTCTGCCTCTGTGTGTGTGTGCGTGTGTGTGTGTCTCATGAATAAATAAATAAAAACCTTTAAATGTATATATTAAGAATAAAGGGAAGAAAGAAGAGAAAGAGATAAAAGAGGGACAAGGCATGAGAGAAAATGAAGTGGAAAGGGTTGACAGACATACAGAGAGCAGCAGGCCTCTGTGGCTTTGGCCACCCCCATCCTGTGGTCCCAGGCCATTCTCATGCCCTCTCCTTGCCCTCGCAGGTCACTGTCTGCCGGCGGAAGAAGGAGGGAGAATACGAGGTGCAGCAGGACAGCCTAGGCTATTACCTGCCACACCTAGACCTGAGGAAGCTACAGTGAGAGCTCTGCCTGAGGCTCCAACGGAGCTTGGCTGAAACAAGAATAAACCACATTGGTCAGACACAGTCTCTGGGCCCTTCTTGACTTGGCCCCTTACGAGTTCACAGGAGACCAAGACAAAAGGTGAAGGTTCCCTTTCACTAGGTCTTGAAGGACAATTGCAATTCTGTCTTTTGGTTTCATGCCATTTCACTTCTCAGGGGCAGCAGAACTGGCAAGAGGCCTAGATGTGGTCATTGTGTAAAATCAACATCCCACCTCCATGAGAGACTTCTCTTCCTAGAAACCTTGGAGCACACCTCCCCTTGGCTCTGTGTCAGCCATTGCACCCATCTCCATTCCTCCAATATTTCTCCACTCCCAAAGTTAACCCAACTCTGTCTCATTCTCTGAAGCTCAGGTTCACCGGGACTTCTAGACCAGTCTGCTTCAGTGGCTCCTCTTCCCTCCTGGGTACTCCAAGATGGGAAATAGTCCAAGAAAGAACAAGCAGTGGGTCAGAAATGACTCTGCAACTGATGTTAGGACTTGGAGCTGAAATCACTAGGATCTGGGAAGCCTCAATCCCAGAGAAATACCAAGGCTTGAGAGACACAGTGTCTGCCTTGGATATAAAGACAAAGAACACCCAATGTGGAAAAAATTCTGAGGAAAAAGCTAGACAGTTTTTCTTCATCTTTCTCTGCACTGACTCCAACTAGACAGAGCAGGGGCTTCCCAACAAGGAGCGCTCAATGAGCCAGGCATGAGGCAAGCTGTGCTGTCCTGCTTTGGGTTTGTGAGAATAGTTGGCATGATCTCTACACATTTTGCAGACCACAGCTGAAGACACCCAAGGGCAGAGAAATCACAGCAATGCCACCCATTCAAACTTACTTGGTATGAGCTTCACATCCTCAGTCTTAAGCAGCCATTCTCTGAGAATGCCTTCTCTGGAGATTATAATAAAGATAACAAGAGATATCATTATTGACTACTTAATATCTACTACGCAACATGAGTAGCAAGTTCTGTGTGCATTGTCTTACACTCACTGTCCTTGAGAGCTACATTCCCATTTTATAGCTAATGATATGGAGGCTCAGAAATACTAAATAACAAGGAAGGAAAAGAATTCCTAAGAACCTAAATTAAACACCTCACCCACACTGTCTGTCAAAGAAAAAGATAAAAACACTCTCTGAAATATGGACAGATTCAATGTTGACCTCCACAGGCCTTCAGTCAAAGAACCAGTAAAAGGATGTACATCAGGAAGCAGAGATGTGAACCCAGAAAAACGTAACAGGACTCATGAGGAAAAGAAGAAATTCAGTGTATTGAAATCAAATTAGTTTTAAAACAAGATGACAAAACACATTCTAAAATTCCAGATGCATATCATATGGAAGAATAGAGAAGATTCCGTTTTATAATAATTCATTTTTAGGGAAGATAGAAATACCTCAAATATTATTTTTTAATAACTCATTCTCAGAAACTGATGAATCCATGACACCAAAGTAAGTAATGATGAAAAGGATTTGAATATTACCACAGGTTGCTCAAGCGCATTGACCATTAAATCCCAATGGGCAGTGGCTCAGTGATAGATTAATGAAGCTGAAAACAGTCTCTCTTGACATCATGATCCCCAAAATGGCACATCAGTTTTCATGAATCGAATTTCCAACACACAGATATTTTTTAAAAAGTGAAAAGTCTGGTATTTCCTTGTATTGAACTCTGGATTAACATGCGACAAAGAACAGAAAATAGAGACCTACAGATACCTTCTTTGAGAGCAGATATCTTCTTTGAGATAGAACAGCTTTAAAGAAATATTTTGTTGGGATCTTCTGGAATATAACACAAAAAGAACAGTTTGCTTCAACGAGGCCTATTTTACCGACTGTGAGGGCAGACACTAAATAATCCCATGGCTTTGATTACTCTCTGTTGACTATAACACAAATAATATACAAAGTAAGGGAAGATAAGAGTACAACATGGAAAAGAATGATCTTTATCGAAGCCCAATCTTGCAGCTCAAAAAGATCCCTGTCTCGATTGTCTATGTCACACAAAATAATTTAATACAAGAAAATTACTGGTGCATATTAATAAGTCAAGGGCTTGGAACACGAAGACAACATGGACACTGCAAAGAGGCATTAATAAAGTGCTGTGCTGCATTTCATCTGCACCAGCTTCTCTTTCTTTTCGTGGTGTTTTTTGGAATGTCTTTCTTGGTCCCTCATATTCTCTGTCTCTCTAGCGAACCTGTCTACAGCCAGTGCCATGGCCAACCTTCGTCTTGCTGTCTTCACTTTCCTGTCCTGTTTCCTGATATCTTCCTCAGTCACCAGAAATTGTTTGCACAGGAGCTGTGGGATAGTCAGGCCAGCTCCTGGAATCAACTTTGCCAAATCTGAAGACCCAGCAGGGTTGGGTATGGAGCTAGAGTTCAGACCCCCTGCAAGAACACCTGGCAGATAGTCACCTGTGCATGTAGGTGCAAGTTTTTGTAAGATTTTCGCAAGATCCAAAGTGCTTAATGGCTCCCCTGTGCTGCTGCAGGCCTGGAGACCTTGCAGCCTCTTCTGCCAGTACACCTGTTGGGGCTTCTCCAGAGTTTCCTCCCAGTGATGGCATCTGACCTCATTGCCACGATGAGATGTGATTCTGGTAACTGGCCTCTTGAATATGTAACTGGACATCCTCAAAGGGATTGAGACACTTAAGCGAGACTTTAGTTTGGATTGGTTTCCACAATCACGTTGCTTTCTCTGTGGAGGCTTGACCATCATACTTCTTTTCCTTTTACCCTATAAAAATAAATCATGAGATTGGACTAAAATGATAAATGAAGGCTGACTTCTTAGGAGCATCGTATGGGTTATCTTGTACTTCTTCCTTCCTTCTCTACCTCTGGGGATAGATCTGACCTGTGTCCTGGGATGTCATCAGAGATGAACCTCGAAAGTTCAAGGTCAAAATTTAGGACCTGCTCTAGATCATTTCTCCTTCACGATCATGTAAGGCCCTCTCTTTTATGATTTATTCTTATTTGTCCTTGTCACTTTCAACCACACAATTCCTGGTCCTCCTTCCCTGGATAACGATGTCCAGTCTTTTTCTAAATCTCTAGCCCCATCATCCTTCTGTGTTGTGTGACTATTCATTTGGTTGACCCTTTGACTACTTGGTTTTCATAGCTCCTTCAGAGCTTACACCAATATTGAAATTATCATCTGCCCAACACTTAGCAACTCACTCTCATATCCCAGACTTTATATCAACCCACATAGTCGTGGTCAAAAACAAATAATTCAGAAAACATACTCACCCATCAAAAATTCCTAATTTTTTGTTTTCATTGAAATGCTCATACAATAGTTACCTGTCCCGCAAGATTGTAAGTGATGCCAGATCACCATAACCTCACCTTACTTTGTCTCCTATTCCTATCAATCCTGGATTCCATGGTCTATGATCTCAATAATTCCCTTGGAATAATCCAGAATTCCTTAACACTCATCATATCTGCCTTGTAAAATTTCAAATCTGGAAGACCCTGGCTATGTGCCATGTCATAGCTACTGTCAGTCTTGTGATAACTGCTGAGAAGAGCACACATACTTTGGTACCACTATAAATCCAAAATCATCTGCATCCACTGCAAAGCATCCATAATGCCTGGAAACTTTATTTTTATGTGTTGGCATGTTTACTCCTTGGTTTTTCACAAAGCTTATTTCAAGCTTTTTACTTTTCTTTTTACTTCATCCATATCCAAGATCCCTTAACTTGCCTGATATTTCACAGAGAAAGGGCTCCTTCTATTCCCTCCATTTCATTGTGAATCACTGAGAAAAGGTCATCTCCATCGTGTGCCTCTGGGGCCTCATCTTCACCTCCTCAGACCACCTCACTCTTCCATCTGCCCTCACCATTCTGTGGGCCTTTCTGGATAAGGCCACAATGATTCCTTTGACCTAGGAGGAGCTTTTTAGTATTCATATGGCAACATCTTTAAGTGGAAAACCTACGTTTGCAACAACTTAGTTATGTGAATCCTATTTTACAGTTGTGAATAGTATGCAATATAAATACAAAGCAGGTACATCTGACAAAATTCAACTCTCAAATTGAGACTGCTGTACATGGAAAGGGCTGGATTTCTGATACTCGGTACACAGGCAAAAATGTGAGCTATCCCTATTAATTTTTACATTGATTGCATGCACAGGTGAAAACATCTTGTTATAATGTTTTAAAATCCGCTATTAAAATTCATTTCACATGTTTGTTTTTATCTTTGTAAAAGTGGCTACTAAATAAAAATTTAAATTCCATAATATAGAGTGCTTAGTGGTCCTACTGACAGCACAGCTCAAGGCATGTGTAAAAATAAAGCCCAGAGCAAAATGTCTGGGAAAACTTTTCCCAAGGAGAGGAGTGTATCTCGACCCCATAGCAAGATGCAGTGTGCCTGAGCACACACACCCTGAAGTGGACATTGTCTCAGAGTACTACCACTACTTCTCAAATGCCATGAGGTTGCACCCTCACACAGCCCAAACTGGACTTGATCTCAAGAGAGACATCCAAAGTTCATATAATTTACCAATTAAGAAGAGCCAAACCAGAAACCATGAGTCAAAATTTTTTGTGACTTGCCCACCATTGGCTTCTATTGTAAATACAATTTGTTTGGGAAACTTCTTCAGGGAGGGTCATTTTAAAAATACACAATAAATCTAAATGAGAATCATTCTAACCAATAAATGCAAATAAGAGGATAGAACACAAATATCATTATTATCAAATCACTATTGGATTTGTGAGTCAGGGAACAGATGAGACTGGATTAATGTGGACTCGTTAGGCTGATTCTGATTACATGACTGTGAGATTGATCGTGTTGCACTAGGACTTCTGGAACATGCAAGCCCTATTTAACTACCACCGCTGGCCAACCAGACCAGCTGGTGCTGGCCAATCCCCTGGCCCCACCCCTCTGACAATACCTGGAGGATTTTCCCAACATCCCACTTTCTTCTACCCGCTACCAGCCAAGGAAACATTTTCTCCAAGGTTCATGTTCTGTGTGTTTGCCCAGCTCTGGAGGTGACACTTCTCTCCCAGGTGAAGGAAAGAATCAAGGTGCAGGCCCTGGGAGCTGCAGAGATTGGACAAGGACTAAGATTCGCTGACACAGAGAAAAGAATCTATAGTGTGCAGGGGTGTCAGGGTCTAAGAAGAAGCTCCAGTGATTCCTGGATAGAATCAGAGAAGAGGGTGCCAGACAGAGCAGGTATGTTTGGGTGTGATTTTGCTAGGGAATATCAGTAGGAAGACATGTGCGACATAGGCACTGCATTCACAAATGTGGTTCATTCATTTATCTGTCGTTTGTAATGGAGTGTTTTCTACATACATCAAGGCACTAGTTCCTGCCCTCGGGAGCCTACAGTCAGTGCCAGAAGAATTTATAAATTTTATTTATAATATACAGATATAGCACTTGAAATATGTTAGGTGCTCCAAGCATCTTTCAAATACTAACGCCTTTAATGATTCTCCATGACCTTATAGTTACACTTGTTATTATGCCAATGGCAGATGGAGAAACTGAGGTACAGACAAGGTATGTCACTCATCCAAGGTGAAATACCTAATAAATGGTAGAGCCCATTTTGAGGAGTATTCTGTGCTATGTCTCTTTATTATAATTCTCATCTCTGAGTTTATTCATCAGATACATGTGTCACCAACCCACAGATGTTGCAGATATAATCTCATGTACACCTGGTGATGTCAAAAGGAAGTAGTTACTAGCATGAACCCCATTGCGCATGTTGGGAGACTGGAGAGGTCCCCAGTGGCACAAAGGCTTTTCCAGAATAAGAAACTGACAGAAAAAAGAGAACTGAACTCAGCTCTGAAATTCTCCAAGCTGGGACCCTGGTTACATTTTCAAGGAGCGGTGGGGGTGGGCTGTGTTGGATATTTGTGTACAGTTATGAAGATAACACAACTAAGGAGGGTGAGCAGTCAATAGCCCAGTGGGGGTCTTGAGTGGGTTTCAGTGAAGGAAGGGGCCCAGGAAATGGAATCTTGGAAGTAATCTCAATTCCCTGGTGACAGAACCCAACAGAATTCTGGTCACAAGGTACCCACATTCTAGAGACAGTCCCTCATCCAACTCACTTGACCAGAGATGCTCAACAGAGCAACATGTGGTCCTGTTGTATCCCTAACTTTCCAAGGCTCTAGCCTCAGAAGAGTCAAGAGTGAGAGCCTTATTGGTCTCTATAGACATTGGCTCCTTATTTCTAACACCTCTGGCCATTTTGTACAGAGTACTCTAAGGTGACACAGGACAGCTCAGGACAGGTCAGTCCAGGCCCAGCCACAACTGTGATCCAACCAGGCAGCCCACGCCCTTTACACCTTCCTATGTATGTTGAGGGGGTTAGGGGGAGTAAGGCAGGAAATGAGGAGGGGGGGCCTTCCTGGGCAGGAGTAGGTTGTTATTTGTAGGAAACCTGGTAGTCTGTCATGTTCATATCCCAGCTCATGGCTGGCGGGATGGAAAGGTGAGTTCTGGGTACCAAGGACCTCTACCCATGTTAATCCCAACCCTCAAGGTGTCATCTTGGTTTCTCCCTGGCTAGAGCTCTATGAAGATGCTCCTCGGTGTGCTGGATCCTGGGAGCAGAACCAGTAGTCCTCATTTTCTCCTCTGGTGTTCTCCAAGAGGACCCCTGAAGCCTCCTCCCCAGTTACACTTCAAGAGCTTTAAGAAGTAAAATGAGTCCAAGAGGAAATAGGGATTCAGGTTTTATCTCGTAAGTCTCCATCACATTTTTAGGCTTTCCAACAATAAACCATTCAGATACATGACATTATCTGTTTATTCATTCAGATTTAGAAAACAATCAAAACTGTTTTACCTCTATTCACCAAGAGATTATCCCTTCTTTTTTAATTTTTAAATTTTATTTAAATTCAATTAATTAACATAATGTATTATTGGTTTTGGAGGTAGAGGTCAGTTATTTATCAGTCTTATAAAATACCTACTGCTCATTACATCAGGTGCCCTCCTTAATGTTCATCACCCAGTTACCCCGTCCCCCCACTCTTCTCCCCTCCAACAACCCTGTTTGTTTCCTATGATTAAGAGTCTCATGATTTGTATCCATCTCTGATTTTGTCTTGTTTTATTTTTGCTTCCTTTCCCCTATAATCCTGTTTTGTTTCTTAAATTCCACGTATGAGTGAGATCATATAATTGTCTTCCTCTGATTGACTTAACTTTGTTTGCATAATATCCTCTAGTTTCATCCATGTTGTTGCAAATGTCAATATTCCATTTTTTGATGGCTGAGTAGTATTCCAGTGTGTGTGTGTGTGTGTGTGTGTGTATTTTGATTTTAGCTCAGGTCATGATCTCAGGGCCCTGGGATAGAGCCCCATGTCAAGCCTTGTGTGGGGCTCTGAGCTCAGTGGGAAGTCTACTTGAAGATTCTCTCCCTCTCCCCCTCCTCAACCCATGTGTGTACACACTTGTGCTCTCTCTCTTTCTGTCTAAAATAAACATTTAAGGAAAAAGAAAAAAAGAAAAATTTCACTTTCTTGAGTTTGAGAATCAACATCTTCATCTAAAAAATTATATTATGGATTCTATTCCAACTTTATTACACTGAATCAAATATTTGGGGTGAAAATAAGTTCTTTACAATATTGTAACCATTGATAAATACAAGTTTATTTTTACTTAATCATGGATTTTATT